GAGAGAGAGAGAGAGAATCTTAATTTGAAAGCTAGCGCTTTCCCAATTTTATGTCACTGACAACATTAACGTTAACATCCACATTAACGACGACGACGAGTTCTCTCATCGTTCTACATTTATTTTCGTCAACCAACAGTGCATCGGCGTCATCGCCCTCCACTCGTACCTCGCCACCCACGCGATGGGCTCCGTCACGAACACGCTGAGCGTGTAGAGCAGGTCCGAGTTGGAGATCTTGCCGGCTTTCTGGTAGCAGGAGTGGATGTAGCTCATGCGTGCCAGGGCCTTGATCACGCGTGCGGATTTGGGGTGGTGGCCCGAAAAATCCTGGATCAGGATCCCCGTGTCGGCGCAGCGCTTGCCGGCGTTCTCGGGGGTGCTGAATTCTTTGGTTGCGGCGAGGAGGCCGGAGATGGTTGGGATGCCGTAGGTCTGGTGAGATCAGACGGTTATGCGGAGTTGGTGCGAGACTGTTGCGGTACTTACTTTGAACAACGCAAATCTATATATAGAGGCGAGAGGGGTCAGTCAGTATTCTCCATAGAGAGGGAGTTCCACCCGAGTGTGGACATGGAAGGACCACGAGGAGGTTTGGAAGCCAGCTTGGAAAAGTGGAAAGCCACATTCATTCATAACAAGATGCGAGTCGCGTCGAGAATGATCATGGGCTTACTGTATACTGGTATGATAGATCTTGGGAAACTCCAACTCAGACATGTACTCCATGATCTCTTGAGCCTCGGTATTCGTCATGCGTGCCAGAGATTGCCGGTCCGTGAAGCCATACTGCTTGAGCTTGGCATCTCGACCTTGGAATCGGAGGAGAGAGCATAAGAGCGTGTGGGCCAGCAGTCCGATGACGATGTATGGGATCCATGCCGCTTGTTCAAGCGTTTTGAGATGGGGGTGAAAGCGATGCTCCGGTCGCTATGAAAAAGCCTATCCCGCTGTGTTCAATAAGATCTGGGTGTATCTGATCGCGAACGAAGACAGCAGGAAGCAAGGAGTTGAAGTTGGATTGGCAAGATGATAACAAGACAAAAGCGACCGTGAACTCTGATTCAAACAACCTACAACCGTCGGTCGAGAATTCACATTGAAATACCTATTCGGTACATAGATATAAAATATCTATAACTACCTATCACCACTTATCGCCACCCATCACCACCTTCAAGATACCTCCCCTCTCACACAATCGAGCAACGAGCCGAGGTCCTAGGCTGGGAGGAGCCAGTAGTGCGGGGTAAGTACTAACTTAAGTGTTGACACTGGACCGACGTTTCACCTCGGGATCCGGAGATAGATATTGTGAACGTTCGGGAACTTCGGGATGACCATACTAATATTGGGTTATATGATAGCGATGATATGGGAAAGGATAGCAGTCCTCTGAGTTCTTCCAACGCGCATCCCAGATGCCACATCCCAGCTCAGGGGCAACCAGACACTTCTCCATGCCACTGTAGTAGGTACAGTCGGGAGAAGCTGAAGCTGGAGCTGAAGCCGAAGCTGATCAACCCAGCTGGTGGGAAAGGTATCGATCGAAGCCTTCGGGATAATCCTACTTCCCTTACCCTGTAGGTGTAGTAAATGTGTAGTAAATGTGTAGTAAATATGTAGACTGGACCTCGCTTAAGGAGATTGTTGATACCCGAGTCACACAAAAGCCACATCGCACCCGAGAGCATGACTCGGGTCGGGCTCGCTAACGATTGGCCGAACTTGTCCCGACAATCCGGCTGAATATTTCTCTTCTATTCTTAGAAACATCCACGGCGGCCAGGTCAGGTCCGCCCCCTCCACTAAACCCAACCCCAACCACTGATTTCCCACGCCGCCGCGCATCACATTTATTGGCGTGATGGCCACCCAGATCCAATGTCCGAAGCCCAGATTCAGGTTCATGCCTTTGTCATTCCTCATCTCCAGTCGAGGGGAGTAATGCACATGCACGCCAGAGCCGCAGACACCATCGAGTGCGCTCTTGAGAATCTATACATACTCATCGGCCAGACTTCTCCGTGATCTGCCAGTGCAGTCAAAGATCTGGTGTGGGAGGACGGGTATCAGGGTACTTGTCAAAGTCAGACCCGGCGCCCAGCTTTTATAGTTGCGGGTGGAGTGCCCCTAATCCGCCCCCCGCATGAACTGACGACTTCGAAAAGCAAGCAAGCAGAGTGTCAAGAAGCGTGAAAAAGGAACAGCACAGGACCAGCTATGGCCGACTCTATTCCATCCTTCAAACGAGTCGACTTCGAACCCGACAGTCTCCCGGCGACCGGACCCAGTGCCCGCGATGAAGCCGCCCCTGCGGTGTCCTCCTCCAGCGCCCTCGCCCGCTTCGAGTTCGAGTCCGGCCGTGGGAACGACGGCACGAAGATCCTGATGGTCGAATGGTCTGACGACGACGACACGGAAAATACAGGCGATTGGGAAGTGTCCTGGGAAGGCAAATCAACTGTCCTATCGGCGAAGGATGGCGCCGAGGGGAAGCTGCATCGGCTATACTTCCTGCTCCCGCCGAGGTCGCCGGTGCCCCCGATAGTGAAGCTGGAGCAGAGGGGTGGGAAAACCATGCAGACGAATCCACTGCCGGCCATCTTCCCGCCTGCGTTGGGCGTGAGCGCCACGACAGCGGGGAAGAAGGGCGTGCTACATACGGTGTGGGCGAAGAAACGGCTGTCTGTGCTGCAGAGGGAGATTGAGCAGGAGAGAGAAAATGGCGAGGGTGTTGGGCTGGAGATGGCCGTGCAAGAGAAGGCTTGGATTGAACACAACTTTGGTGTCGGCGCGAAGGGTCTTTCGGATGTGTCATCGGCGAGTCCGAAATCTCCCTCGGGAAGTGGGCGGTTGTCTGAGAAGTTAAGGGGATTGAAGCTTGGGACAAGTGTCTCGGAGTTATCCTCGACCACGGGTAAAGCCTCCCCTTCCATAACATCTCCAACAACGTGTGCTGAAAGTCGAATCAGGTCACGATCCAGCCGGGAACAATCCCCTCTCTCCAGACCACGGCGATGTCGCCGTGTCCTCTTTCTCCCTCTTTCACGGCCATACCGCTCGCCCACCGCGGGCTGTGGCCCAACAACCCCCTCAGCACCTCTTAGCGATGCAAAACGACTCCAACCGAGTGAGCTCGCTAGACGCCATTGCCACTGGCTTCATCCCCTCCAGGAACGAGACGGAAACCGAGGACGATTTGTTTGCCGTCAAATTGAGCCCACGGAGCCCGGAGATGAAGAAGAGCCCGTTCAGCTTCTCGACGAGCGACACGGCGCGGTGGATCAAGACTGACGAGTGATGGTTGACGATATGTATGAGAAAGACTGGGGAGTTGGAGGAAATCTAATATTCTTGCTGGCTTTGAATTGGATGGAGATTTATGTGCGGTAATATACCTCTCTCGAGCAATCTATTTGTCTATAGTTTCAATCTTCGCTCATGAGTGTCCTTTCACTGCTCCCTTTTGCTGTCTCCTATTAGTAATGTCCAGTTCCACTGGTCCCGAAAGCCGTATTCAACGAAGACTGCAAGACTTCCGACCCGAGTCTTTTTTCCGGATGGATCTGCTTTGCTGCTTTCTCCTCCAGTTCGGCTACTGGTGTGGAAGGATGATGCCCGCTCGATGACTTGATCTCTCTGCTGCCATACACCGGTACAGTAATACGGCAGATGCTATTCCTAAGTCTGACGGCGTTTGTCTTGGTTCATCCTCGCCCGGCACCAGGCTCAGAGCTCAGAACTCAAAGCCCGGAACTCAGAACCCAGAACCCAGAACAGAACTCAGACTACCAAGCGAACCTACGACGTTCAGATCGCCGTCATCTGATACCGTAACTGCGGGATCCCGCAACGCTTACCGATGCGGGGTATGCGGGGTTTTGTGGACTTCAGGCACTATCCGTTGATAACTAAATATAAGCATCCGCTATTTATCGGTTCTCTTTAGTCGCCCGTTCGCAGCATATACCTCTATATATTTTCCTCTTCTCTTCTTATTGACTGTTGAATAATCGACGGCAACAGCTATTTGTGTGGAGAGTGAACCGCTGCAGGGCTACCTAGTGCTACATACCGAGGAGAGGTGTCTGCAACCTGACAACCGATCTTCCTCTCTTTACATTTCGTGACGGTTTGCGATATTCCAAATCTTCGACTTGGGATCCAGAATATCGTCGACCTGAAGAACAATAGCCAGCCTCACTTACTCATTACAATTATCAGCATACCCGAATCATGTCTTCTATATACGACTTTATCGTTGTAGGCGGTACGTCCTCATCTCTCCCTCCCCTTTACAACATCGCTTTCAATAGCTACTAACGTGACTTCCCCCTAGCTGGCCCCTCAGGCTGTGCCCTCGCAGTCCGCCTCGCCCAAGTCTCCAGCAAGCCATCCGTCCTGCTCATTGAAGCAGGCGACGATAACAAAGAAGCCGCCTATCTCGTGCCTGCCGACCGCTTTAACCTGGCATTTACAATGCCACAGCTGAACTGGGGATACAAAACCGTTCCCCAGACCCACCTGAATGGCCAGGAAATCGATTACTCGCGTGGGAAGGGACTGGGTGGGAGCACGGCTATTAACTTTAGTTGCTGGCTCATTGGGGCGGACGAGGATTTCAACGAGTGAGTTGCTTCGATGAAGCTGAGAGCTTTAACCTGGCTACTTGGGGCATGTTCCGGGGCTAATTTGCGAATTACATTATCGTAAAGTGGTGTGTGAGTGGTATTGCTGACGAAATGACAATATGCTAGGTGGGCGAGAATAGTAGGCGACGATGCCTGGACCTGGGAGAACGTCAAGGAGCGATTCAAGAAGATCGAGAACTACCACGTGGACATCCCCTCCGAGCACCGCAAGTACATCAACCCAAAATCCGAAGGTCTGTCTGCCCCCTCTTTCCAGAGCTTTCCTCAATTCTCGCTTGGTAAAAACTACAAACAATATTGACACCGCTCAAAGACCATGGCACCACCGGCCCCCTGCATCTCTCGTACGCGGATCCCTGGGAGAAAGGCCTTACGGATGTCTTCGTCGCCGCCGAAGAGACAGGACTGGGTATTAACCCCGATGTGAACTCTGGCAATCCCATCGGCATGGGAATGGGTGCCACTTGTGCATACCGAGGCTCTCGGACCACTGCGTCCGCATATCTGGAGAATGCGCCGAGTAATCTGACCATTGCGTTGAATAGCCCGATTGCGAAGGTCGTGATGGAGGGAAAGAAAGCCGTTGGCGTCGAGACATTAGAGGGGAAGAAGTACTTCGCACGCAAGGACGTAGTGCTGTCAGGCGGTGTAAGTGCTAACTAATTAAGCGAGCCCCTTTTTTCTCGCTTCCCCGTCTACAAAAGTAAACAAGAGAAAAGGAGACGGAAAATGACGCTGACGAGACGTCTGGGGAAACAAAATCAGGCTCTCAACTCCCCTCAACTCCTCATGCTCTCGGGCATCGGGCCTGCGGACGAACTCAAGAAGCACGCCATCCCTTTGGTGCACGAGCTGCCCTACGTCGGCAAGAACATGCAGGACCACAGCTTCTCGACCGTCACACTGCTGCAGAACACCGGCACCAACGAACGGATGGCGTTCGAGACGGACCCCGAGGCCGTGCAGGCCGCGAGAGCGCAGCACGCCAAGGATAAGACGGGCATGATGACGAGTCTCTACGGCAGCGTGCCGATGGGCTGGTTCAAGAGCGAGAGTGTATTCGAGAGCGAGGAGTTCAAGGCGCTGGATGCGCACACGCAGGAGTTTATGAGGAAAGCCACTGTCCCGACATTCGAGATCGCCACGGTATGGTTCCCTCCCCCCCCCCCTCTGATATTCGCTTGCTCCTGTTGCGGAGTGTTAGGTACATACAAACTTACTTGGCTGATGCTACAATAGCACACCCCTCCCCTCTTCGTAGGCGACTACGAGCTCAAGCCTACAGACAGCTACCTCACAGCCCTCGCCTTCGTCATGAACCCGCAGTCTCACGGCACCGTGACCCTGGTGTCCGCCTCCCCGAGGGACGCGCCACGGATAGACCCGAACCTGATCTCGCACCCCTATGACCGCCGCGTGCTGATCGAAGGTATCCGCCAGGTTATGGCCTTGCTGTCCGCGCCCGTGTTCCAGAAGTCCACCGTCAAGATGATTGGGTGTCCGAAGAGCACCAGCGACGACGATATCTGGGTGAGTCCTGCGTCTTGCAAACCCCCCCTCTTCCCCCTCCCCCACCATCTTTCGAAAGAGGGAAAACTCGTATGAATCCTCTCCTCCCACTATAAAACGGATGAAGATGGAAGGCGAGCGAGCGAGCGAAGATTCGTAAGCAAGACAAGCAGCGCTGACAGCAAGCCACCCCCACGCAACACAGGAACACTGCAAGGGAAACTTATTCTCCTCCTGGCACATGTGCTCCACGGTCCGCATGGGCCCGCCCTCGGACCCGACGGCCTGCGTTGACACCTCGTTCCGCGTGCGCGGCACCCAGAACCTGCGCGTTGTAGACCTTTCCGTGCTTCCCCTGCTCCCAAAGTACGTATTTTCTTTCTCTCCTTCCCTCCTTCCCTCCTTCCCTCCTTCCTCCTTCCCCCTATCTTTCTCCCTATCTTTCCTTCCTTGCTTTGGGCTTTGGCTTTGGGTCTGGCTTTGGCGTCAAGTCAAGTCAAGTCAAGGCAAGGCAATGCCAATTGCTCTCCTTGTATGTATAAAATATCAAAGACGAAACAGAAGAGAAGAGAAGACAATATTGGCGTTGGCTAACCCACTCTTCCCTTTCTCTTTCTCGTTCACCAGCAACCACACGCAAAGCACAGCCTACCTCGTGGGCGAGACGGCCGCCGAGAAGATCATTGCCGAATACTACTCCTACGATGGCCTCCCAAGCTCAAGACAAAGCTCGACGAATACAGCGAGGACGCAGCGGACCCAGACTCAGAGACATAAGTTGTAGACCAGATTACGTACGTAAGGATGGGGATATGATTTAATGGTATTGTTCCTGGAGCTGGGACTGGGATTTTTTACTTGCAGTGTAGGAACTAATGGATTTGTATGTATGTGTCTGGCTAAATATATCACTATCTGTTGTCGATTGAGGTTCAGGAGATGGAGGAGATGGTGGACGATGACGATAACGATGAGGGTCACAAGAGAGAGTTAAGTAATGAGTTGGGACCGTTGAACTGGTTTGGGTTACTAGGCTCTCTTAATCTTTTCAGAATACAGTTGTAAATCAAAGCAAAAGCAAAAGCAAAAGAAGAGGGGAGAAAGGTAAGAAGTGAGAAATCGTTGCGATTGTGCTTCAATCATTCAGTAAGTGCTTGCTTGCTTTATTGCATTTCCTTTCTTCTCCTTCTTCTTCTCCTCCTTCTCCACTTCTCCTCTTCTTCTTCTCATTTCCTTCTTACTTCTCTCCTCCTCCTCCTCCTCCTCCTCCTCTTCTCCTCTCCGTCTCTCGAGACCCCGACCACTCTCTTCAAATTCAGGTCTAAAACCTAAAAAGCCAAAAGTAATAAATTACCTACCTAGCTAGCTACAAATCTAAGCGTGATGGAATGGAATGGGCTGGAATGTAATGTAATAGGATGGAAATGGAACAGAAAAATATGCGATTCGAGACCCTCTCTCGCTCCTTTACAAATAAGTCGGTACTCCTTTCCTTGCCGTTGCCCTTGCCCTTGCTCTTGCCTGTATAGCGCATAGCGAAACTTCCTCCGTGCGCTTCCCTTGAGGAGCAGCGAGGGCGGCCCGTCATGGTCCATGAATTATATATATATATATACACACATATATACATATAAACAGCTTCAAGCAGATGATAGTCAAGTATGAACGTCCAAGAGGATGGTATTTTTTTTTCTCACACTCTTTTTGCAGTTTGTTATTTTCCTTCTGCAGTATATGAGTGAGATCTGGATAGGTCCATGTGCAAATAACCCCTGGAGTATCTATCTATTACGGATATCCTAAAAGGTCATGCGGGGTCTACGGGCCGTCATGTCTTGTCATGATGATATCTCGCTGGCGCATTTTAAATGCATTCGGCATCCGAGGTGCCCTGTTAAACAAACTTGTAGAGCAGCAGCTGGCAGGTAGCGAGCTTCCGGTAGTTAACGAGCTCCTGGCATTGGACGGCATTGTTTCGAGATGGTTCAACCCAGTCTTCGAACATGGAATTGAGTAAGCATCGTAGATGATACAGCGAAGTATCGAGGGATAGGTCAGTGAATCTTGGCATAGCAAGCTGGCAACAGTCCAGGGGGTGAGCTATCCCTGATCCGGGCAATCAGGACGCTACAGTCAACAAACTTCACGACCAGAAGTCTCCATCTACCGCCATCCTCCGACCCTCCCCTCGTCCCATCTTTCCTTCCGCTCCTGGCGTGAGTAATAGATCTTCTTCGCGTCCCGATATCTCTTCACCCACTCCGACGCCTCTCGCTCCGAAGCAGTACCGCCATCGCCATCGAGAAAGCTCTCTTCCAAAGCCCGACATACCATCTCTTGTTCCTGCATCCCCTGATTGAGTCGTTGATATAAAGACGATGGGGAGAATGGGGCCAACGCCCGATCCATATCCGACTGCTTCTGCTTCCACTGTCTCTCCAAGGCATGGGTCGATAGCAACTGCGCCTGAGCCGAAGACCGCAGATGCGTAAGGCGCGCCTCTAGCTCGATCAGATGGGAGGCCAGAGCTATATTCTCCGTCAAAGCAGCCTGTAGCGATTCCTGTGAGGCCTTGACCGAAGGATGAGCCGTCGTTTCCGAATGCGCCAATGCAGCTAGCAACGCAGGCTTCGCAAGCAAATCGGCCAGATCCTGCTTGCTAGAAGCCAGTCAGTCCATGTCTTGCATCCCAAGCTTAACGTCACATACGATTTGTCCTCAAGGATCTTGGGCAGCCATTGCTCGCCCGGATCCTGTGCATGTGCCGCCCCCTCGTGCAATCGGGCCTGCTGTGTCGACTGGGGATCTCCAGCGCTTCTGTCTCCTCCGTACGTGCTGAAGCTCTCTTGCGATGGAGGAGGCGGAGGAGGCGGCAGAGGTTGGCTGCTGGACGGTGTGCTACGGCGGGAGACCTCTTGATTGCTTGGTTTGGGCGGCGGTGCTGGGGGCAAGTTTGGGTTGTTGAACGATTGCGAGATGCGATGTGACTTGTAGGTCGGAAATGCCGGGGAGGGAGAGGACATGAGGCTTTCGGTGTTGTGTTGCGTAGGAGAGATAGGTATAGTACCAAGGTAGGTATTGGTGTGGTACTATCCTATCTATGGAGGGGTAGTGATTGTGGTTGCGTTACCAGAGGAGAGAGGAGAGAAGAGAGGAGGGAGGAGGGAGGAGGGCTGCTCTATGTTAACTCGAGGATTGTCAGATAGAATGGATCGTCTGAGTCTGTCTGACAGTCAGTAGAGTGTAGTTGTAATTTAGTATCTCCGGAAATATACTCTGTAGGTACATATCGTCATGAACGGGTTGAGTGAGATGAGGTGTGAGGTCAACATACGGAGGCGTGGGACAAGTAAGTGTCCGTTTCAGTCACGTGGTATATGGTTTTGGCACTTGGCAACGCGAAGATTCGCTTAACGAAAAGGAGTTTCGTCCGTCAAACTTCCAGATCTTCTCCTCAGATCACCACCGATCACTAAATACAACGCCGACAATATGCGCTTCGATACAGTATCTAGGTACTCTATCAAATGGGGCTGGCTTTGGACTAAGGCGGAGACTTGGATTGGGACTGGGATTGGGACTGGGACTGGGACTGGGACTGGGATCGGTCGGTCTTGAGTCGGCCACATACTTTTTCGCCGCAGAAAGACCGACGGATCAGCATTACGGAGTAGAAGGGAAGTCCGTATGCAGGTATACCTACGTACTAGGTAGGTACTACGTAGTTGTAGATGTATATCTGTGCAAACCGGGCCTGGCTGTGTTTGGTACTGCTTTGTCATGCAGGCATTGGGAGCGATATATTAGTAGTACCTACCGTAGTAGATAGATATGGGACCATCAGTAGTATATATATATATGTTACATAATATACGTATACACATACACATACACTTGGGAGGCTACTCCTCCTACGAACCTTTAGCTGTTTTCTGCGGCAGAAAGTCTAGAGAGCCAAAATTGAATCATCGATATGCGACGTGTCTTCAAGGAGATATAGGAGGGCTACGATTCTTTACCTGTACGAGGTGCCCTTTACGAGCCTTCAGCTTTTTCTTTTTCTTTCTCTTACGATAGAAAGAGAGATAGAAAGTCTAAAGAGCCGAAATTGAATTATTAATATGCGACGTTTCTTTAAAGAGATTTTCTTTTACTAGCGATTCCGAACCTCTCTTCTTCTTCTTTTCGAATACTACGCCGACTACGATTTATATTTAACGGGCATACCGATTAAAAAGATTAAAAAGATTTGCGATAAAAAAGGAACGTATATAAAAGATAAAATAAGAAAGGCTTAGTTCGATTAATCGAAAACACGATATTACGCTTTCGAAAGAGCGTTTTGCAAATATACCGGCTTTATTTAAAAGCTACGAACGCGAGTCTTTTTAGTTTTACGACGAAAGAAAACGATATTTGTTTTATACAGATCGAGGCCGCTCGTAAAGCTATACGTATTCGATAGTTATCGAAAGAAAACTCGACGCATAGCATTATGAATTGCTTTTAAAAGGTTTACAAGTATTTAGTTATTTAACGAAAGGTTTTCCTTAACGTAGTTTTTACTTTCGATTAAATAGTATTTTATATATAATTCCTCTACTTAGCACGTCGCCGTACTTTATAAGAGGTCCTTAAGGTCTAAGCATTGCGTTTTGAATACCCGCCCGACGTTAATAAATACAATAATAATAACAACAATTCAAAGAGATATATTTTTATCGGTGGTTTTACATTTCCTTTCTACTTTTTCTCGAATACTACGCCGACTACGATCTATAACTAACGGGCATATCCACTGAAAAGACCAAGAAGATTTGCGATTAAAAAGGAACGAGTATTATAGATAAGATAGGAAAAGCTTAGCTCGATTGCTCGAAAATGCGGGAATGCGCCTTCGAAATAGCGTTTTTCAAATACACAGACTTATTTTTAATAAGCGAACGAAAGCTTTTTAAGCTCTACGACAAAAGAGAACGATGTTTATACTTATACTACGTTGCAGGCGTAAGTACTACGTCGCAGGCGTAAGTATTACCCCTCGAGGGTAGGGTAAACAAGGGATATAAAGTGGAAACTAAACTTTTGAGGCACCCTCGAAGGGTAATACGGGGGGCTACGATTCTTTACCTGTACGAGGTGCCCCTTACGAACCTTCAGCTCTTTTTCTTTCTTTCTCTTGCGATAAAAAGAAAGATAAAGAATCTAAAGAGCCGAAATTGAATCATCGATATGCGACGTCTTTTCGAAGAGATTTTCTTTTACCGGCGATTCCGAACTTCCTTCCTTTTTTTTCTCGAATACTACGCCGACTACGATTTATATTTAACGGGCATACCGATTGAAAAGACTAAAAGGATTTGCGATAAAAGAGGAACGTGTATAAGAGATAAGATAAGAAAGGCTTAATTCGATTGATCGAAAACACGGTATTACGCTTTTGAAAAAGCGTTTTGCAAACACACCGGCTTTATTTAAAAGCTACGAACGCGAGCCTTCTTAGCTTTACGACGAAAGAGAACGATATTTATACTATACGGATCGAGGCCGCTCGTAAAGCTATACGTATTCGATAGTTGTCAAAAGAAAACTCGACGCATATCATTATGAATTGCTTTTAAAAGGTTTACAAGTATTCAGTTATTTAACAAGAGGTTTTCTTTAACGTAGTTTTTACTTTCGATTAAATAGTATTTTACATATAATTCCTCTACTTAGCACGTCGCCGTACTTTATAAGAAGTCCTTAAGGTCTAAGCATTGCGTTTTGGATACCCGCCCGACGTTAATAAATACAACAACAACAACAACAACATCGAGGGGTAATACTTAGGCCTGTACCGTGGTATTACCCCTCGAGGGTTGGGAAAACAGGGGGTTTAAAGTGGAAACTAAACTTTTAAGGCACCCTCGAAGGGTAATACTTAGGCCTGTACCGTGGTACAAATCGAGGCCGCTCGTAAAGCCATACGTATTCAATAATTGACGAAAAAAAACTCGGCGCACATTATTAGAATTGCTTTTAAGAGGTTTAAAAGGTGTTTGCTAATTGGAAGAAAGCTTTTCCCCAAGGTGGTTTTTACTTTCGATTAGATAATACTTTATATATATTTCTTTTATTTAGCACGTCGCCGTACCTTATAAGAAGAGGTCGTGAGCATTGCGTTTTGGATACCCCCCTCCAGCCCCCCCCCCGAGACGTTAATATATACAACAATTATAAAAATTTATATACACATATACATACGTACCTTAACGGCAGGTAGGGGGTTATTTGAGCGGTCCTCTGACCCTTTTTTATAAAAGACGGTTATTAAACGATTTAAACTCAGTGTTAGTTATAAATCAAGAATAATTCACCTTTTTAATCGTCCCCGAGCTTAAGACCGTCCCATAGCCGTCCTATGGCCGTCCTATAGCCGGTCCCCGTCCATATTTTTAAAACAGATTTACTAATAAGCTCGTTTTAAAAAATTGAAATAATTCGATAATTATTTTAAAGAAAATATAATTATAAATAAAAATCGTTTTTTGAAAAAAATCGTTTTAATAATAATTTAATAAATTTGATGCCAAGATATTTCTCGGTATCGCTGCTACGGCTTATATATCAACGCTTTAAATTTTTAATAATCGAAATCGATGGATTTAGTAAAAGCTCACCCGCATCGATGCGCCCTTGACGCTTGCAGACGGGGTGGTGTAATAAGAGGATGATATGCTTAGCAAAGGGTAGACTGCTAGGAATAGAAAAAAAATAAAAAAAATTATTTGCTTATTAATCAACGTTTACCGGGATGGTTTCAAGTTCGGGGACGGCCATAAGACGGCCACAGGACGGTCTTAAAACGGTCTTTTCGTAAAAAGACCGACTTTTATAAACGACTATTTAATCGATTAAAACAATCTTATTTTAGTAATAATCTTTTAACGAAAAGACGAGCTCTTATAAAAAACGATTTAATCGATTGAAATAGTTTTATTTTAGCTACGATATAAATAATTTAAATCGTTTGTTTTCAGATTCTATTCAATTTTAAGTATCGGCCTAAGGTGATCCACTAGCTATGCCAACCTCTTAGAATCGTCTTTTAAAGAGACCGTCATCGGATTGTCAGCTGACGGTAGTACATAGTACTAGTATATTTACATGCCCCCTAGCTTTCCATTATTCATCTGTATCGAAGAAATCAGCAGGGAAGGGGTCAGGTGGATCTTCAGGGTCTCCAATAATTTCCGCCCAACCCAGCCAATTAATCTTTTGAAGAATATCCTCCCAACTCAGCAAATCATGGATTGTGCTCGAAAATTCCTCTACCTCCTCGGCTGTTTCAAAGCACTTAGCCCATAATCCCAACTGATCGTCGACTATCACATCAGTTGGAATGAGCATGTGTAATGGCGGAATTCGATCAATTTTTGACCATGGCTTCCCGGTTGCGACCCATGAAAAGCGTAAGGCCCTTTCGCGGTTTCGTATTCGCATAAAGTGGAGGTATCTCATGATGTCTACTTCCTTTCCGCTCCATAAGTGAAATTTTTCATATTTCTGACCCGCGATAAGTCTATCCCAATATTCTGGAATCCATGCTTTGCCGATCGCCTGTAACTTATCTTGATCCGCTTTGATAACACAGAACCAATCATCGGGTTCGGGATCTTTCCAAGAAGGAAATGTGTTTGCTATCAAGATTATTAGCTCTGCGTAATAAAGGATGGAATCAAGGGTTTCAAAATAGCATAAAAATAGAAGTAAACCTAATACTCCAATAGCAAACAAGGAACTTTAAATCAACTCACTCAAATAAAAAAAGCCATCTCCTAATTGGGGAGGCCCATCGCCATCGAACCATTCACCGGTAGGCCTGTGACCTTGATTGATAGACATGGCTTCGGCCTATAATTCGCGTAATTATTAGTACACTATAGTTGTATATCATATAGAACTTACTCTGGAGACTGTTCGATAACCGATGGTTGTCATTACTACTTGAGCTTGAGCTGTAGCAGATAGAAAGCTCAACGCTAGCAAGATAGGGCAACGAAACTGCCACAGTAGTCGCATAGTGTTTTTACAAGTCTTTCGAGCTTGAAAAGAAAGAAGAGGAAATGAACCAAATCTGAAGAAAGTTCAAAAAGAGATAGATATCCCATTTTTATAATGTATCTCTTTGATTAATTTTATTCAATATCATATCCAATTGAGTAATATTGGTTTCTATTCGTGTGTGGCCCACCACTTCATCCTCTCAGACTAAATTCGGGCTCAGCCAACTATTAAAAGGGTTGCAATTTCTTAGCGGTACCTCGGTCTCTATAGACAGATAAGAAGGAGAAAACAATCTTGCAAGGGCTCTTCCCGATGAAATCATAGGGATTCAGCGTATCTTCAAGCAAGTACTACGTATTTACCGACGGAGTCGATAATTTATCGTATAAGAATACAGAGTTGTGTGCGATAAAGTTGACAAGGCTTTGAGCCATTCAGAACCACCGCTCTACGGTTTATGGGGCTCGCATCCGTGAGTATACGTAGTACCTAGGTAGGTAGAGTATTTCATCAATTAAACCTTCGAGTCAAAGTGTGAAAGAGTCAAAGAGTCAAAGAGTCAAGGAGGCAAGGAGGCAAGGAGAGAAGCGAAAGAAAAGAAACAATGACTTTCGGCCTGCTTACGTACATATTCCGTACAACGATAGATTACAATACTACCGGTACCGGAACTACTACCTAACTGGTAGTCTGGTACATTTTTAATACCTTACTACGGTACCTTACTACCTTACTACCTTACTTACCTTACTAGTAGTACCTACCGTACTGTATACTCCGTAAGCTAGCTTTCTCGGCCTCATTAAGTCCGGCCGCTCAATTTATCCGGTCCAGGCCCTTCTCTGCTCCACATCCACTTCTCCACTTAAAAAGTAAGGCCGTGTCCAATGACAAGCCGGCTATATGTTGGCGTGCCCAATGCCCCCCCCCGATCCCGAGATCAGAATCAACCGGCCGAACTTGACCTCCATCTTGCCATCTCCATGTCCATCTCCATCTCCATCTCCACCCCCACCTCCATTTCCACCTCCACCTCCACCTCCACCTCCACCTCTCCCTCCCCATCTTCAATCTCACGATGCCGGAGGGCGACGTCCTTTCCTCCCTCCTCGCCTCGACGCAGTTCGCGCGACCCCGGTGAAGAACGAGCGTCGTCCCCCTCGGTCCTGCACTGATATGCTGAATCAACCACGCCTCAATCTTCCCCTGCGACCGCATGGCATAACTGCCAGACGTTGGCCATCATGGATCCCCTCCACATCACCGAATTCGCCTCGGAGCGATACTTCAGTAAGCTGAAGCAGCTGAACGAACCCTCCAACGATGCCGCCTCCTCCCCCCCCTCCTCCTCCTCCGCCTCCGCGGAAGCCCCATCCCAAGGGGCAGCGGCAGCGACATCTCCCTCGCTACACACCGGCAATACTTTTTCTCTGCCGCTGGGACGACAGCGGTCACTGGATGATGGGCTCCCTCCTCTTACTCTCAAGCCTAGCGAGCAGAAGAAGCGATCGCTAGGCCACGACCTCACAGCTCTGCGGACGCAGCGACGGCCTAGCTTCACCGGTTCATTTGGCAGATTGAGCTCCAGGGTGAACATAATTCACAAGGTCCCCTCGATCCTTGAACATCGCGAGGAGACTCTGGCCCAGGACCCAACTGCGCCCCAGACGTATGTGGTCGTCCACGAATTTCTTTTTTCTCTTTTAGGTCGGTTGACTAATGGGCATGAATAGCTTCAACCTGAGTAACTTCTTCCTCGCCCTACCAAACGAACTTCAAGCCCATATCATTGCGCCTCTACCGATACATACGGTCCTCATGCTGCGACTAGTATCTAAGTCATTTCACACCATTGTGACACTGAATGAACCGACAATTGCTCGCTATCACATCGTCAATACCCTCCCAGCTTACGCCTTACGCCTCTATCCAGCTCCCGATCCCGCGTCGATCAACCTTCACTACTTATGTAGCCTCTGGCACCGTCTCCACGTGGCCGAGAAGCTCTCCACCATGATAGCAGCACAGGCCACGAAAGAGATATTTCTCCGTAACACAGACGCGCTCCGACTCGAATTCGAGCCCCAACATAGACGCATGCGGCAGCGTCTGATGCCGCTCGTCTTTACACTCTTCCATTTTTTTGAAACATACCGCGAAATCCACATACACCGGCTGAACAACGGGCCGCCCTTACGCCATCAAGCGTATACCGTGAATCCCATTGAGGCCCAGGTAATGAGCATGTACGACGACGAAACACTTTTGAAAGTCCACCAAGTCTTCCCCCTGGTAGTCTCGTCTTTCTCCCGAAGGTTACGACCCCCTTCGTACGTCGGAACGCTTGAGCGCTCCATCAAAGGATACCTGAAGGACCGACCCCCGGACGAAGTGTACGCCACCATCCTCGCAGTCGGTGGCTTGCGCCAAGCCCAGCGCTTCTGGGAAACAAAAGGCTACAACGCCCGCCGCGCTGCCGTTGATATATGGTACGGCTTCATCACGTGGGCTTCTGTAGAACCGGCCCCCACCAAGTCCAAAAAATCTCTCATCTCACACCTCGGGCGCAAGAAATACTCCAAGGTCCCGGAATCCTCCTCCTCAACCCCATTATCAGATACCGCCTCACACGATGCGATGTCCTGCCGCGAGTGGTTCTGCGTAAAGCCAACCTGTAGCGCCCCTTCGTCTCATCGCCGCCCCCACTCAACCGACAACCTGGTCTTCCACTCGTCGCTCGCAGCCGGACCCCCTATGCCACCGCTCCCGCGCGACCAGCTGCGTCTCATACTCCCGGATCTCCAGCATCTGAGCAACATCTGGATGCATACGGCTGAGGCGATGATCTTAGGGCGGGGCATTGTCGGCCGGCCGCAGGACATCAAGCGGAACACGCAGGTGCTGCTGGACCTGATCCATGATGATGGATCTGAGATGAGGGAGGAATTTGTGGTGGCCCCCGAGGTGAGGGCACAGCGGGCGATGCTCATCTTGGATTAGACAGGCAGACGGACCCCCGGATCTGTGTAGGCATGATCACGGGAATACTATTCAGTCATTTGGATATGGATATTGATTTGGATCTGGAGATGAAGCAATTAAAGGAGAAAGAAAAGAAAGCGAGCTAGCAAGGTTAGCATTTACACGGAGTTACATTCTTATATATATCTACCTATCTACCTTCTCAGCGGGTAGGGTGGATGGGTATCTATCTATGCCTGATGTATATTCTTGGCCCACTACCTGTACACAAATTTGGCAGCGAGGAGGGATGGCGTTTCAAAGCGAGCGAACGGGATAGGCAGGTAGGCCTGGTAGGCGTTCTGGGTCTTGGTGGGCGTTGGGTATAGATACCATCAAACTGATGATGGATAAACAAACCAAAGCAAACAAGACAGCATACAATCAAACACACTCAATCAAACTACGCACGCAGAAATACGTTTTACCCCCTTACTTTCCGGACGGAGTGATAAAGAGAGAGGGAGAGAATATAAGATTCTATTATAGAATAAAAGAAGATGATGAATATCACTCAATGTTTCGTTGTTTGGTTTCCCCCTCCCCCCCTTTTTTTTTAAGGATCTCTCTCCTGGGTGGTTTGTATCTTGCATCTTTCAATTTCCATGTTTTGCTTCTATCACAGCAGATTGTTATACTTGGTTTATTTATCTCTCCTGCTCTTTTCGCTTTCTCTCTCTCTCTCTCTCTCTCTCATTTCACATCTCGATGGGAGGAAGATGGAAAGGCCATGTGATGACTACCTACTACCACCCTATTCCAGTCACAGCTCCGTACCATCGCTTGATTCAATCTCTTCTCCTCCTCCTCTCCTCTCTCTCTCTCTCTCTCAAAAAAGAAAAATAAAAAGAAGAGGAAGAAGAGGAAGAGACTCACGCCGCGCCACGCTATGCATACATGCATTTATTTATTCCCTACCTCACCCACTCCCCTCCTTAATATATGTATATATATATGTGTGTGTGTGTGTGAAGTGTGAAGTGTGAAGGAAAGAAAAGAAGGCACCAATCAATCAATCGACCAATCAATCAATCAACCAATCGACCAACCAATCAACCAATCAATCATTCATCCGTCCATTATATTAAGCTTTACATCATAGCTTCATCTCCATAGCTTCATGTTTAGCTCTAACCAACCATTATTTCATTATTTCACACACATGTTCATTCACACATTCACACATAGCCCGCCCCGACCCGACCCGACAAGATATGCGCGACGGACTAAGGAGAAGCAGAAGGAGAAGGAGGAGAAGGAGAAGGAGAAGGAGAAGGAGAAGGAGAAGGAGAAGGAGAAGGAGAAGGAGAAGGAGAAGGAGAAGGAGAAGGAGAAGGAGAAGGAGAAGGAAGAGGGGAATCAAGATTTTTGATCCCCCTCCCCCAAAAAAGGGGAGGATTGAAGGTTGGAGGTGAAGGTGAATATGAAGATGAATACAAGTAAGTGTAATAGAAGAATAGGAGAAAAAGAAGAAGAAGAAGAAGAGTAAGAGTAAGAAGTAAAAGACAAAGGAAAAAGAAAAAAAGTTAAAAATATAAACATTAAATCAACGCCTGACGCCTCACGCTCAACCCTTTTCTTTTCTTGCCTTTCCCGGCGCGAACACAACACTTTCCTTCCATTCGCTTACCAATTAACTTTTCGGACCCCCGGTCAGGCCGCCGGGTCCGATGTCCGGTTTCCCGCGGTCCAGTTCCCGAAACCCCCCGAGAGCTCGCCCGAGACCTCGGCAGGGTTCCCGGCAGGAACAATACCATATCTATCCTATCATAACAGCGGCTCGCCGGCTCTCCATCCGACACGTCAGCGCCGTCCGTACCCCCTCAATAACTGATCTCGCATGTCCTCCTGGCTCGTCGGATCAAAAGAGTTGCTCAGCCGCGAACCACTCGTACCGTACCCGCCCCCACTAGCACTCCCGCTCCCACCCCCGCTCCCGCTCCTCGAAACGCCCACCCCTCTCAGTAAATCCGCACCTGTAGTGTCGTAGCTGTTACTCAGTCCAGATGTGCTGCCATATAGACTGTTGCTGCTAGCCTGTGATGACCGCGAGTTGCCGACGCCGACGCCAATGCCTTGCCCGAAACCACTGGCGGTGCCGTAGTTATTGGAGCTTATGCCTAGACTTGTATTCGTGTTGCCTGTTGAGCCGGCATGACCCAGTGAATCGAGAGTGGGCAGGTCGAGGAATGAAGGGTCGGAGTATTGGGGGTACTGGCTTTGATGCGAAGGCTGGGATTGAGAGTGTGACCGTGCAGTCGTGTAGGCGGGTGATGGCTGCACCATGGAGTGTGTGCTGGGCGTTCTGTAGCTGTTCTCGGTGGGCTGCGTGACTGTTGGTGTGTGTTGTTGTGCGAGGTTGTGCGTGCTATTGCTTCTGTAGCTGGAGCTGGTCTGGGAGAAAGACGGTGAGGGTTGGCCAAGGGTGTGTGGACTCGAGGTTCGGTAGGCGTTTTCTGTTTGAGGAAACTGTGGAGATATCTGGGCCAGGGTATGCGTACTAGATGTGCGGTAGCTGTTGTTTGTGCTGTTGCTCATTTGAGGCGACGCTTGATTTCCACTGTAGAGTTGCGAGGGTTGGTGAGAGGGGTATTGCTGACTATACGAAGTTGACGGCTGGGCATTTTGATTGTAATACGCGTTAGATGAGGGACGAGTAGAAGAAGATGATGCCTGTGTCTTCGGCTCATCACGTTGAGTAGGCTGCTGCGCGGCTTGCTGGCCTTGCTGCGACTTTTGATTTTGCATCATGTGCTGCTGCTGCAGCTGAGGGGTGGCGGATTGCTGAGGTGTCACAGCTTGAGGCTTGGCTTGTTGATGTGGTTGTGGTTGTTGTTGTTGTTGTTGTTGTTGTTGTTGTTGTTGGCGAGCCGGTTGCTGTACTTGTTGTACCTGTTGCACCTGCTGTACCTGAGGTTGAGTGGGGGTGTGACTTCGACCATTCTGCTGTTGCTGGAAGCTTTCAAATCTCGCATAATGTGCTTCTAAACCTTCAGCTGGAGGACGAGTCGCTGGGATGCTTTGCGGAATGCTCTGTTGCGGAGCCGTGGCCTGGGTATCAGGAATCGTGCTCTGCGGAATCGGAGGAGTAGCAACGCTGACGACAGATGCGGTCTGTGCTCGCGAAGGGGGTTCTGCATTCGTAGGGTTTGCAGGAGTCTTGGGCTTGCGTTGACGCGGTCTCTTTGCAGGTGGTACGATCGGCGTTGTAGAAGTGGTTGAATCCACTGAAGTCCATTGCAATGCATCTTTTGCTACGCCCATGGTAGCTTCGTGGTTCGGAGGGAGAGTAGGAGAATGCTGTGGCTGCTGCAATTGGGATACTGCCTCGTTTGAAAATTGAAGCGCAGGAACAGAGGCAGGGGGAGGAACAGCTTTAGGCTTTGGAGCCGCTCGCTTTCTCTTCTGACCAGCTTCTGGAACAGTTTTGGGAGGGAGGATGGGAGACGGCTCCACCTGTTGAGCCTGCCGGGGTTGTTGAGCACCACCGGCGGGTTGTCTGAAAGCCTCCAAAACAGCTCGTTCCTGAGGACTCAATTCATCTCCCGTAGCCACGTTTGAAGCAGTTCCCATTTGATTAGGCTGTGTAGCTGTCTGCCAAGGCTGGTTTGAGTACTGGCTGGTTTGGGCAGGCTGGGACCCAATGGCCTGGTCGTTTGTAGCTCCGTAGGAATTTGCTATGGGATTTGCCGCTGCAGAAATCGCCGAACTTGGCTGCATAGCTTTCGCTGTCGCTGCTGTGGCAGAAGAGCTATCGGGGACTGTTTGTCCATCCGTGGTAGCGATCTCTCCTTCTTGCCCATCCTTCTTCTTATTCATAGATCCCTTAGGCCTGCCTCGCCTCTTCTTTGTTCCAGATGCAGTATCCTCAGCCGGATTCTTCAGTGGTGTTTCAGACGATTTCTGCTCCGAGGTCTGCTCCGGAGCTTGAAGTTTGGGTTCGCTTAGGGGAGCAGCATGGTTTGGGGGAGCGGCATGGTTTGGAGGAGCGGCATGGTTTGGGGTTGAGGTATTGACCAGTGCAAAGGATGGTGGAAGTCCCCAAGTTGGCGCAGACACAGCGGGACCATATCCATACCCGTTTCTCGAGTTTGGAGGCTCGGCAGATTGCAGTCGCTCTCCAGCAGTATTGTCTGCAGTCCTGACTTTCGAAGGTCGACCTTTCTTCTTCGCAGCCTGCTCTTTGGAGACCTCAGGGCTCCGAGCTGTAACATCCGGAAAAATTTCTGCCAGCCACCCAATGAACAAAGCACCCGTCTCTCTCGTATTGGCACTCTCGGGGAAGATGCCATCCTCAGGAGGAGGTGCTCCAGGTATTCCTCCAAAATATGCCACGGCCTTGCATATCTGATCGACCACGGTGACGGGATTGATACTCCGCAGCAAGGTCAGCAATCGTGCCTGCTCGGACTTCGTCTCGTCAGGAGCCAGCGGCCTCGAGCGCTGCGTATCGCGCGAGCCCCCAAACGGTGAGTTTCGATTCGGGCCAGCAGAAGCCCCCAAGCTTGCCGTCAAGCCGCGCTTCCTCGGCGGCACATATCGATCTGCCTGAGCAGCCCTCGCGCGGGAAGCCGTATTCTCGCTCGTCCTCCTCGCTGCCGCGTCTCGCTCTGCCGCCGCGTCTTTCCCATGCGACTGGCCCTCGCCCTTCTGGGCCGAACTCGTGCCCATGTGCATCACGCCGAAATTGCCCTGCTTGTTGTCCGTCTTGCCCTTCAGCTTGCTCGGCACGGGGTTCCTCACCCGGCCATCCTTGTTCGGACCCAGTACGCCCTCGATCAGGGCGGTTGTGGAAGCCATCTCCGCAGCCTCTGCCGCGCTGAGGTTGGGCGACGAGGCGGCAGCTTCGAAGTTCTTGGGTCTCGAGGGAGGAGCTTTCGTTGCGGCGGGCGCGTTGATGGCAGCGTGTTGGTTCTGGCCCGGTGCTTGCGACATCAGCGCGTTTGAAGGGGGGCGTGTGGGGGCGGGGGGGGGGGAGGGGAGGGAGAGGTTGATTTTCGCGTTGCTGTTTTCCAAGCTGGAGCTGTAATCCCAACCCACTGATCAAGGTAAGTTCCTGTAAAGACCAGTACCAGTGCCCCTTCCAACGAACTGCGTCGGGCGGAATTAGCGGAACGAACGGTGAGTTATCGCACTGTGCATTCATTCACAAGTGGAAGAGGAGCAGAGCCGGCAGCGGCTGTAGCGGTAGCGAGGACGTCGCCATCGAAGGTTTGTTTCTCTTCTGATGTTGCGGGAGTGTCACCGCACTCAAATCGAATCAACATGCTGGGCGGGCTGAACTGGGCGAACTGGGCTCAAGCGCAACTTTGGCTTTGGCCCCAATCAACAGTCCACAGTCCACAGTCCACTCCACGGTCCACGGTCCACAGTCCACAGTCCACAGTCCACAGTCCACAGTCCACAGTCAACAGTCAACAGTCAACAGCACGTCAAGTCACGGCGCGGGCATCTATTACTAACGCCGTCACATTCATTCAGAGACAGCTTGTACTTAAGTGACTGTGTGCGATTTTACTAAGGGCTGCTCCGAAAACCCCCCTGGAGATACCTACCTACTACCTATGTGCTCGGATTACTATCCCCGTATGCCACATCCAAACTTCGAGACTCAGAACTTCACCCATCTACCGTATTCCTTCGTATCTGTATCACCAGGGCCGAGCAAGATGTCACGTCACGAGCGAGCCAGGTGTGGCGCAGTGCCTGCTGGAAATTGAGGACCTCCTCGGCTTATCACAGCGCTGATATCAGAAGTTACAATCATCATTTCGTGGGTTGGTGCAACCCCCCCCGGTCCCATGTCCATCTCAGATCCTCTGGCTTAGAATAGCCAAACGATCTGCAACTCGCGCGTCGCAAATATCAATCAAGTCTTTCCCTTCCCGTGAACTAAATTCCCGTGAACTACAATTCCAAGTAGCAATCCAATTCCTATCAAAAACACCCCTCAGCTCTAATCAGAGTCTGTACCCGTACCCGTACCCGTACCCGTACCCGATCAAAGCATTCAATCCCATTCTTACCCTACGGCCGAGCAAATCTTCCCCGGCCTCAAGGCTTTACGGTCCAGAGGTCCGGTGTCCAGCCTTTCATCTTCAACTTTTTGCTTCTCGATCCTTGGTTGGGCCTCGATGCCGTGAGGAGCAGAAGGTCTTTACTGGCAGCGGCAAGCTTATCCACCAATTCCTGGATCTTTCCAGTCTTCACGAAGAGAGCTAGCAGGTCCGAGTCCTCTTCTGCAATCACGGTAGAGATGTCCATGCAGGTCATCAGGTGTTGGCGACTCAGTGCACCTCCGCAATACTGCAGGACGGATAGGTATGCCAGAATCATCTCCGGGAGATACGCTTCCCTAAGATTCTGGAACTCTTCTTCAAAATCCTCTGTACCAATGATGTTAGTGCTATCGGATAGAGCAGCGTGTTGGACTTACCATTTTGACAAGTAACTAGCCAGCCCTTCAGAAGATGCTCGAAGCCTGCAATAGTCCCTTCGACGGCGACGTGTAGTCTTCTCTTGTACTCCTTTTGCCACGCGGGATCATTTCGCCTGTATACCGTGTTAGCAAAGCTATGCGTCGCAGGGATCGTCCGTCTACTGACTCTGACAAGAGGACTCGTAGGCTCGTGCAAGTCTCAAGATAGTCCAAGCTATCTATTAGTGACTCCAGCTCTCTAAAGCTCTTTGCCTGCGCAACCATGTATTTTTTGAGATGTCTCTTTCCATCAGCTGAGCCATCGAGAACTTCAGTGATATCTTCATCTTCCTCGTTCTCTAGGCCAATATAATCATAAGTGTCGCCAAGAATAGCGCGGGTTTTGACCTCTACGACATTCTTGTACTCGACACTGATGCTCATTGACCGAGCTGCGTTGAGACGCATGTTTTCTAGATTTCGTCAGTACATTTCAGGGCTGGAAACAATGATAGTCTTCTTACTGAAAAACCTCATGTAAAGCATTGTGCCAAGGGTGAAGGTCTCACTCCACAAGCCGTCCACGAGCAAGTACCATTCTAGGCTTCTGATGAGCAGCATATCAATCCTATCTACAGCTTCAGGATCCGGGCCAAAAAAATTATGCAATGGCTGAGTTAGCTTTCGGGAATGACCGTCGGCTGAAGACTGGCTGAAAAGTCTGAAGTTGGCAGCGGGATAGCCAGTTGTACGGTCTGGGTAATCTGATTGAAGAAATCGGGCTTGAAGACTGACGAACTCCTGGGCATCGAGTCCCAACTCTCTCATCAACCTGATTTGCGTGACTCGCTGGTTGTAGTCTGTGACATCGATCAAGTTGCGGCAGAGGATAGCATATTTTCGCTTTCCAGATAGTTGAGAGCAATAAAGCGGGATAAGCTCCTCCTTGCCAGACAGTCGTAGAAAGCTAATGTACGCCACGATGACATTCTCGACTTCGGTTACATTGGCCGCACCTCCAAGATCAAGGCCAAGTCCCATAAAGATTATGAGAACATGGGCCAGGACTCTTAGGCTGTCGTGGTCGTTCAAGGTAACATACTTCGTGGACTCTTCATCCTCCGGGCTCTTCGAGGTGGCCGGGAAAAGGTTGGATGGTTCAAGCTTATTTGCCGCCTTGGATAATGCCAACCCTTGCTGGTAGATGAAATTTGAGAACGTGTCAGCGATGAGCACTCCTTGGAGCATCTTCATCGGTTGTAACGTTTCAGCGGCCGTTTCGCGTTTGGCCTTGAGGGTTTCGATAAGCCTACGACCAGCAGATTTAGGATCGCTTGGGCTGTGGAATTGGATTGCGTCGAAGGATTCAAAATTCGAGGTGGCGTTGGAAAATGGACGAACATTTCGGAGATAATTGTCAAATTGGTTTCTCAAAAGGGCGTTGTAGTTGGCGAACACGAAGTCGTCCCAAGACCGACACACAGCTTCCACGCTGTCAATGTCACCACTCAGAATGCCGTAGACGGCCTTCTTGTATGGATCGCCTCCCCCATTGCGAGCAAGAGCAAAGCACATTCGTCTCCAAAGAGCACTCGACTCGGGGTTTCCAGGATCTTCGTCGTGGGGACTCTCGTCAGGGAATCCAGACATGCTGACAGCTCTCCAGACCTCTGTACGTTCCACGCACCATTCTCTGATCTCGTCTGCACTCTTTCCTCGCCGCAATAGCTCGTAACAACCCAGCCATATTGCCCGTTCGAAATACTCGTCTTGCTTTTGGAGACATTTGCCTTGGCGGGTCATGGCATCTGGGTCGAGCTGGGTGATAAGATCCTCGGGTACATTACGGTTCAATAGAGGATTCATCCGCTTGCTCTTGATGGCGCCCTTAGTATGGATCCATCCGTGAGCAATCATGTCGCCTCGATCGGCATTTTGCTGAAGATCGTGCACGAGGACATCAATGTCTTCTCCCGATTCCTCGGCGGAGTCTTTAAGCCACCGCAGCACAGTCTTGCGCTCGAGAGCCAGCTCATCCTTTCCCAGAAAATCTTCCCATAATTCGTGTTCTGTAGAGTACTGGTTGATAGGATGGTAGTCTTGCAGGGATTGACCTTTTGTGTCAGGCTCGGGGAATCGAAGTTGGACGAGACGGCGGAGCAGATCCCAGGTCTGTACCTCTTGTTCCCAACGCTCCAGGTCCTCCAGCTTTGTTTTCGTGTCTTCTGGCGGCGAAGGCAAGATTGAGTCCGTATCTTGCATGTCCACATCATCGTCCTGCTCTACAGAGAATCCTCGCATCTTCTTCCTCCAACGCATGCCGTTCTTCTTCTGGCGTTCGGATCCGTGTACCTTTCGTAGATTCTCGACCGTCTCGACAGCAATTTCGTGGTACAAGTCGATCAGACCAATCATCATCTCGTGTCTTTCCTCGTCCTCGGTTGCTCTCTGGGGGTTATAGCCGTCCAACACCTCGGCGAACCGCTCGACCTCGCGACCAACGCGGTTCGCTGCTTCGCGCAATGGGTGCAGGATAGCTTCAGCATCTTCGGGGGTCTTGGCGACTGGTTGTTGCCGGCTGGTAAGGTCTGAATCCGGCTGTGAGTCGACGTAATTCGGTTGCCCCGTACCACCGGATTTGATCCACTCACCCTCTGGGTCCTCGTCCTCCTCCATCTCAGCTTCGTGAGATGCGGCTGGTTCTTCAGAGGCCTCTCGTTCAGAATGTGATTCGGACTGTATGAAGTATTAAGCACTGTCGACCCGTCTGAAGCTGGTGAACAAGACTTACTCCTGCGAAGTTCCAGCTCACGTCGCGAGTCTGCTAGTACCAGAGTTCGTGAGCTGCTGGGCGGCCGGGGAAGGAGCTACCTACCTGCGCAGCCATCTGAGGTTTTCCCTGAGGAAAAGAGATCAGCGCGTGGTGTTTCGTCATCGGCGCCATGATTAAGCGTTTACGGGAGGGTAGTTCGTGGGATAGATCTTGCAAACCAAAAAAAAGCTGTGGTGTTGCAGCTTGAATGGTGAGTATAGTATGTACAGTATCTTCCAGCTACCCGGCGCTAAATTGAAGCGCGTCAAGATTCTCAGGCCACAACGTACGCGCGCCAGGCACCAACGACGCTAGTGATGAGACTAGCGTGGAAACGGTACATAAATATTTTCGTTGGCCCGCCCATAGACCACTTCTTCATCATAATGTCAAGGCCTTCTAATTAGAGTCTCGGAACAAGTCTCCTCTGGGAGTAACCATCACTGCTTGTTCAGGTCATCGCGACCTCTCTGCGCGCTCATGATCGCCCAGATAAAAACTCGACTCTTCCTGTTTCCGTTCCCCGACCTTGGTTGGAGTGAGGATGGGCAGCAAACTTGGAGAGTTACAGATACATACGCTATTGACGGTGAGAGGGAAGGAATTCGGGCAGATGATTGGATTGGAGCAAGTATCTGATTGTAATGTACCGGGTCTAACATGTGTGCTCGATGAGAGAATTCCGACGGCGCCTCCCATCCTATCTTCCGGAACCAGCTTTCTCTTTCCCTTCCTCTTCTGCCCTCTGCTTCATCTTCAGCCACAAGAGATTTGCCTTGGGGCAACTAGCCGATGTGGCATCATGGCCGTTCCGCTCGTAGAACTTGTTGCAGCAAGCGTACAGAGCATCAACTTGGGATTTGCACTTGGCTTCGTTATATGAATTCTTCGCAAGGCAACCTGTGTATGATAATGTAGGTAACACTGGTCAGCGGCTGTTATTGTCGTCACTCTCTGATGGAATAATGTGCGGGTATGTGGCACCTTGAATTGCACACTACGTATGATTCAATCATTCATTAGCATAGTAGTATTGTGACTTAGCTCATCAATGAAGAACTTACTGCTTTGGAGTGACAGGGCGGATCAGCCGCGACATCATCCTTTGATGTCTGCATTTTTGCTTGTACTAATTGGCAGCTACCCGTGGATTGTCCGAGACGATGCTAAATGACCAATGCTGCTATTTACCGACATATGCGTATTGTACTGTATTGTGATTGCCTCGTGATTTCTCCGTAAGTCTCCTTTATAGGATGATTCGTAATATGCTGTAAAGTGAGGTGAAATGATCCAAGCAGACGACTTGATGTCACCTTGGAGAAAGAGTTGTCCCTTCTTTCCCTTTATCGAGCGAGCGCGCGCCCTTGTTCAAGTACGGAAGTATTAGCGTCGGAATCATCGCATGGATGTGATGGGAAGTGGATTTCCCCACCATATCTACTCGTGCAACTTCAACATTAGGAACCTTCTTCTCTCCCCACCACATCAACAACAAAAAAAAAACACCGCACCTACGCACTACCCCAATCCTTCCCCCAAAGCAAGAAAACTCTTGTCCAAACCGCTGGTTCGAAATCCACCACACTCTCTTGCAGCAGCCGTCCTAACATTACAAACAGCCTCTCTCCAACCACTAGCAACCCCTCATCCCTCACCCCTCACCCCTCACTCCTCATCCTCCACCCCTCACTCAATACCCAAGAATCTACAACCCCTTCCAGAAGAAGAGATAAGAATGTCCGGATCCGACGACAACGGTAGCCCAGGCGGCGCGCAAGAGAAGCCCGAGGGCAACGGCCAGAGCGAGCACCTCAACATCAAGGTGACGGACAACAACAACGAGGTCTTCTTCAAGATCAAGCGCACTACGCAGCTGAAGAAGCTGATGGACGCCTTCTGCGAGCGCCAGGGCAAGGCCCCGACTTCCGTCCGCTTCCTTTTCGACGGCAGCCGCGTGCAGCCTACGGATAGTCCTGAGACGGTAAGTTTTGCTTCTTATCTACACGGGCATACCTACCCATTTACATATGCACTATACATATACACATGTATACACTTTCAAGCTTGTCTATCTACTATCTGTGGCTGTGGAAATCTGCAAACAAAGCTGTCGCGCGTTGAAGGTTCCAGAAGAATGAATAAAGGCTGACTTGACTCGCTATAACAATAGCTTGACATGGCCGACGGAGATACACTCGAGGTCCATCAGGAGCAAATCGGCGGCGGCGCTATCTAAGCAGTAGACCTCGCGAATGGCGGACTTGGGAATCTCTGGAATGCTGGGGATGGGGATATCGATGAAATGGACAGCCCGGGCAGTGGGGTAGGCTCGATTGAACGAAAATTTTTGCATCTGGGGCCCGGTCTGGTCTGGTCTGGTCTGGACGGGGGGTTATTAGATGCAACTACGGAAACCGGATTTGATTACTTGGCACAGGCGTGGAAATGGGCGTCTTCCTTACGTGTCTTTCAGGTGGTGGGGAGACGAGAAGGGGTTCAGAGGCTTTCCTTTTTTTTTTTCAATGCAACGTTTCGGTCCTCGGCCACTTGGTGCTAGTTGGTGAGGCCGACGACGGGTTACGACTACTCCCGTCTTATTCCCAGGAGTAGGACGTAGTTCGCTGAAACAAAAATCTTGGTGCTTCTTCTCTGATTTAATGATTTTTGAACCGCTGCCCGCTTCACTTGTGTCATTAAATATGAAAGGGCTGTCTGCCCATACCGACTTACCTACTTATCCTATCGAACGCCGTTTCCTATGCACAGAGACGCCAGAATCCATCCCACCCATCTCATCATCCCCATCCCAAAGCCCTCCCCTCCCCAGGCCAAAGCCACCAGAAACCCCAAATCCTAATCCTCCCACACCGCCCTCCTCGCCCTCTCCTTCTCCCCCTCCTTCTCCTTCTCCTCCTCCCGTTCCCTCTCCCTCCTCTTCGCCTCCTTCTCCCTCGCGGCCTTCTCGTACGCCGCCTGCTCGCCCGTCTTCCGCGGGGCGCGCACCCCCAGCGCGCCAGCGATCATGCGCCTGGCCACCGCGTCGGTCTTGGCGGGTCTCTGACGACTGTCGCCTCGCGCTCCCGCGCCGGGTTCGCCATCGACGTAGCCGTACGGGTGCTCGAAGTCGAGCGCCGCGGTGGTGCTCGGGCTGGTCGCGGGCGAGGATGGCACGGGGAAGGGGGTGCGCGCGTCGGTCATGTTGGTGCTGGGTGAGATGGGCGTCGGTGGGGGAGCGTAGGGGTAGCTGGATGATGATGATGCTGCTGCTGCTGCTTCTGCTGCTGCGTTCTTGCGACTCCGGTCGGCCTCTGTGTCGGTGTCGCTGTCGCTGTCGCTGCCGTCGTCCCAGGACTCGGAGACGATGTGGACTTTTTGGACTTGGGATTTCGAATCGGGATTGGAGGGTGCGGAAGGGTTGATGGAGAGGGATTTCAGGGAGGATACGAGGGCTGTTGGGTTTGAGAGGGGATTGTTAGTATGTTGGAATCGAAGTGTAGAGATTGCAGGTGGGTAGGGAGGGACGGAGGGAGCGGGGAGAAGAGAAGAGGGGAGGGAGGGACAACCTTTCGGGGAGGGCATGGTGGATGGTGGCTGGTGGCTGGTGGCTGGTGGCTGGGCTGGTTAGATGAGAGGGATGGTTGTATGTAAATGCCCGGTATTATAATATACAGTGTTGTATGGGAGATTTTTGCAGATTGATTGTGAATGTGATGGAAGCTGGATGTTCGTGCCACGGTCGGTAGGATGGAGTATTTAAGTAATGTCGGATAGCGGAGTATTTTCCTTATCTAACTAAAAGTTTCCTAACGCGGGGTGGACTGGGCAGAAAGCTTGCCCGACTCCCATCTGAGTCCTGACGTACGAGGGTACGTATCTTTCGTAACCATCATCTCGATTTTCCATGACATTTTCCGATCGCCTGAAATCAGAAATCCATTCACCCTGTCGCATCCGCGCATCCGCGCGAGCTGGAGAATCCGTCAATGCTACATCTTGAGGATCCTCCCCGCAGAGCCCTAAAGATCGCCTCCCCGCCGAGGCCGAGCGCGAGGCCGAGGTCGTCTGCAGTGCTGGGCCCCCAAAGGTATCATCTATCTGCTGCCGCTGCGTCCTTCCCTGCCTTATCTTTCCACTAAATCAAACTTATCATTTCAATCTATTAAAAACTTATATACATCTCCTTTTCTCCTTAACGTCTCAAGCCAGTCCTGCATTCTAAATTTCTTTGGAGGTGTCGAGGTTTGGAGGAGGGTAGATCTTGTTTGTTTGGACGGATGATGCGACGGCAACTTCTGCGGGGTCCGCGGGTTGGCGATGTCCATGGGAGCCGGTCACGAGGTCTGAGGACAAGTTCGAGACAGGTCGGGAAGTACGAGGATACGATTGAGAATCTGAGGATTGGGTGCCACACGAGGGTGATCTTTCAGGGCTTTACCGGTGGGTTGCTTGATCTCCTCTTTATGTTTTCGACTGGATGAGTGTAGAAATGATCTGACTGACACTTTGACACAGGAAAGCAAGTATGTTGTTTGGTTACAATTACTCGATTCGCCTATCTTGGCCTTGGCTGGGAGTGGGAGGTACTCGGTAACTTACTGAGTTTGTGTGCTGTAGGCGACGGCCAATGCCAAAGAGAGCATTGCTTGGGGTACCAATATCGTGGGAGGTGTCACCCCCAAGAGAAATGGGGAACACCTTGGACTTCCTGTCCTGCCTACCGTGCGAGATGCAAGTTCTCCTCAAACTACGACCATTCATTCCGGCTCACAAATATTTACAGGCGATGGAAAAGCTGAGACCAGATGCAACTGGAATCTACGTAGCAGCCCACCAAGCACCAGCCGCTATTGAAGAAGCCATCGCTGCAGAAGTACCGCTCATTGTAGCTGTTGCTGAACATATCCCTATCCATGATATCATGAGGGTACGTCGATTCCCATTTTCGCGAGTGGTTCAGGAAGCTCATGTAATTCTTAGATACACTCCATGTTGAAGACTCAAACTAAGTCCAGGCTTGTAGGTGCGAACTCTCCCGGCATCATATCCGCGATTGGGAAGTGCAGAATTGGCTTCCAGCCCCTCCCGTGCTTCATGCCTGGACGAGTAGGCATAGTTGCGAAATCGGGTACCTTGAGTTATGAAAGTAGGCCTTCCATTAGTTCAAGTTTACGGTTGCGGAGAGTTGACGTCCCGCAGGTGTTGCGTCTACAACCAGAGCTGGACTTGGACAGAGTCTATGTGTTGGCATGGGTGGCGACGTTCTCGCTGGCACTAACTTTGTTGACGCTTTGAATATTTTCGAGCATGATGATGAAACGGAAGGAATCATTCTCATTGGTGAGATTGGAGGCGAGGCAGAGTTGCATGCTGCCGAGTGGATCAAGGGGTACAGGAAGCGATCTCCGAACCCCAAGTAAGTGCAAAGTCCCTTCATCAGCCAAAGGTGGCTAAGCGAGATACAGACCCATTGCAGCCTGTATAGGAGGTTTCAATGCTGCTCCCGGTAGAGTGATGGGCCATGCTGGAGCCTTCACACTTCCTGGCGAGCCAGATGCGTTGACCAAAGTCAAATACCTCTCGGAAGCAGGAGTAACCATGGTCAACCACCCCGAAAAGTTCGGAGAAGCAATGAAAACATTGCTCGGTAGCTCAGGGCGAGCCGGCACCGGTGCCGCAACATCAGGCGCTTCCCAGCGCAGAGGCATGCACACCATGCGCAGAGTCCGACCAATCACATATGAACCAGTCCCCAGCCCACCTGGTGCCGTTCAAAAGCGAGCCTTGTACATCCGCGAAACCTTCGCCTTGGACCTCCTCAGAGAGAGGGGCTTCAACGCATCTGGCTACTCGGGTACAGGCCAAAGGCACATGCTCGCCGTAGCTGTCGACCGCGTTGCCCTATCCCCTTGCATCATCGCTTCTCCCGCCTCGGAAGCAGATCAGATTCACGCCTTGGCAAAGAAGTTCCCCTTCGACTATCGCAAAGGAGTAGACGCCTCCCAGATAGCCGCCATAGCCGAGCATCTCCAACTAGGCAAAACATCCAAAGGCTCCCTATCCAAAATTGTCAACGGACTTGTGGACCTGTACATAGAGAAAGAGGCTTTCCTGCTTGAAACGCTCTTGGTGGAGCGGCTGGGAGACCTAAAAGTCGTAGGCGCGAAATTCGGCTTCGACGACGCCGCATTCCGTTCCACCAAGCGTCAGGGCGACGTTCACGCCCTGCGCCGCACCGAAGACGAAGACCCCTCCGAAGTCGAAGCCGAGAAGCACGGCATCGTCTACATCAAGCTCGCCGCTCCCGGCGCCAAAATCGGGACGCTCGTCAACGGGGCCGGACTCGCGATGAACACCGTCGATGCCCTGGCCGACGCAGGTGGTCTCGCGGCCAACTTTCTCGACACGGGCGGGAAGGCGACGAGCGAGACGGTGAAGAAGAGCTTTCAGGTCATCCTGCAGGACGAGCGGGTCAAGGTGGTGTTTGTGAACATCTTCGGCGGGCTGACGCTGGGGGACATGATCGCGAACGGGATCTTACTCGCATTTAAGGAGCTGGAGATGCAAGTCCCAGTCGTGGTGCGGATCCGGGGCACGAATGAGGAGGAGGGGCAGAGAATCGTGAGTTCATCCATCTCTCCATCCTGCGCTGGGATTATTCATTGGGTCTTGGGCGCTGCTCGCTAACATGCGTATGATAGATCGCCGAAAGCGGCCTGCCGCTCCACGCCTTTGCCGACTTTGAAGAGGCGGCCGCCAAAGCTATCGAGCTGGCGAACAGGGCATAGGTAGTTTCCTCTCCTTATGTATACACAATAGGTCTACATCGGTACACAAGAGTCCTCCCTGGAAGCAAACCAGCAGTACGCTTTTCTACTAGACTTACATCTCGCAAAGGCAAGCTTAGTAGCGTCCTCACTGGGTTTTCGTCGTGCTGTCCCTCGCATCGTCAAATTGCTTGCATCGAGCGTATTATATCTGAGCTGATCTGATGATTAGAAATCGCTAGCGCACAAGGATATATTCTCCTTTATGCTTGTGCTCTGTAGACAAGGGGGGTTCGATTAGAATTTAGTATAGGTATACGAAGTGACGATCTTGGGTATTGGACAGATAGATAGGTAGATAGAAGAAGTCGATTTCAGACCTGCATTGCAACTCGCCGAGGTGGGTCCGGCAAAGGAGCGCGCTCGAACCCCGCGAGATAGTGCATATACCTACTACGTACGTACCTACGGTATCTATGTACGTAGTCTATGTACGTAGTAAATGTATATAGGTAGGTATGTATCGATAATCGAGGTGCGAAGGAGGAATGAATTATTACTGAATGTTATTCCATGCGATCAAAGGCTTTGTATTCAGAGGATGATATTTTTGATGATATACATGTTTCCATGTAGCCCGTGTGCGTAGATACTTGATGTCATAGGTCGGTAGCTATTGTGGGTTTTCTTTCCTTTCTTGCCTGCCACGGCTGCATAATTCCGACTCCGACTCCGCCTCCGGATCCGTCGTTTTTACTGCCGTTAGGCCCAGTCTGATCCCACCTTATCACTCCTTCCGGATTAGTCTCCTATGTAGGGTGAGATTGATCCATGTTCGCTTGTTTTTCTATTGTGACGTCCAACCATCAACCATCAACCATCAACCATCAACCATCAACATCCAACTTCCAACCTCCCTCCTACATCAACTTATCGGCATCGACAGCGACATCGAGCACAAATAATTCCCTTATCAATCCAATCCACCGGAACACCGCAATTAATGCCATCACGTTCACCTCTTGCCCGCCACCCAATTCCGCTCTCCCCCATAATCCATTTCCCGTCGCGAAAATGGCGATGAGCAACGACAAGATGGCGAGTTCCGCCCGCCAAATTTCTTTCCTAAAATCAAGCTCAAAGGAAGGTGAGGAAGGCAGCCTGGACGGCAACGCGGCCAGAAATACTGGACTCGCGGCGGGAGAATCCAAGAAAGATTTCAGCCGCGGATACGGCTTGACTCCTGGCGCTGACGGACCGAGAATTGCGCCCGTTCTGCCGCATCTGAGGGCTTTGGAGGACGGGCCGAAGAGCGACGATGATTCGCAGACGACGGATATCCTGGGGCGGCAGTTGGAGCTACAGGTGAATGATGTTATCAAGCGCAGGTCTTGTAGCTGGCAGAAGGTGAGGTCTGCTCCGGTCCTAGTCAGGCTTACCCGCGCTGTTCTGGTCCCGGTGGATCTGGGACAAGCGCCGAGCCTCGCTTGGAGAATGTCAACAAGAACCGAGTGCGCATGCAGTACAACTTCGATATCCCGGAGATGATGGCAAGATTAAGCACCTGTGGCTAATTCTGTCCCGTAGACCGCAGCTCTCCTTTTCTCCGAGTACATATGCTTGGCTATCATGTCGTTCCCGTCATCTTATTCCATTCTTGGACTAGTCCCTGGTTTGATCCTGACTGCGGCCGTTGCGGCAATTGTGTTGTATACCTCCTTGACCGTATGGCGATTCTGTTTGCGCCATCCCGAGGTCCGAGACGTCTGTGACATTGGACAAATGCTGTTTTGGAACAAGAAATGGGCGTGGTGGGGTGAGTTCCGGCAGTCTCGCTAAGACCAAATTTCCGAGAACTGATGACTTGACAGCTACCGGTGTCATGTTTCTTTTGAACAATTGCTTCATCCAGGTAAAGATATAGACATCAACGGGTACAGATTTTGCTAACAGGATAGGGTCTCCACGTCTTGGTTATCGCCAAGTATCTGAACACAATGACCAACCACAGCCAGTGCACGATTGTATTCTCTCTTATTGCTGTTATCGTTAGTTGGTTCGTCTCCCTTCCCAGAACCTTCGGCGTTTTGGGCTGGCTGGCTACTGGATCGGCGTTTTTCACCTTCATCTCCGTCGTGATGGCCGCGGCCTTCGCTGGCGCAGAGGACCACCCCGCCGGATACAACCCAGATCCCAATTTCGTTGATCCAGTCACTGGATTCAGTGGGGGAAATCCGATTGTAACTGCTCTTCCCGTGAAGGGCACCACGTTCGTCATGGGCATGAGCGCTTTCCTGAACATCAGTTACACCTTCATCGGCCAAATTACCATCCCCAGCTTCATCGCGGAAATGGAGAACCCAGCAGATTTCCCGAAGGCCCTCTGGCTCGTTACCATTGTTGAGATCTTCGTTTTTGGGATCATTGGGTCGATTGTCTACGCCTACACCGGAAATCAGTACATGACAGCGCCGGCATTCGGGTCACTCAGCAACGAAATCTACAAGAAGATCTCGTTCTCATTCATGCTCCCCACCCTGATCTTTCTCGGCGTCCTATATGCGTCTGTCTCGGGACGATTTATCATGAACCGGATCTTTGACGCCAGATCCCCACACGTGACAGGGAATACCATCAAGGGCTGGTCTGTCTGGGGTGCTGCTCTTGCTAGCACGTGGATCGTAGCATTCATAATCGTAAGTCCACCTCTCCACATAGGTATGCTTCTTACCCTGGAAAATTTCACTGACAATCTCGAAAAAAAAAGGCCGAAGTCATCCCCTTCTTCAGCGACTTGCTTTCCCTCATGACCTCGCTCTTCGACTCCTTCTTCGGCTTCATCTTCTGGGGCGTAGCCTACATCCGCATGCGGCGTGTCGACGGCGGCATCGAATGGCTGCAAGAGCAGAGCGTGTACGGCTTCTCCATGTTGGCGCTGAATCTCTTCATCATCGTCATCGGCTTCTTCTTCCTCAGCGCCGGCACGTACACGAGCGTCCAGAGTATCATCAACAGCTACGCGGAGGGGAACGTCTCGGGAGTCTTTACTTGTGCTAGTAATGGGCTGTAATGTAATCGCCTTGGAAAAAGAAGTATGGTGGCATTCGGTAGGATTGGATTTTACATAATCATCAAGCCTAGAGTAAGTAGCTAGAGTACCAAGCCACACCGATTCCATACGTACCTACGTAGCCCGGCAGGTACCTACCTGGGTCTCTCTCGCCTCTGTAGTAATAAACCCGAGAAAAGCGATTCAGACAGACTCTGAGACTCCTCTGCGTCTGCGTCCGGCTCCCGGCGCGAGCGAGGGTCTTGGTAGTAAGCAAAAAGTTTTCATACTTAATCAATAATCAATATTCAATAACCAGATTCCAATTCAAAATAAATACATGCTACAAAGTCAACACGCTCCTCCGGCTTCTGATGGTCTCGTGGAAGCCAGCTACTCTCAATCAAAGATGGTAGCAGTAGAGCATGACTTGGTATATATTGTTATTGGACCGATCGAGAAGTTACGAGGAAAGGGGAAAGGGAAAAGCAAAGGCAAAGGGATAGGCAAAGGCAAAGGCCCAGAGGAAAAATGAGAAAAGGGGAGGAAGCCAAAATATATATATATATACTACATATTTTCGTCGCTGCTTTACATAGATAGCAAGAGTGGACAAAACAAATCATAAGGTACAAGACAAGACAAGAAGACACCGGTGAGGGTTGTGCGGTCATTGGGATCTCGGATCTCGTATTGCTGCGAAGAAAGGTGATGATGATGTGGGATGATGTGGGAAGTCATTATATATATCTATATTATATCCATATCTATATTACACTACATTGAGATAAACTGGAATCTACAGCTAGCTAAGACCGTACGTAAACTATTAGAAATGCGGTCACTTCAGGTTGGCTTGGAGGGAATACGTCGATTATAAAATAGACGCAGATATCTATTTAAGCTTCGGGCTGTTGGAGAGCTTTATAGGAGAGAAAAAAAAAACTTCGATTGGGCGCTTGGGTAGTGAGTGATATGGTACTTGGGAAAAGGTGAGGAGGTAGGTAGGTATCTTACAAGCTGGATTTGCGAGCTAGGGTTGCGTAGGGACTGACTTCTTCTCTTTGAATTATTATTATTATTAATAATTTTTAATTTTTTTTTCTTTTGAATACTTGAGTAATAGCTAATTGATGACAGAAAAAAGATATGCTCGAGAAACGGCTTGCATCGGGCTAAAAGGGTCTGTTGCTGTAGACTAGGTGCTCGAAGGGTAGCTAGCTGCTTGTATTGCGCTGAAGGGGGCTAGAAGGGTCAAAGAAGCAATTGCTACGACGCGAATGCTCGAAGGATGGCTGGCTGTACCAGCCTAAAAGGGGCTATTGCTATAGCTTATAGCTTACGAATCTTACATCGCGAAGTCCGGAAAACTTACCTCGGAGCTTGCGGGAGGCCGTAAGTTTGAGCTTGCGGCCGGGCTGACGCGTACATCTTTTCAAAGCGTATTTCTTCTTGGGGAATTGATGTAGCGTTGATATTAAAGGCCTCGGAAGGCAGCCTTGCACCACGACCGGGGCGCCAAGGAGTAGACCTCGTGTACATATATACCTACCTACATAGAACTTGAGGTATTGCTCACATACTGTACCTGCCTATACTTAAGTACGGAGGAGCTTTCAAAATATACTACTATCTGCTTGAGGTACGGAGTACGAAGGATTCGTAGGACTTGAAGGGAAGTGTTGCCTTGTTTATCGACGACGATTTTTAGGGCTCGCTAACTAAACTCTCGCTATTAAGAGGGAGTTGGCATTTTATTTTTCGATTTCGATTTCGATTTCGATTTCGGGGATCTTCGTGTAGATGCATGGATGGATGATGGATGAATGGATGGCATCTATTCGACAAAATCCCAAATCTTATTTTGATCATGAGAATGGGAATGGGAAAGGGAATGGATGGGTGAGGTGAGGTGATGGCCGGCTATGCTATGCAGGCCAGGCCAGACATCCCAGGAGAGGGAAGATGGAGTGAGTTAAGGGTTTTGCGACGACGATTCGGAGGGAGATTGGGATTGAGCCGTGGGGGCGAACGGGTTTTCCGCGCGGTGTTGGGAACGATACCTTGATGGCGCCGTATGATGCGCGAGTCAGGGCAGCGTCGCTCGTTATACCAGCGGAAAGCGACAGGAGAGCCTTGCCTGTACTATCTGGAGGTTAGTAATGGACTTGAACAAGACGGATTGGTATCTGAAATATACGCATTTCGTTCCCTGGTTACATGCTCCGCTCAAGCTGTACGAGCAGGACGTGATGATTCTGTTTTGAATCACCTCGCTTATGACTGACCCCAGTGGATCTCTTTTTCCCTTTTGTTTTGAGACTCGAGATCTTGGATATCGGATCTTTCAGGTGTGACCGAAACAGCAGGCGGCAAAGGCGCTATGCTGTATGTGACAATCAAACTATGATGCTCCTGCTCAGACCTGTGCTAATGATGCCTGAGATGCTGACTCCCTCGCTGCCATTACCTAGTAGATTACTATCCAGGAGGACCAACTCAACAGGAACTCCACGCTCGCGCGATACTAGTCGTCTGCTGTAGCTCCTTCGATTTTAACGACCATCTGATCTCGCAGTAGTACGCTCGCACGCCTCGAAAATACACTGTCTCAAGAGGGAAGAGCGGCAAGAATTGCAGGTAGAACGCCAAGTAGGCAGCCCTCACCACGCCACTAGACTGATCAACGCTTCTGTATTTGACGTCGTGGTATAAACATTCGTAAGCCATGTCCTCATCTCAATCATTCACTTTTGCCAATCCCATTACCCTCCATTTCTTATATCAAATTTATCTGACGCACTTATGTCTTCACGTCAGGCTCGGTGCGTCCAATGTGCTCCTGGAACTTCAAAAGTTCTGTAGCCAATTCGATATCCGGCTTTAGGAAGTCCTGGGCATCCAAGCCGTATGACTTGGTGTCGCTGGTGTGTTTCTCGATGTACAAACGAATAGTGGCGCCGGAGCTGCCAGTTCCTGAAAGACGGACCACAATACGGGATCCGTCAGAGAACTTGACATATAGACCCTGGTTGGGCGAAACGCTACCATCGAGATCGGTGTACGAGAAGTCACCGGCATCGGCAACCTTGCGATCTAGAAATGCATTAGCAATATTTCAAAGAAAAAGGGATAGCGACACCTACCAGCAACCGTCGACCCGATGAATGATTTGTCTTCAATTTTAGCTGTCAAATCCTTGACCAGCTGAGCAGCACCCTCACTGCTGACATTCTCGTAATCGTACCGCGTGAAGAAAGTGCGTCCATATATGTTCCAAAAATCATGTTGGATCTTGGAGATGCTCGGAGTGATCTCTGGGTTGGCCTCTCCGATACCAGCAATGATGTTCAACCAGGCGACAACAGCCCAAAGACCATCCTTCTCACGGATATGGTTGCTACCGGTACCGAAAGACTCCTCACCACAGATCGACAGCTTATCGGCATCGAAAAGGGCGCAAAAGAATTTCCAGCCTGTCGGCACCTCGTAGCTGTTCAATCCTTGAGCCTTGGCAACAAGGTCGACAGCACCAGATGTTGGCATGCTGCGGGCCAGGCCATACACACCCTGTTTCTTGAAGTATGGGATGAGCTGAGCGTGGTGAGCAATGATGGCCAAACTATCTCCGGGAGAGACAAATGCATTGGCACCGTAAATCATGTTACGGTCTCCGTCTCCATCACTAGCAGCTCCAAAGTGGATCTTTCCCTTGTCGACAGCCTCGACCAGCGAGTGTGCGTAGGTAAGGTTCGGATCTGGGTGACCACCATTGAAGTCTGGAGATGGGATGCAGTTTTGGGTGCTGGCGCTAGAGAGGCCAAACTCATGCTCGAAGATGGCCTTTCCATATGGGCCAGTGACACCACTGAGAGCATCGAAAAGAACCTTGAAGTCGGTATGAGACTCGAAGAACTTCTTGATCAGGGGGAAGTCAAAGATGTCTTTCAACATCTCGACATAGTCCGCAACTGAATCGATAACCTCCACCTCCAGATCACCATATGTCTTGGTGCCGATTGTGTTGATATCAATTTCGGGGATATCTGCGATCTTGTAGGACGTGAGGGTCTTGGAGGTTGCGAACATCTTGTTGGTGACTGATTCAGGGGCTGGTCCACCATTCGCCAGGTTGTATTTGATACCGAAGTCATTCTTGGGACCTATTTGGCACATTAGCAGAGCCCAAAACGTAGCTTAGGCCAGCCTTACCTCCTGCATTGTGACTGGCCGTCAACAGAATACCACCGGTAGCTTTGCGCTTGCGGATGATGTGACTAGCAGCAGGTGTACTCAAGATACCGCCCTGACCGATCAGAAGCTTCTTCACTCCATAGGCAGCTCCAATCTTCGCGATCAACTGCACGACCTCGGGGTTCCAGTATCGTCCATCACCACCAATGACCAAGAAACTGTCTTTGGCTCCTTCTGGGATGGAGAGCAGGATGCTGGTAACGAAGGATTCACTATAGTGAGGTTGTTGGAAGACGACGACCTTTTTTCTCAGCCCTGATCTGCGCAGCTGTTAGCTCTGGCGCGGGGTAGAGACGATGGCGGGGTCTGAGAAAACCTACGTTCCGGGCTTTTGGTCTGTGAAAGACTTGAAGGTAACTTCTTGGACACTCATGATTGCACTGTACGTATGAAGAGGTTTGGGTTTGGGTTTGGGTTTGGAGGAGAGAATTTAAGGAAGGGAAGAGAAGAGAAGACAAGAGAAAGCGATGGTTGCGTGGAAGTCAACAAGAAGTACAGCAGAAGCAAGTAGAAGAAGGCCAAGGCGGTGATCATTCATCGAGCGCGGGGCTTCGGCGCCACAGATCTACCTACTGTGGCTCATGCCTCAGCCAACTACCGTATCTACCAGCCAGTTAATACCGTATTCCGTATAATAATCGTCTTTACTCGCTCCAGAAAGGGCCAATGCTAGTGATATATATCGCTTGACGGAGTATTGCTTCATCCCCATTCCCAGAGTCGCTGGAACATCGCGACTTTTCGCTATCATAACAGACCAGAGACGGAAGTCCATTGGCATCTGTCCCAGAATCAAGCAATATAGTCCCACGGCAGGGATCCTGCATGTCCTCACTTCTTCTGGAAAACGGCCTCCTTGAAGTATCTCGCTTCCTCTATGCTCTCGAGTATATCTTCCTTAGCAGTATGGCTGTTCTTCTTCTTGGGGAGCCCCAACAGCAAGTCTAGAGTGCCCCATCGTTTCAAAGCCTCCTTCATAGTGCTGACATCGAATAGCCTGTAATGTAGATGGTCTACCACTTGCTTGTATGGCTCCTGACGCAAGAACGCCTTGTCCGCATGTATGCTGTTCCCGGCGAGCAACCCGCGCTTGGGCTCCGGAATAAATTTCTTGATGTATTCAAGGAGGCCGGTGGCTGCTTGCTCGGGAGTCGTTTTCGACGCGATGACCGCTGCCGTCAAGCCATTCTCGCCATGGGTCCGAGTACACCACTCGTCCTGTGTTGCTTAGTGGTGGCCGGGCAAGAGGAGTCGCACAACGGTACCATTTTGTCCATTCTCTCCTTGGGCTGGTGGATCACTGCCCCCCACCCGCTCTCGTCCATTACATCCAGGTTTCCATTTGTGATTATGCAGAATATTTCGATTATAACATCGTTATCAATGTCCAGTCCAGTCATCCGCGGTGTAAGTTAGCGAATTGTACTCTTTCAAGGGGCTTGGTGGACATACTTCGCAATCGATCCATACGAGCGGATGGCTGGTACTTAGTTCGGCCATTGAATTGACGTAGTGGACGCCTGTCTTGCGGTGGTGGGAGTGTGGTTCTCGTGCTTGAAAATGAGTGCGTTCAGCTCAAGCCTCGTATGCAGCCTCGCATCTCGCAGCCTAGAGATTCGCTCTGGTTCATACCACGTGACAAATATGATGTTCTGATCTTGGAGCCTTATCTTCTGACTGGAAATGATTACTCGCAAATTTCTCAGTTCTTCTGTGCTGCCAAGGATGTTTGGAGTATCATTTGTGAATTCTCAGGAGCAGTTTGATTTCCGTCACACCGAAGCGAGACCCAAAACAAAACATCAATAACCGCACCCGACAATCAATCAATCTATCCAACCCAGTTCAAGCTCTAGTATCTCTTTGAATATTATCCAAAAGTTCTGGATCATCCTCGGTTACCTCTGCTTTTCCTACAATCTATTTCCTCCTCAGCGACTCTTCAACATGGTTTTCCTACACAATTCCACCGACTAGACTATTCCGCACAACACAACAATGAACCTGTTGCCCGGCACCTTCTCCCGCTTTTTCTTGAGCCATCTCCCTGATTCCCTCCTTCCATTCTTCAAACAATGCCCGCGAGACAACCAATAACATAGACACAAGTACTCGGCCATTATCTGAAGTCCCTCCATAACAAGAAGCGACAATCCAACGATGGAGGGAGGGAGGAACGAGAGAAAAAAACAAGAAGACAAGAATATGATTATGAAATTCAACAACAAACAAAACACGCTAAACGAACAACAACATTGAAATCCACAGAAAGGAAAATTTCAAAACCTGGAGATACCTAGCTTGACCAATCCTCTCTTTTACCGCTCTTGTTGTTGTGGGTGTGGCTTACCTCCACGGAGGATTGGCTGCCGGACACATACTTCGGCGAATAGATGATGGTCGCATTTGAGAGAGGTTGTAGATTCTTGTGGCGGCTGCCAGATCTGCGTCTTTAGCGCTGATAGTACACAATACCCGAGTACTCTTGACAGCACTGTGCTGCTCGCTGGAAGCAAAGAAAGTGAAGCTGGAATCAGGACCGGGCTGCAAAGATCCGAGTCGGGTATATTCCGATTCCGAGATGTCTCCTGGCGAAATTTTCAGATTCCATAGGGCAAATCGCTAGACGCCATTTGCATTTCGTAAGTGTTTCGTGTTGTTTCGTATTCTCATATAAAGTTGTCCTGGCAAATACCACGGCCGATACATACGACTTCCCAATGCCACGGGCCTCAACCACCAAACAAGCTCCTAAACGCCTGTGTCTAGAAAATATGCAATGTCACCACTGCATGGCACCTTCTCCAGATGCCCTCCCGCAAGGAATCTTCCCTACTCGATCCTACTGATTACCCCGGTACACCACATCTCCATATAGATCTGCCGTCAGCACGTCAGCCTGCTTGTTTCGTGGTCTCATTTTCCCGCATCCATAAGAACCAAAAGAACTCACTCTCCCAATTTCGGTCCAGCAGCAAGCTCTCCATTCTATCGTACTCCTCCTGGAACTTCTTGGACGTGTAGCTCGAACCAGGTGTGCCGAAATTGGCTTTCGTCTCGCCCTTTGCGGAATTGCTGCTACTATTACCGCTAGCCTGAGAGGCAGATGAGGTGTGATTGAAGTTGGTGCGCTCGACGTGTGCGGTGTTATTGTCTGGGGGAGAGTCGGGGGCTTCCGTCATTTGTTGGTCGGTGGTGGGTTTGCTTTCGGATGCTGAGGAAAGTGTCAGAGACATTTTTTGGTAGATGGATAGGGGGAGGAGGGGTGAAATGCTTACACGACATATTTTCTTGATTATTTGTAGTTGTTTGGTTGTTGGCAAGTGATGGCGGGGAGTTGGAGTTGTCGTGGAAGTCCAACGCCAACTCACGTGTGCCGAGTTCAATTCTACGACGACGTAAGTGAATATTAGAATTTTCGATTGAATCAGATTTCTTGTTTCCCAACGTACAGACTACATAGTTGTAAGCTTTCAAAATGAAGAAGTTTATCAAAACCCAACATCTATATCTCTATAATCACCACAAATCGGAATCTGTACTGCACTACCTAGCTAGCGTCACAACCCCACAGTCGTTCCGATCCTCGGACAGTTATTCCAACCCACAATCATCACTACCTACTCACCAGCCTAAAGTTCTAAATTCGAATCCACAACCACCTCCCACCATGAGTAAGAAAGCCACCATTCCCGACGCCTGGGATGACGACTGGGAATCCCAAGCCGATAAAGCCGACCCAGCAGCCGAGAGCACAAACGCCAAAGGACCCGAAGCAGCAGCAGATGGAGGAGTCAAGCTCACGAAAGCCGAGCGTCTGGCCCAGCACAAGGAGAACCAGAAGAAGATCTGGGAGAATGCGTACGCTACTTCCTCCCCCTTCAGTACTCCCGATGTCTCACTGCGTCTCTCTCTCTCTCCTTATATAAAACGATAAGGCTAATGAGACCACGACACCAACAGCCAAGAGCCCGAGACGCCCTACTTCCTCAGCACGCGCGCTCCGGTGCCCCTGACGCAGGAGTTCAAGCCCGCGCTGAAACTGCTCTCGCGCAAGCCGACGCCGAATATGGTCCAGAAGATTGATCCGCTGACCGGGTTAGCGACAATGACGCTGGAGGATGAGGAGGAGGAGGAGGAGGTTATAAAGAAGGATTTGCCAACGGCAGAGGAGCTGAGGGCACAGAGGGAGGAGAAGCAGAGGCGGTATAATGAGGCGCGGGCGAGGATCCTGGGTCCCGCTGGGGGCTCGATGTCGGGGTCAGGGACGCCGCCTGAGGGAAGAAGTGGTGGGAAGGGGAGGGGGGGACGAGCTGGAGGAAGTGGTAGTGGAAGGCAGGAGATTGTAAGGCCGTCTTCGAGTCAATCCGTGAGCAAGGATTTGTACGATCCGAACTACACGCCGAAGCCGACTACGATACAGCAGCGCACCGGATCTGGAAGGAGCACGCCCAAGGACGACGATCAAATTATACGTGCACCACGAGGACCGGACAGCAATAGCAGAGGGTTTGGATTTGCGAACAGGGGACGGAAGATGGGTTGATTTTTCTGCTCTAGATTATTTACCAACCGCCACCCAGCTTGCCCGCGATCTCTATGATCTGCTCCGCGTCGCCAATCTTCTTGCCGACGTCTGAGACCACCTCCCGGTAGCTCGTGTATACCAACCGCCCCAGATCTAGGCCGGTTGTAGATGCCCAATGGGCAAGGGTATCTTTTATGTAGGACGGCGAAATACCGTCTACCAAATCATTACGACTCTCCAAACAGCTTTCGTCATCTTCTCCGGAAAAATAGGCCTCGTCGACTTGCGCCAGCCATTCCTTCTGCTCTTGAGGACCTGGCCTAATCTCGCTAATCTCAACGCCAGATATTATGGGATCGTCGACCTTTATTTGACCCCCACCGTTGGTACAGCCTCCTGGACAGGCCATTACTTCGACATAAGAGAATTCTGGACCGCTGGCCTTACCAACAGGCTTTCTGGCACTTCCAATAGGTTTACCGCCTGGCATCCGAGATGGTCTCGCAGGCTTTAACTTGCGGACGAGATTCTGGATGTTGCGGAATCCATAGTAGCGAGCAGCTTTGAATAAGGTCTCGCCTGCCGATGAGGTGACCGAGTATTCCAGAACATCTGCGTTACGGCCACGAGTTGTCTGGATAGTGGCGCCCTCATGCTGAGAAGCAAAGTACTGCAGAACATAGTAAAGGTTACCTCCCGAAGTGCCAGCAGCTGGGACATTGTTCTTCCGCCGTCTGACGGGTGGGAAAAGAAAAGCATCAAGCTTAAGATCAGGGAACGGTATCCTGGAAGGCAAAGGCGCCCTAGGCAACTTCGCAAAATCTACCCTTCTCGATTCGGCCAACATGAGTAACTCCTTACTCGTAATAACACTGTCCACGTCTCTCACTCCTCTGGTCCCAGTTCCCTCCCACACGGCGTCAGTGAGTTCCTCGCGACTAGCCTCCAACTTTTTATCAAAGCATGGCATGATAGCCACATGCCAAATCCTATCTGGCGAAATACCAAGTTTCTTGCTCAGTGTCGTCTTCAGCAATGTTCCCATGAGTGCCTGCGGTGACTTCAGACGTGACAAATGCGGTAAGATATGCGGATGTGTCTTCTCCGCGTAGCATACCCACCCCGGACACGAAGACGACAGTATCGGCTTCTGGGGCTGGTTCTGCGCATCTCCCTGTCCCAAACCATTCGTTGTTCCTTTTCCGGCGAGTAACGAGTGCATGACCTCGTCCGCACCCAACACCAAACACGCATCCCGAGCTACGTTCGTATCAACCACCCACTGAAACGCATTCCTGTAGACTGCCCTCCCCTTAACCCCCCGTGGCCCACTAAGCAGCTGCTCAATCATATATCCGGCCTCCCTCTCTGTAACCTTGAATGTCGCCGCAATGCTGGCCCGCGTCTGCGGACTCACGCTTGCGACATAGATCCTGCCTGGGTCCTCGGGATTCTCGATGACAAGGCCAGTCGGGGAGGAGATGAGGCGTAGGGCTGGCGCAGAGTCCAGCTCCGACAGGACTTCAGTGTGGGACTGCAGGGACACGAGCACGGCCTCGGCAGAAGTGACGCAGCCGGAGCAGGCGAGGCAGTCAGTGAGAGAGATCTGCGCGGGTGGGAGGTTGTTGTTGTTGGATGAGGGAGGGGGCGCGTCGGTGTTGAAGGAGATTTCATATTCGTTCTAATGAGGAGTCAGAAGAGATCTAGGGGTCATGCGGAGGGAAACTTGCGCTTTCTGGGGGTGCCTGGGCGGGCAAGGTCTCGACGGGCTTGATACATGCTACGCCTGGGGAGATGAAGTCGTTGAGCGTGTCGATTGAAAGGATGGCGGACATGGTTTGGGGTGAGCGAGCGAGCGCGTTGCGCCGCAGGGGTTGAAGAGTTGTAATTCTTAGAATGGGGTGGGGCAAGGAGGCGGAGTTTTCTGATTGCTGATGATTGACACAATCTCGGTTTCTCTTGGGTGAGACAAACACAAAGAGATGTCGATTGTTGTTGTTGATTGTAGATGTCGAGCAGAGACAAGAAAAGATTGGTCATCCCGATGATCGGAATCGGAAATGTCCCGTCGAGGATTGGGTGGCGATTAGATCCAGGGCAGGTACTGGCGCTAAGGTGGGACTACCACTGGCAAATGCCCCGCTCTAACCAGATATGGATGTTTACTTTCGATGTGTTCTGTTTCGTTGTTTGAAAATAGAAAACAGAAGGTGCCTATGGAATCTTCTAAGCAGCTCTACAGAGCGAGAGCTTTGGTGCAATCTAATTCAATCATATCTTCAGTACAAGTATCATTCAATGAGTAAGTATAAGTTGCCGTACATAATAGATGAAGAGAAGCAGCCCCTCGCTCGTCTTGGATTCTTAATTCAAATTGACTGCTTATAAGAAAGAATTGGAACTTGATATTCCGAATCCTCTCAGTCTTTACAACTCTGTATTAAATCGAGCAATGTCGGAGTTTATGATCAGTTCTTGATTTTTCCACAAAGGGCTCAGGTCCACGACTGGGAACAATTAATAAATTGAAAGGCTGGTTGCACCGATGACGTAGCTTCCGTTTCCTCGTTCCTGAATCTCACTCCCAGCTCTCTCTTCACTTCAAAGGAAACATCCTCTTCATTTTGGATACCACCAACTCTAAAACAGAATCATTCAGGACAGGAAATTCATAACAATGGACGTAAGCAATATCTTCCATCTGATAAAATCCTTTGCGAGCAAAGACTAAGCTAACAATCACCAGGTCTTCTACACATACTCCTACGGGTCAGCCGCCTGGCTCGCATTGCAAGCAGCACCATTGATCATCTCCCCAACGATAATCATTACGCTTCTCTCCCCAGATGTCCGAGAAGCTACTCGTCTGTCTCTCATTCCCTCTTCATGGGTACCCAGCCCAGCTAACGAAAAGCCAGCTCTCGAGGAGTACTTCTCCCGCTCTCTGGGTCTGACGCTGTTAACACTCGGCACAATGATCGTGCTGCTCACTGGCTCCGTCCCTCTGACATCCTCAATCTCCGATAGTATGTTTCACCTCCTATCTCCTCCCTCGCACTTTCCAAGCCCCCCCCTTAAACACACAGCTATTGACACGACTCCAGCGACCAACGCCGCAGTGACAACCGAAGCCTCTGACCCAAAAGCCCCCTACGCCGTTCCCGTCCTCACCATCTCCTTTGCCTACCACTCCGCTATGGCCTTCTACTGCTACGCCCGGTACACTTCTTCCTCGCAGACGCCATTCGTCCTCGGCGGGCTGGGGAGCGGCGCGCTGGCCGCCGTGGGGCTGTGGTGTATTCTGTTTGCGAGCACGAATGGGAGAATTAGTAGGAAGACGGGGGCGGACAAGAGGACGAGTGGCTTTCCATTTCGCAATCGGGAGAGTGCGGGGGCGAAGAAGAGGGAATTGGGAAAGAGTAACTAAGAGGGGGAGGGGCTTAGGGTGCGCATGCTGCAGTTCATGATGGAAATGGAAGATGTGTATGGGTGTCTGGGTGTATACTAGGGACTTGAGACTTGGGACTGGACTTGGGACTTGGGACTTGGGACTTGGGACTTGGGACTTGGGACTTGGGACTGGCAATTTGAAAAGTTTGGAGTTTGATTCAGAGCTCGGGGCAATTGCAACTACGCACCCATGATTACGAGACTCGGGAGTTTGGCTCGAGGCGAAAGAAAGGAAGGAAATAAATGCACCAAAAGCAGCTACCTATCTCCAAAGTTGGAATCTATGCCCATGAAATAAACATTTGTTTGGCCCTATTTTCCCTCCTATAACTTGCTAGAGGATCAATAGGTGCCAAGGACAAACAAGTAAGTACTTCAAGGTGGTCAAGTTCCCGCCGGCAGATCTGCCTGTCGGGTCGTCTAGAAGTCATATCTAGCATAGATTCAAGAATGCCATGCACGACCGATTAGAGAAAATCGCATAGGACGTATATAACAACGTAAGCGATATCAACCAAAGTTGTTTCCATCTCCGCTCTTCTCACACTTGCTGAAGTAATGGCTTCTATCAAATACTGTCGTCATACTTACCCGATTGAGAGAATAACCCCGCATGGCCCACTGCAGCTTGTCTCTCGACATGAGAGGGCAGGGCCAAGACCAAAAAGTCAAGTGAAAGCTTGAGAAATTAGATATAAAGGTATCTATCTGCTGGAATATCCGTCCGTAGCCTCCCAAATCAATACATTTTGGCTTCAGTCCGATACACCTCAACACCTGCAGTCTGTATAGAAAACATGCCCGAAATAGCAGGAAAGCAAATAGGCCCCATCGGCTACGGCCTAATGGGTTGGTCCACCCCCAACCCCAACCCCACCCCCGCCCCAACCCACCCACCTACTTCAGAGACTCGACTTTCAAATATTGACTGACATCTCTCAAGGCCTCACATGGCGTGCATCACCGCCCTCGGAATCGCAATCCTTCGCCGCGATGCGCGCCTCCCTCGCCACGGGCGCCAACTTCTGGAACGCAGGCGAGTTTTACGGCACGCCCACCCATAACTCGCTTACCCTCCTGAACAGGTACTTTGAAAAGTACCCCGAGGATGCAGAGAAAGTGGTGTTGAGCGTCAAAGGCGGGCTAGTGAACATGAAGCCCGATGGCACGGCTGAGGGGGTGAGGAGGAGTGTGGAGAATTGCTTGAGTCTGTTGGGGGGGAAGAAGGGGATCGATGTTTTTGAGTGTGCGAGGGTGGATAAGAACGTGCCTATTGAGGAGACGATGAGGGCTTTGGAGGGATTGGTAAGGGAAGGAAAGATTGGGGGAGTTGCATTGGTATGTCAACAATATTCGCTTGATTGTTCCGTGCTTCTTGGGCGGCGATAGGACTTCACAAGAACTACTTGACATGGAGGAAAGTTTACATGCTAACAACGTGGACAGAGCGAGGTGAGCGCTGAGACTGTGAGAAGGGCGGCGAAGGTTACGAAGATTGTAGCCGTGGAGGTGGAATTGAGTTTGTGGAGTTTGGATGTTTTGAGCAATGGGGTTGCGGAAGCGTGTGCTCAGCACAACATCCCTATGGTTGCGTGCGTTTAATCTATCCGGCTGTGCGGTGAGGGGAAACGGACAGCGCTGACAGAAGCAGATACTCACCCATAGGACATGGTATGTTGACCGGCGACATCAAATCGCCAGACGACATTCCAGAAAACGACATGAGAAAGAAGATGCCTAGGTTCAGACCAGAGAACTTTAGCAAGAATCTGGACTTGGTCAAGGAGCTGCAAGTTATTGCCGAGCGCAAAGGCGTCACTCCTGCCCAGCTGGCTCTCGCTTGGTTGAGGAGTATGTCGAAGAAAGACGGGAAACCCGAGATTATACCAATTCCTGGCGCGACGACTGAAGCAAGGGTCTTGGAGAACTCCAAGGATGTTACTTTGAGTGCTGGGGAGTTGAAGGCTATTGATGAAATATTGAAGGACTTCAAGGTGGTAGGGGATAGGTATGACGAGCATGGAATGGCGCATTGCGAGGGTTGATACGAGAGTATCTGATGCCACATGATGGTTAGCGGAAACCTGAATGGATGCCATGAGTGGAATAAATAGAATATAGCACCGGGCAGACTGCTCAGAAAAAAATATGTGTTGGTTCGTCGTCATACAACAGGCCGAGACCTGCCGGTTACGAATTGCAGAACAACTGTCGTCATAGCAGAGGAGGATGAGAAGCGAGTAAGATGAATCTTATACCAACCTACACGTTGATTGTCAATTCACTTTGTGTTGTGAATTATAGATTGTTCTTCTGTTGAGGTGATGTGAAAAGTTGAAGTAGCGGGAATCAACAAGAAGAAAGCTAATAGTGGGGCTTTTTGCCGCAGCCCCACTATTACCTAACTTGTATCTTCCACGGATAAACTTCTTCTCCGGATAAACCTCATCCCCGGATAAACATCCAACTTCACCCTCCATCAAACCAGAACAGCACGAAGCCGAGCCGCAAAGCTGCCGACCAATTTTCTAAATAAGTGAATATATAATCTCAGTATCATGGATCGTGAATCGCCCCCTCAATCCCCCCTCTCAGACATCGATTCTGAGCGATTCGACTACGACACCGACGACCCTTACACGGGCAACCCACCCAACATGCCACCCGCAAAGCGCCAGAAGCTGGAGTTCGACGATACCCTCTCAATTTCCTCCGACAGCTCCGCCGAAGTGCCTAACTCGCCCAGCAACCGCTTCGATGACGATGACGTCCACGAGCAAGTGACCATCTGTACGTGGGTGGACTGCGATGCGGGAGATCTGGAGAATATGGATCGCCTGGTCGAGCATATCCACAACGAGCATATCGATTTGAGGGGCAAAAAGTACACGTGTGAGTGGGCGGATTGCCCGCGCATTGGAATGCAACATGCGAGTGCGTATGCTCTGAAGGCGCATATGAGGAGCCATACGAGAGAGAAGCCGTTTTATTGCACGTTGCCTGGTACGTTCCCAATCTCCTAGATCGGTAATAATAGCTGATATCTTTCAAGAATGTGATCGTGCATTCACGCGTTCAGACGCCCTCGCCAAACACCACCGGACGGTCCACGAGACCGAAGCTCTACGCCCCTCAGACCCAATCCCCAAATCCATGTCCGGGCACAAGTCTCAGCGTACGAAGACGAACAACAAGGAAGACCGGTCCCAGTCCGAAGGCAACGCTCCGGGAGCTTCCGCTACAAACGGAACCACCAATGGCCATGCCTCTGGTTCTACAGGCTGGACAACCTCCTACCCTCCCGAACTCGGCTTTACTGCGGAGGAAGAAGCCAGAGGACCGAAAGAACTGTACTACTTGCTCCGCCAACAAATAGAGTGGGCCGAGGAAGAAGCCGAGGTACTACGAAAGCAGGGTGAGGCGATGGAGGAACTGAGGAAGAAGGAGTGGATGGATAAAGAGATTCTGCTGGAGCACGTCATAGAAGTTGATCGGGATTGGCAGGAGAGGCGATTACTTGTTTTGCAGGGTGCGGCGGATCTGCCTTCTGCGGATGTTATCAAGGCAGCGGCTCTGAGGGAGAAGAGCGGCAGTTTTAGTGCTGGATCGACCGGCTTCCTTGCCCCAGGCTCGCCGGTTATGATTCAGCCTTCGTCTCCGAGTCCGATGGTTAAGGTTGAGAGCCAGAAGGAGAATGCAGATGCTCTGACCGGTATGCGTGATTAGGGATGGGACGATGTTACGACTTACGATGGTTGCTAGGCCGGCATAGTTTATGCGGTGTTCGCTTCAGCGACTGTGTACAATTAATAATGGGGGTGGCGGGGCATCTGGCGAATTCGCAGTTAATGTGGTCGGTCACATTACTCACGTGGTAGCGCCGTACAACGGTAAACGATAAATGATAGCACTTCTTAGAACTTACTATTCTCCCTACTCGTCGCATTTGCCTGTGACGAATCACTAGCCAGTTTCTACGATTTAAACATTTCACGTCAAGCAATTGTAGTTTTGGGGTTACGATAGCTGGAGCAAAGATCAAATCAAAGGTGCTTTACTGTTGCTTAACGGACTTGCTCGCAGCTCTTCATGCGAAAAATCTGTTGCAAGGTAGCCTATTTACAGAGCGAGGATAATATGCTAGTACACCAGCTCGAAAGCAATCGAAAGCAAAGTCCGAACGCTTTTTCTGATCTCGTTAGGACGGGTTAGCAATAGCTCTCGGCTAAATCAATGGAACGTAAACAATCCCTGACTAAGCCCCTCTCGCAAATCACATACAGCAGAACCTACCACCATCTATATATCTTACAAAACACAATAAGCTCTTTGAGACGATATGATGTATTGTCGTTCTTATTCACCGATTAGAGAAGCTGACTCGTAGTGGCCGCGTTCCGCGGAACTGCTATAAATATGCTATCGAGATTCACCGCGAGATTCTATCTCTCTGGTGAAACTATTCACTTCTTCACCTAAACATTGATCACCTGATTTACACGCTAGGAAAGACGCCGAATTAGCCCCATCTAGCGCGTACTTCCTTCCGTCCTGGTTCTCGACAAGTGAATGTACCTTCGCCATCAAAACTATCAACCTTCAGCCTTGACACGACTTCAAGATCGAGATAATTCAGCTCTGTGGATTCGAAAAGTTTGGAACAGCATTCGGTACCACCATGTCCGCCCCTCCAGTATCGCCCGGAGGCGAACTGACCCTTCAACGTCCGAAGACTATAGTATCCTTCTGGTAAGCTCCACCCTTTCTCACAAGCTCCTCGGGCCTTCCCCTCATACCTGGACTTGAGCTGATAACTTCTTCCTTGCTTGTAGCGATCCCGAATCCATTGTGACCTTTCTCATCGGTCCAATCGACAAGCCCGCCAGATTCCTTATTCACAAGGAGGTGGTCTGCAAGAGCTCTAAGGTCTTCGCGGCGGCTCTGTACGTACTAGTAATCTCCTATCACTCCAACATCCCGAAGCTCCAACATATGAGGATTATCCTATGATCATCTGATATATATATTCGTCAAGATTGCAGCTGCTAACTAAGCTTCTCTGCTACATAGATCCAACTGCAACTTCATCGAAGGCCAAACCCAGACGTACCGACTGGACGATACCACCGCACGAGCTTTCCGAATGCTTATGCAATGGATGTACGCCCATGAGCTTATCCTTCTGGAGACAGGCCGTGAGCAGATAGTGAAGCAGAACCTCGCCTTGGTAGAGACGTGGATCTTGGCCGACAAGTTCGACCTTCCTGCCCTACAAAACTACATCATTGAAGCCATCTACAGCCAGCTTTCGGGCCCTTCCTTTCATCTCCCGATATACACATCCAGACTCGTCTACGGCCAAACGGCTTCCGGAAGCCCTCTCCGAAAACTTATGGTCAGCTTGGCCGTCGGGTACATGGAAGCGGGGCTCCTGTATGAAGTCAGGGAATTTCTGCCGTATGATTTTCTACTTGATATTACCGCGAGCTTTATCGAAGGACGAGGATCTCGGCGAACGGAGAGAATTCCCTCTTCGACTTTCTACGTCAAGGTCGAGGATGCGTGAAGGAGTTCTTACTCAGACAGACGGAAATGCCTCGCTCACCCACGCTCCTGTTAGCAGAAGAAACCCTCGAATAGCAGCTTGACTGTGGGTGCTTGGGTCTCGACCTCCTGGACTTGGCTAGGGCCCACTGGACGGTTGACCTAGTACCTCTGATGCATCTTTGACAACCTGAGCACTCGAAGCATTAGACTTCTGGGGTGCCCGTTTCGAAGAACTGAGCACCGTCCTCACTTTTTCCTGTGCCCAAAAGTTCGATTCTACCTTCATCTTTGTTTTTGCCTCCGCAGGCTATTTGGCCCTGCCGACCTTTCGATCGCAGCCAATGTGATGGGATGGCGAATTGGTCAATGGGAGGGAGAATTTTCCAGCGCACACTCAGATGAATAGCCTACTGCGAATAAAATTTCATTCTTTGCATCTTCCAGAAGATCTCCGTTTGCTGGTCAACTAACTAACGCCAAATGCATATCGTGTACAGATAGCCCATACACATCCTCAACCTCTTTCGTTTCCTTCGCGTCCCCCCACAGCCTAGACATCAACCAACTTCCCGGTCCTCGCAACCTTCCCTCCCTTCTCCTCCTCACCAGCTGCGCTCTGCCCGTCCTCATCACCACTCTCCTCGCTCTCCTCCTCCCAGCCCCTCGTATCCCTTGCCGCAGCCCTCTCAACCAACGCACAACTACTCAACTCCTTCTTCTTTCTCTCCTTCTCGACCACTGCGGCCCCCTTTCCCTGATCCTCCCGCGCCGCCACGCTCCTCAGCCGAGCAATAATCTGCTCCCCCAACTCCTCCCCCTTGACAACCCTCCCCCCACCCCTCTGCACACGATCCCTCCCCCCAACCCTCTCCCTCTCCCTCTCCCTCTCCCTCGGTCTCATCCTCTCCCTCCCACCCCCAGGCCCATGCAGAACACCACAGCACGCACCACCGTTCCCGCCCAGGCTACCGCAGACCTTCGCCCCAGGTGGCGGCGGCCGTCTACTTCTCGGGGCGCGATCATTGCCCGCAGCGCCACGGCTGAGATCGGGGTTCTCAGCAGCGAAATAGCCCGGGTTCATGCGTCGGAACCAAGCCGGCCAGTCGGATAGCCCGACCTCCTGGAGGCCCGAGTTCGACATCGGCATGATGTGTCTGTAGCGGCACTGCTGGCCCCATTTGCAGATACCGTGGTGGCACCAGTGGCGGCAAAGCTGGGAGGCTGGGGCGGACGTCGAGGGCCGGGTGTGGGTGTGGGTATAGGTGTGAGCGTGAGTGTGAGGGTCTTTTGGGGTGGAGGGAGGAGTGCTATTTGGTGTTACTGTTGTTGTTGCTGTTGTTGGTGGTGGTGGTGGTGCGGGTGGGGGTGGTTGCTCGTGGTTCCTCGCTGGGGTTGTTGGGGGACTGGGGATCGCGGTTTGCTTGCTGCGGCTTGTCAGTTGAGCTGCTTTATCAATCGATGCCTTGGCGGAAACTTCTGGCGCCGGAACGTACACGACGACCTTGCTGACGCCGGCAGCTTGGTTTTTCAACTCTTGGGGATGCAAAAGCTGGTAGCATGCGCCGCTGCTTCGCTGCAGCCCCAAATTCAGCATACCAATCGTGTTCTCCAAGTCAATCTTGCGAGGGACGCCGATAATATCCGTCCCAACAGGCAACTCATCGACAGCAATGAGAGGAACTACTTCGCCGGTTGTTCTGACGATGAAGTAAGCTGGCCAAGGCTTGCCTTTTTGGCTCGAAGGAATGTGATCCGGATGCATCGTGACCGAACGGACTGGTGTTTATCTGATAGACAAGTCCGGTGGAGTTGAGTAGAATTTGGCCTGGTCCGACGAAAAGAAACAGATGGGATTGAGGGAGTAGGTGGTAGTAGATATACATACATATTGAGGGCTGGATGGATGTCGCTTGACAGCGTTTGCGGCCCATGCAATAAGCAAATAGATCGCTCTCGCTTGTACACCGTCTACAAACCCGAGATAGAGGTACAGTTTGTTTATACAAACAAACGCGCTTGGTTAGCCCGTCAGGAGGCTGAGAAGAAGCTGTTGGCCCAGCACTCACCCAAACAAAATGCGAGGTAAACGATGAAATCAGCCGCATGGGGGTATCGATTTATCTCACCGCAATTCGATTCTGACCGTCGCCTCCAGCCCATCAACCAGATTTCCCAGCTCTCGCGTTCCATCTTCAATCTCAACCTCCCTCTTCATCCACTTCCCCTTTTCTCTGATCGCCTTCATCATCTCATCGACCTCTGCGGCGCCGTCATCTTCCTCGTCCTCGAAGCCCTCAAAGCCAGCAACGGGGTCCCACTCTCCAGTTTCCCAGATCAAACGCAAAGACAACGGTCGGATCCCAAACATCTTCCCCACAAGACCCTTAAGTCCATAAACATCGTAGGACATCGGAATCTCCCTTACTGCCCTCCTCTCCTCCTCTTCCCCCCCGACTTGAGTGTTTAGCGGAACGTAGAACGTAAATTTGATCAAACGTGCCTCCAAGAAATTAGGATTTAAGACTCCCGCTTCCTTGCGCGTGATAGGTGGAGCACCGTGTTTCTCGCAAAGATCAGCATACCTCGGGTGTCGAGAGATCACTTGTTTTTCTTTGCTCTGGGGTGCTTCTGAGATCTCCTTGGCGATCTGCGAGAGGTAAAACATCTCTGAATTCATGCGATCAGCAGGGCTAATCTTGCTAAAGTTCAAAATCTCCAGGTTTTGGATCCGGGCCAGAGTCAGCATGTAAGAGTCATCCATGCTGGTGAAGGACCCGACTTCCTTGCTGGTCTTGTAGATGGGGTTGTGATCGAAGCGGAGGGCGTTCATTCCTGGAAAGACGTGTGGCAGGTCGTCGACAAATTTCCAGGTGGATACGGCGTTATAGGATAGATCGACGTAATTCAATTGCTTGCCAAAAGATGGGATTTCTGAGAGGTTATGTGGCTCGGCGCCAATCTCCGAAATCTTGTTTCCTTTAAGACGTAAGACCTCGAGAGAGTTCAGTTCTCGCAGTACTATGATGCTCATGAGACTTTCGAACGAATTATACTCCAGAGTCAAGGATGTCAACCTATTCGCGCGCAAAGGTAGGTCTAGCTTTTTGAGCCCATTCATCGAGGCCTCGAAGCTTCTGAGTTCATGGAAATGTGCCACAGCACGGATGAAGCCAGTCCACTCGAGGAGCATCTCGTCCATTGACACATCTGTAACTTTCGCAAACGTTGCCGCATATGAATGCTGCTCATCCGGCTGTATGCTCCCAACCAAGTCTGAGAAGCGATTACCACTGTCTTGATCAACCTCGACCCGAGAAAAGACGCGAGCTGACAAAAATAACTTACTTGACTCTCACACTCTTCAGAGCTCCCAGCTCCCCACAAATCCTCACAACCTCTCCAAAACTCCCAATAACATTCCTGCTTAGGTCCAGCTCCTCGATCTTCGGACAAACAGCCTTTATTTCCCCGGCATTGCTTTCCGCATGACTGATCCTCTGACCATCGACCAACACAATTTTCAGCTCATGCAGCCGAGCTTGCTGAGCTCTGATCTTGTCAAACCCGACTTCCTCAACAGTCTTGCCAGATATTACGTTGACGTCGGAGTCAGTGGAGGTGGCCGGGGAGCCGTATTTCTCTTCCACGGCTGAGACGAAGGATTGTGAGGTGTCTGGAGCTCGAGAAGAAGAGAGAAGAAAGGAAGCTGCTGTTGGGGAGCTGCTCCAGCCTGGATCTGAATGAACATCGAAATCATATTGCAGGCTTAGAAGGGAAGCTCACATGTGAAGTATCTTTTGCCTTGGTGGGTGCCGTCGTGTTTGCCCTTCAGATCGTCCCATTCGACTCCGAGATACTCTTTATCCGACTTGGTCCCTTCTACAGGACCTATGTAGCGAATAGTACATAGTCTCCCTTTGAACGAGACTCGCTTGCCTGTTTACATTAGCTTGGGGACTCTTCGACAGGGGGGTTGGGGAGGGTGTTTTGTGCGGTGCAAGATATGTGCAGGAAAAGGTTGATTTCTGAAGCCCAAACACGGTGGTTCTTACCTACATAGTACCCGGAAGACATTTCATGCAATTTCTAGCAAACTCAAGGATTTGAGTTGAGTTGTGAAAGTCTACCAGAGGAAACAACATGACGGTTAAAAGTAAAGCGGCAGCCTTGGCCAAAAGGCTGAGAGCTCGGCTGCGCAGCCGGACTTTCTGCTCAAGCTCAAGTCCCAACTCACCCCCCCGCGTCCACACCACCACCTCACAACACCCACACCGACCCTCCCCAAAAGCTCAAGATGGACTACCAGAACCGAGCCGGCTCCAAATTCGGCGGCGGCGGCGTGGCCTCCACCTCAGCAACCAACGCCGACCGCCGTGAGCGCCTCCGCAAGCTCGCCCTCGAGACCATCGACCTGGACAAGGACCCCTACTTCTTCAAGAACCACGTCGGCTCCTTCGAGTGCCGGCTGTGCCTGACGGTCCACCAGAATGACGGCTCCTACCTCGCGCACACGCAGGGCCGGAAGCACCAGACCAACCTCGCGCGGCGCGCTGCCAAGGAGCAGAAGGAAGGGCGCACTGGCCTGGACCCCGTGACGGGCCTGCCGGTGGGCATGGTCGGCGCGCAGGTTGCCGTTCGGCGGAACGTGGTCAAGATCGGGCGGCCCGGCTACAAGATCACGAAGACGCGCGACCCGGTGACGAGGCAGCAGGGCTTGGTCTTTCAGCTGCAGTATCCGGAGATTGCGCCGGATGTGACGCCCAAGGTCAGATTCATGAGTGCCTTTGAGCAGAAGGTGGACGATCCGCCCGACAAGAACTTTCAGTACATGCTGGTGGCGGCCGAACCGTATGAGACGTGTGGATTCAAGCTGCAGGCGCGCGAGGTGGATAGGACGAATGAACGCTACTATACCTGGTGGGATCCGGATTTGAAGGAGTTCTGGGTGCAGGTCATGTTCAAGACGGAGAGAGAGGAGCGTTACAGCGGTGTCCCGGGTCTGGCGCCTTCAGGAAATTCGCGGCGTTGAAGGGAAGGTGGATGGACAGGTCACATCAGGGAGTTTGGGGTTCTAGAAGGATGTATTATTACCTTACGGAATGGAGAGATGGATTGAGGTTTTCATCCATTCCTTTGAGATCTGTGACTTGCTAGCTACAGCATACGCCAATTCGAACACCTACGCCCTGAAATACAAATCAAGTTCTCCATTCAGAACAGTGCCGGAGATGCTCGCCCCTGAGTTTTTTCGCAATTGATTCCATGAAACGACAAATGCAGATCTTGTAAGTTCCCATGCAGCCTGTAAGGATATGAGGTAAAACCCAGACCTTCTCCGAGAGGAACTCCTTGGCTAGAGAGCGGAAGTGTAAGAGGCCGATGAGATGGAACTGTGTCTTGTCCGCAGGGCAGCTGAAGCCAAGGGGCAAGTTCAACAACGTGACATGCGCGATTCCCAACCTGTGTAAGCTCGTCTAACGATTGTTATTGAAATTGTCGAATCTCTTGAATGTATATCCAATAAATGGCAAGCTCATCTCGGGGGCTTCGACACGTGGTCCATTATGCGCCGCAGCTTGCTTCAAGTGAGTAGCATTGTCGGTCTGATCAATCTCATCAGTCGGGAAGTAGGTGGTATCAACGTTCGAGGCAAGCTTGGGCTCAAAAGGTGCACGAATCCGGCGCAAACTATCGAAGTCGACCCCGCGGAAGAATTTATGCGACTTGATTTCATCGGCACCACTTCTTCCAAGACGGTTTTCTGTGTTGCAAACAAGGCTAGAAAAGTTAGCAAAAACGAAAGAAAGATTACACGAGATCACAATCAAACATACCTTCGAATCAAGTTCTCCGCCTCAGGCCCCAGTTGGACATCCTCTGGGAAGTAAAGAGACTGCCGCCAGTTCACAATCTTGCGGTAAGTGTCGTGTGCGTCGTCAGCGCAGAACGGTGGCCATCCGACTTGACATTCAAACATGATCGTGCCCAAACTCCACCAATCACAGTCCTGAGCATATCCATGGCCACTGAAAATTTCAGGTGCAATGTAATCAGGAGTACCGACAGTTGAGTAAGCCATAACTCTGCGAGACTTTCTCCAGTCGTTAATAGCGCCTCTGTTGCTGACTGTCAAGTTGATCTGGTCCAAGTTTACCGAATTTCGGTTGGCTGGTCGGTTGGACTTTCCTTGGAGAAGCTGCTGGTAGTAAGAGTTGTCATGGAGCTTGTGGAAACCAGTTGACAGGCCAAAATCGGTGAGTTTTACATGTCCACCACGGTCCAGCAGAATGTTGTCGGGTTTGATATCACTATGGTGGCCAATTAGGTCTTTCTTGCTAGTGTAGTACAAAGGTTGGCTGAGCACTTACCGATGGATAAAGCCATACTTATGGACTGCCTCAATAGCCAGAACAATCTCGGCGATGTAGAATCGAGTGATATCCTCGGAGAAGATTTCATACTTGATCAACATGGTCATCAGATCACCACCTGGCAAGAACTCCATCAACATGTACAAGAAATCGTAATCTTGGAAAGTGGTGTAAAGCTTGACAACCCAAGGACTGTCGGACTCGGCAAGAATATCACGCTCAGCGCGAACGTGAGCCAGCTGATCTTTCTTGAACATTTCACTCTTGATAAGCGATTTCATGGCGTAGACTTTGCCATCTTGCTTCTTCTGGACGAGTTTCACCTCACCAAAAGCACCCTTACCAATGATCTTGAGAGTTTGGTAGTTGTCTGGAGAGTCTCTGGTTCGCAGAAATCGTAGATATTTACCTTCTTGCTTCCCGGCATTGGACCAGGTTTGTTCTCGTCGGGAGTTAGACTGGTTGGGATCAATCATACGCTGTTCCGTCTCGCTTTGTCTACAGTCCAGAGTTAGCTGCTGGTAAGTCACAAAGCTCACTTAGAACTTGTGCTACTTCACATGGCTACCTTACCTAACATTGCGATCTCGAGCCCTCTTGACGCTGTCCTTGAAGAAGGCTTCTGCAAGAGAGCTACACTTCTTTTGGTTTGTCTGAGCCAACGGTCCGTATCTGTCCGGGTTTCTCTCAGGAGCTGGCTGGAACTCAGGCCAGGTTTGTTGCGGGGCGGTAGGCATGGGGGCGTTCATGTAGCTGCTGTAGGCAGCGGATTGTCCACTTGCTCCAGCCGTACGCGGTCGCTGGCCTTGGGTAGGTTGACGACTCCCATACGGAGTGGCTCGGCCGCCACCACCACCACCGAGATTCTGGTGAGAGAATTGATGGACCAGTCCATTGGTAGCATCTGCCGGTGGAGCTGGGCGTTGCTGGTACGAAGGCTGAGGAGCTTGTGGTGACTGCTGATAGCCTCCCGCAGACCCAGGTGGCTGTTGAGGGTAGTTGGGAGGGTATGGGTTGTTCATGAAGTAGCCGGAGGGTGCAAAGCCAGACCCATATGCCTGCTGCTGCTGTTGTTGTTGTTGCTGATTCTGCGCAGGCTGGACTTGTCCCTGCTGGGCCCCTTGAGATTGAGAAGGAAATATGGGGTTTGGGAAGGTCGAAGGGGTCGTTGGGTATTGGGCTCGATCGGGGTAGGCAGGACGGTCGTTGTTGAGGTTGAGGTAGAACCGGTTGGCATTAGGGTTGTCGGCCATTGTGGGAGGGTGATCGAGGTCGAGGTCGACGCAAGGTCAAGGTGGTGTATCACAGATAGTTTCGACTGACTCTCAAGCTCGCCTGGTCGTGTTGGACTGGTGCTGGATAGATTGGACGAGTCGCCACGACACGCCTACACTGTACCGCCTGGCGAATTGGCCGTGTCGAATATAGCGCGAGCGTGTCCGCGGGGTTGGTAGTGTCGGAACGTGGACTGGTATGGATTGGATTGGATTGGATTGCAAAGAACCCTCTGCGTGGATAGAGAAGGTCGTGAAAGGCGGAGGGGGGCAAAGGGGTTGGGATTGGAAGGGGTCGAGTACCTTGCGCTATGTATAAAGCGAAGCGAATCCAGGGGTCGTCGATTGGGTTATTACTGTATCAATAGAATCATTTATTTGGCTTAAGGGGCTACAGTACGGTAGTTAGGCTGCTTGCACTTGGACTTGCACTTTTCTTTCAGAAGAAGTAAAGTCAAGCTGAGTCCGTAAAACGACTTTATACTTCTGGCCGACTCCTTGTACAACTAAATACTTGTGCGATGGTGTTGAATAGCCGTGCACACTCTAGACTCTCCAACCTCCGTACATCTACTTCCAAAACACCTATCTTTGCAGCACTGTGTTCGCGATAAAGGAAGGGTCCTATGTTCCACCACGTGGGGAATCGTATTGTCGCTTTCTATCTCGTCTTCTGTCTCAGTTGTGATTGTACTTCGGTTGTGTCACGTCAGAGAAGCATTCCTTTCAGCCAGAGCCGTTGAACAATAAGTACGGAACACTGACTACATACCAACCCTACCCACGTGTTTTTGCTCTGGAAGTTTATCCATGGTAGATTTGGCTCTAGCTTTGGCTTTAGCCTTAGCCTTAGCCTTAGCTTTAGAGCTCTCTGGGTCAGGACTCAGAAAGCGACTTAGCATTAGAACCATCTACAGCAACAGTCTAGACTCTAGCAGCAGCCCCCTTTGTTTGGTCTCTTCTTCTCCGACCCAAAGCTATATCTATCAGCCGCATGACGACGAACCGAAAGATACACAAGAAGGAACCGAGGGAGTCCGAGTGACCTCTGCAAGTGCAAGTGCAAGAAGCCCGGTCGCATGTGGTATTGTATGGTACCGAAAACTCTGTATGAAACGTGTACCACCAGCACAAGGAGGGGAATGGTAGCCAAGAGAGGAAGCGACTGTTCCTCCCAGCAGTACCGTGACTTGGTGAAGCGTCTGGCAATGAAGCAAGCATATCGGGCCAGCTCACTACGCGTCCAACGGCTATACATGGATGCAGCCGGCTTAAACAAGAACTTTCCACTGAATCTGCGGGCATCTCGCGTGAGAATGTGATATCACGTTAGGGAAAAAAAAAGTCAAAGATTCTTGATTCCTCGAACATAATGGATCACGATTTCGCATGCCTCAACCGCTCTATAATGAAAAATTGACTGATGCATCTCGCACATTTACCTCCCGCACAACTCTAGCAATTGCAAAGACCTTACAACTTGCTCAAATTTCTTTACGGCTTATTCTGAATAGCGATATGCGCGATAGCAGACCGATTTATTTCTAATGAGGCTCTTGACGCTGTACTGACTTTGAAAGACGGCGTATTCAAAAACCTGGGATTCAGTTTGCTGAACTCGCACGTCGATATAGATACTCGTTTACACGCTTCTCAAAAAAAGCCTTGATCAAGGCTGGAGATCAATTCTACTCTTTGCGTCATCACTATTACTCCTCTAAGAACTTATAGCGGGTCACCGTTGGTAACAATGAGAGACATATATAACTTCAGATTAATACCTTTCTTTTTTTTGTTTCCGCTACCTGAGATAGCTCCGCCATATAAAATAATACTAATCGCTACTTACGGGCGAGCAAGCAGCAAGATGACATCAAGCGTAGGTACTCACGATTTTTTTTTCTCGTGGACAAACTCCACAATTCGATTAGACAAGCTTAGGTTCGCCTTCTGAGTGGCTCAGTCTCAATGAAACAGCACTGTTAGGAGACTTTAAGGCCCGTTTATCGACGAATCCTGCCTTTAAGTAACCGTTCTTCAATCGATTCTCGATTTTCAATCGATGTTCGATTGAACAATATTAGGATGTCCCTAACTAAGGAACCACGCTACATTTGCTAAACAACTGAAACTAAGCTAAAGCCAATTCGTTGACTGAGTCCAATGGCTAATTGTACCTAGACTAGTTCGTAGACTACAGAGGAGTACAGAGTACAGCGGTTAAATGTTGTCCCTGGTCAAAAGACTTAACAAAGTGCAAATCAAACAGCCCGCTGTACTTCTGCACTGTTTCGTTATTTGTAAAAGCCTAATATACTCAAACTACACATATAATTAAAAAAATTACTGGTTATTGTAAACAGCAGCATAGAGCGGCACTTTGCTTGAGCGCTTAAAGAATGCGATACGGTGATCCACAAATGTCGAGGCAGTACAATAAGAATCTTTGGCCTTAAACAGCGTGCTTATCGGCTTCGGATTATCTTGATCATCCGGCCGCGAAAGCTGAGCCCGAAAAAAGTTGCGAGCTTCACAGCAGCAATTCTGGATTCACTACTCTAGAGTCCAGTCACGGATCTACGAGCCAGTTTCAGACAGACTCTCAGCAGGACAGGACGCTATCATGGCCGACTCGCAACCTGCGCCAGCTTCTGAGGTAAATACTCCTATTCAATGCCCATTGCATCCTATTCTAATGTCCTGATAGCCAAAGATTTCGTATTCTGCGCCTAACCCCGAGATAAAGGCAGATGCCAAACCACTCAAACCCCCGAATCCCATGTGGAAGTATATGGGATTCGGCGACAACTTTCGTCCCAAGCTGCCCTCTCGCAACTGGACTATCTTCCTGACCATCACGGGCTCCTTCACCGCAGCTGTCATATACGATAAACGGGAAACCAAACGCGCCCAGCGCAAATGGTGTAAGCTCGTCGAGCACATTGCGAAAGAGCCGCTGGATAGTAGATCCATGCCGAGGAAATTGACGGTATTTCTAGAAGGTCCGCCTACAGATGGGCTGAGAGTCGCGCAGGACCATTTCAAGGAGTATGTCAAGCCGATACTGGTTGCTTCAGGCTTGGACTGGGACTTTATACAGGGCAGGAAGGAGGGGGACGTCAGGGCAGAGTTGGCGGAGCGGATTCGCAATTCGAGGCTACCACCCGATCAAAGGACAGATGAGGACGTGATCTCAGACGCGAGAAAGAGGAACGGGATCCAGGACTTCGAAGGCCCGCGAGGAGACATCGTCATTGGACGACACACGTGGAAAGAATACATACGAGGTCTGCACGAAGGGTGGCTAGGTCCTTTGACCGAGCCTCCCAAACCGCTCGAGGACGCCATCCCCCAACCTTCCAAAGAGCAAGCAAAGGAAACAATAACAATGGAAACCGCCCCTGGCATAACCCTCCTCTCTGAACCGCGAGACGCCGACGACACCCCTCCACCAGAAACCCCCGAGACGCTGCAAGCAGCCAACGAGAAACCAAAGAAACCACCCCAGCCCGCCCCCTTCATCCTTGTCTCCTCCTATCCCAACGCCCCCACGCCCCCAGACCTTCCCAGCGAATTCGACCCCTCAATACCCATCTCCTTCCCGCACATCCTTGGCTTCCTCAACACGCCGAAACGACTCTACCGCTTCCTGAACAGACGTGTACTGGCCGACTCCATCGGCCGCGACACGGCCGCCATCATTCTGTCCACCTACCGACCATTCCACAGCACATCCATTCCCTCCCCCGAGGCGTCGTCGCTCGCAGAAGACTCGGAAGAGACTGATAGTGCGGCACCACCCCAGACGGCGGAACTGCAAGCTGCGCTCCGCGAAGAGGAAAAGGAATGGCACAAATCGGCCCGCGTGCGTGTTGCTGGCGAGCCCGAGCGCACGTGGCTTGAGCCCGTCGTGCTGGATGCCCGGATAGCGAGCCGGATGCGGAAGCCCGAGTTGACGGCTGACGACGAGGCTAGGGCCGCCGGGATCGTGGTGCCGGAGGTCGAGATCGAGGGATGGATCAAGGGGGGTATGAGGAGTCTTGGAAAGAAAGGGTTGAGGATGGTGGGGTTGGGAGGGGAGGAGAAGAAGATGAAGAAGGAGGCTTTTGATTTAGGAGAGGAAGAGGTCTTGGAATAGATGCTTGAGGGCTGTATGTATATTTCCAGTGTAAGAAAAGTTAGAAAGATGTAAGCGTACGTGGTAGCATTTGCTTGCAGGATAGAAGGAGACCTCACCTGGAGCCTGTACAGTGTAGCATGCAGTGTAGATCACAAGGCTGGTAGGATCCAACACAATTTATCAGGAAATATTACATAATCTCCTCTACATCTCAATTCATCTGTCTGTACTTCACAGCTGTTTGCTTTGCTTTTCCTTCTGCTTCTGCTATGCCACGAAACTTTTGTCTATGTAAACCCGCCGCCCAGAACCCCCCCAACCCTCAATAGACAAAGCCAGGCCGCGGCATGTGCATCCTAAACGCTCAGAAATGCTTCATGGCAGAAGCAGATTCGCGAAATGGAAACTCCAGAGAATAAATCCCTTTTATCTCAGGGGTAGAACAAAACTTTTGGGTGCCGTAGTTGAAGTGGTGAAGACGGTAGCGTGGGGCCACTTGCTTGAAGCAGTATTCTTGAACTCTTCCACCTCTCCACTCTTCCACAGCTGCAGCAGCTGCAGCACATCGACCGCCTCCTCGTACGTGATACTCGGCAGCTTGATAAGGTCCGCTACATCTTTCCCAACAGCGGCAGCTGACTCGGGCTTCAATACCTTTCTGGTCTTGAGCGCAGACAATGAGCGGCGTGCACAGTCCTTGTTCTGGGAGAGGTAATCGTCGTTATATGAGGCGAGGTCGACGGGAGATGGGAGGAGGTTGAATTCGGAATCGATGATTTTCTTGGCGGTAGGAGATAGGGTCTCGGCGTCTTGAGTGATGGCGAGTTGAAACCGGATGGTTTGCTCGTGGACTTTGGAGTGGGATTTATCGAGAGCTGCGGCTGCGAGCAGACACTTAAGGGCAAGGAGGTACTTTTCTGTTGCCATGTTAGCTTGTGGTCGAGTACGATGTGAAGCGAGAAACCTTACTCCGTCGGATGTACACCTCAAACCCAGCTATCTGGCCATCGATACTCTTCGGGCTGAATTGCAGGAGAGGTGTTAAGAACTTCATTGCGTCGGTCAATGGCTCGGTCGTAGCAGCAAGCTTGACGCCCTCTGGGTCATCATCCTTCTTCTTGATATCTCCATCATCAGATCGAACAGGTTTGTTAGGCTCCTTCTTGGCAGCAGCTTCTCGCTCTGCCTTTTGAGCATCTTTGCGTGCCTTCTTCGCCGCTCTCTTTTTCTCAGCTACATCATCGCCGTTGGAATCTTTCTCCCCGTTGGTGCCATTCAACAGGGGCTTATCGTAGATACTAAGATATATCTCAACCGCAGAAAGTGCAGCTCGGCTGAAGAATGGGTGCTCGCGCAATTTATCTTCCCATCTGATCATATCCACATATGCTCTGATTTGACCCTTCCGCAGCGAGAAAGCATGGAAATCAAATTGGTCTTCTTGCCAGACATCGAAGATGTTATAGATGGATGTAAAGCGCTTCAGTGCGAGCCCCAGCTTTCCTTGGCGAGTATACGATTTTCCGTCCTCGGTCATGAACCACATGCATTGCATATCATGGAGATCAGCAAGTGGCCCTCCTACAGTTTCAGCTCTGGTGAACATCCCCAAGGTCTTGAGCGCAGCCTCATTCTCATCATTTCTGAGCTGATATTTTGCAGCTTTGGTGTTAATATGACGATCTCTGGTATCCAGGACACGGGCCTCCTCCATGACTTCGGATGCCTTTTGGGTGTTGCCTCGGTGCTTCCATATCCGGGCCTTGGTCATGAAGAAGTCGACGCTTTTGGGCTCCAAATGGATGGCCTTATCGATGAACTCCATTGCCTTGTCCAGATCTTGACTCAGGTAGTAGTTATAATGCTGGGCCATGAAGTAGAAGGCAGATGATTTCCCTTTTGATGTGTCGCCGTTTCTCTTTGGCTCCATATTTGTTTCGTCTCTGTCGCTGTCGATATAGTTTTGGACCAAGGTTGAGATGGTTTCTTTTTTGGAGGGATTAGAGTACAGGTGCTTGAGATTGGCGAAAGTCGAAGGTACTCCCTTGTCCAGCATTCGAACCACATAGCTATCCGCAGCTGCTGTAAACTCTTCGCCTACCAAACTGTTAGCATCAGCCAGACAGACTCAAAATTTCCCAAGTAACCCACCTTCTAGGAAGTCAAGGGGTAGACGACGAGCTGCATCACATCTAGGGTATTTTTCTGCATACTCGTCATACACGGCTTTCCGCGCCCTGTGGTCGTCGTCCGAAATACCCAGCACCTTAATCAATGCGTCATAGTACTCCTTGTGTTCAGAATTTCGGTCGATGAGCACTCTGTAAGCTTTGGCAGCTTCATCCTTCTTGCCTAGCTTCGAAAGGTATGTTGCTCGGAGCTCTTGTACCGCAAGCCGGTCGAGGTTGTATTTCCCAGCCGACTGTAGGTGGTCGTAAGCTTGCTGGATATTCCCTTGCTCGGCAATCAGCGAGTTCTTGTACATAACCGCCTCCGAGTTCTCAAAGTCCGTCTTCAGAGGAGGATTCTTCAGGGTATCTTCGTAAGCCGTCAAGACACGCTCCGCATCCGCCAGATCCCCATTGAGGTGGTACGCCACAGCCAAAGCAGTCCAGCTCTGTCTCAGCCCAGATCGTGCCTGTAACATCGCATTGCGACTAATTATGTAGCCTTCGTAATCCCGCATCTGTATTTGAAGCAGAGCCAGGTCGCGCTGGATCTGCGCGGATTCGGGCTCCAGCCTCAGCGCAAACTTGTATGCCTTGATCGCTTCCTCGAAGTTCTTCACCGCGCGGTAGAGCAATCCGTAGACATGCCAGCACACATGCGACTTCATGTCGCAAGTCAGGGCGACTTTCGCAAGCGCGAAAGCTTCGTCCGTCTTCCCCTGGGAGTTCATTATGAGGGCCTTCATGGCCAGGGTGTCGCCATGTTGGGGGCTCTTCTTGAGGATCTGGTCGGCAGCTTTGATGCCTGAGAGAAATTAGTGCGTGCGGTCAAGTAGTGGAGACTGCTTGCGGACCTTTCTTGTACTGCTTGTCTTCGTAATTCCGCACAACTGTACGGAAGAGCGACTGCTCTTTCGCGCTGAGTGCCTGCGGCATAGCTAGTGATCTCTAGTTGGACCGGGAGAAAAGAAGCTCGATAGGTAGGTAAGGTTGGCTGCCAGGGGGAAGAAGCTGTTCTGTTGTTCGAGGGCAGGTTTGGCGGGGTCGGGGTCGGGGTCGGGGTCGGGGTCGAAGAGGCCGCTGAAGGAATTAGCAAGGCTCTGTTCGGGTCCCAATCGCGGCGTGCAGAGAGATAAATGTACAGATGTCCACCTGCAACAGGGGAAGGCGAACTCGGACCCGGTGGAGGTTGGCGGTTGGAGGGTTGGAGGGTTGGAGGGTTGGAGATCGGGGGTTGTGGAGACTCACAAAGCTCGAACACACACGCCTAAACAAAATATCACTTGCAGGTACATTAAGTACAGTAGGTGCGCTAGCTCACAGTCGAGACCCGAAGTTCTGCCCCCCACGGTATGGCCCCCCCCCCCACGGTATGAGCCCCCACACAAAGATCCAGCCTCATCAACGACATCTCATGCTTCTATGGAGATTCGTTAAGCTTTATATAGCTGTCAAATAACAAAAGTATGTCCCTGCCTAGATCCGATGGCACTCAAGAATCTCGGATTTGCACCTGGCTATGGCAGTAGCACTAGTAAGTCCTGTGCGCTGTCCTTGTTGAAGCTAAACTGTCACTTATTTGCACTTAGTTTCGTTAATCATGACACATTTCCGGATGGAAATCGAGGCTATACGGAGAAACAGTACACTAGTTGGAGTGTGACGTGTTGAATTCGACATATCACTTCAAGTCCTTGGTCTGCCTAGCTTTCAATGGTATGAGACCCTCAAATCTCTTCCGGTGCGTCTATCCGCCATGCAGTACTGAGCGAGAAAGATAAGTTAGTATCTTACATCGGGATTGAAAAAATTTTATTGTAGTTTTGGCGAGATGGAGCCAACGACAAAGGCTCTTTACGTTTGAGAGGTCCGAAGGACAGCAGCGGTTCGGAGCTCAACACTCTACTCGTTGCTGCTATGAATCGTTCTACATCTCCAGGAGTTTGATTCCCTCCTTAACCACCACTCGTCTTTGCAAGCATTCTCTCATTCGTTGCAACTCACCTTCAGGGTGCAAATCTGTTATTCAAGCTGGGGTGATGAAGTCGAGACCGGGCACAGGCACATCCAGTCTCTCGACCTCATGGAATCTCAGAAAGCAACGAATCTCGATCACATTGAAGCTCGTCTATCTACCTGAAGGTCATAATGCCATGCCGATGAAGCAAGCGACTTTGGCGCCGCATATCATATCATGCCCCAGAACGCCAACGCTAATGCCGGAAAACGCTGTCCATCGCCTCAAGGAGTTTTCTCAGTTCACCCAGTCCACTAGCTCCCATGACTTCACATTGTCATGGATGATGAGTCTCAGGCGTTCGATCTCCCAGCTCGTGTACTTGAAGATCGTCAGCGTGGCCGAGGGAGACGGAAATGGCAACATACCAATTTTACAGCAGCCATTGAAGCAGTTCGATGGAGCGGGCCGACACTTCCAATCCGCGCATCATGCAAACTGCGCCACACGCAAGTCGCGAGGTTTCTGCCCTCGGCATCGGGGGTCGAGAACTTATACCTGCTCCTTGTCAGTGGAAGTTCAAAAAATGTTTTTTGCCAATAATCTTACTTCAAAAACCCTCCGCTAGCTGTCGCCTCCGCATGCGCATTTTTGTCGAGATCACCCAAGTGAGAATAGTCGGTGGTGGGCGGGATTTGGGATCTGAACGCGACAATGTAGAAGTCGGTTCTCTTCCACTCGAAGTCGGACTGCTCAGCCAATTGACGCACGGAATCGATAATCTCGGACCAGTTGAAGGACTCGGCGTACGCAGCAGTGCGGTGGTCGTCTCGGATGAACTCCAAGTTGACGAGAGCCTTCGCGAGGAGTTGATTTGGGGTGTTCAAGGTGGCGAGATCAAGTAAGTGAGCCTCTTCATGGTATGGAGAGACGACAAGGAGGCTCTTGTTCGTGGTGTTCAGGGGAGAGACACCAGCTTGATTGGCAATTGAGCCGTTCAAGCCGAGTGTGGGGGGTTCGTGGGCGATGTCTTCGGACTGCACAGCGACCATCGCGGTAGCCATGATGGTTTCGATTTGAAAAGAGCAGATTAGAGAAGGAGGGTAGGTACGTAGGTACGTAGGTATGCAGTGAGAGTCCTGCTTCTCCTGTTTGAACGAGCTGGCCGAGGTTGTGTAGAAGAATAGGTTCCAGAACCACTGCAACGAGAGAGTGGAGTTAAGTAGGTAAGTACGGGTATGGGGGAACGAAAGAAGGAAAGCTTAGGTACGAAGGCCCCAAGGCTCAAGGGACCGTAAGGCGCCGGCCAGAGGCCAGAAGCCAGAGGCCAGAGGTCGGAGGTCGGAGGTCAGAGGTCGGAGGTCGGATTACACCTTATTAGGGGTGAATGCTAGTGTCGGGAGGAAAGCTTTGCTTGTATCATCTTATCCGTGATGCTGCCATCTGGCCTGACGCCATCCACGGAATCGATGGCGAGCTCAGGGGTTGGGCTCATGGCTCACGGCTCACGGCTCACGGCTCACGGCTCACGGCTCGTATGGCCCATGGTTCATCGCCCATGGCAGGCGGTGAATTCTCTTAAGTCAATATCATTGTCCGCCTCTCCCTTGTTCACGCATCAGGCATCGTGAACAAGAACGACCATTTCCTTGTCCACATGCGTGCAATTCGCCGTCACCGCTCTGACCATGCAACGGCAATGGTAGCCATGGTTAAGTAGTACGCTAAACGGAGGTTAATATTTGCAGAAGGCTACTCCCGAGCGAATCTAAACCCTGAGAAACGTGACAGACCTACTGGAAAAATTGGATCCGAGAATCGATGGGGATGGGGATACCGGTAGGTATCCGATGAAACGCCTATACCCAAGACACTGCATTGTCTGTCTTCTGATTGGGCCCTCTCGGCCATGACTTTACTCATCTATCCAATTATCTACCGGTATGTATGCATGGGATCCTTCGCAGAGGAAAATAAATATATATATATATATGTATATATATCCAGTCAAGGAAACAGCCAGGAACATCTCTCGAGATCAGAAATAACTCGCCGCGGCCTTCTTTTACTTTTCCGTCGGAGGAAAAAAAAAAAAGGAAAACCTCGGGTGTAAATCCTATACGCCATCGTCGCTCTTAAGCAAGAGCGTTTGCTCCTCTCGGCATACCTTCACCGCTGATGTCGAGAGAGTCAGTCATTCGGAACTCAGTTTTGTTCTGCCAGTCTTCAAATCAAAACCGCGTTCAATCAACCTGACATATGCACTGCACTAGGCATTGCTAATCCTGAACCTCGGCGTCAAACCTTCGCATGAGCCACTTATACGAATACAAACGTCGCCAGACCAGTTGTCACTTGATTTGTCAGCTCGTACCAAGTCCAAGACCGGGTACACAAATAAGCATTGCATATCAAGCTTCTTCTTGAGGGAGGTGTTGATCGGGCCAGTTGGTTGTGGTGCGCTAAAAAATTGAATCTTGCGAGGCCCTTTTGGAGGGGGAGGGTGGCTCGTCAATGGTATACTGGAGCTCATTCTTTGGTCGCTGTGCATCATATGTCTTCCATGTACCTTCTATATGAACATAATCTCTACGCGAGGGGCTCTCGCCGCCCCGAGTCCGCCTTCACACCTCCCCTCAGTCTCCTCGGTCCTGGTCCCCATGTAGCCTCCGCTCCTCTCTTGAAAAAAATTGGATGTCATCGGTGATCCCGCGTCGAAAGGAAAAGATTTCCCAATCGATCATATCCGCATTCATCTAGGTAGACCTTCTTTCCTTCGATGATGGCCAAGTGCTCCAAAGGCTTTTGATGTCTGACCAGTCCACCAACCGATGCTTTGGAGCAAGCGTCCAACTTTGACTTGGAGTTGAAGTTGCCGAACATGAATTGTTTCGGATCCGAAGTTGCGATGAGCTGAATGCTAGGCCCCCCTTGCGCGGTCCCCATAGTAGAGTTGATCAAAGTGTTCAGCATCTCGATCTTAGTGCTTTCGGTTGTCAGATAGCGAAGCGGCTGGTCGTCCGGAAGCGAATCGGGGACATGCGCTAAGTCGCCGTCGTTATTCGTACTACTCTTGGTTTTTAATAGCAATGTCGGTAGAAGTTTCGATAGAGTGTCTAGAAGTGGTCCTTTCTATATATTTGTATCTTTCGAATCGCTAATGCGAATGGCCTTCTCAATCTCGACTAGGTCGCGCACTATCTTCACCCACGGCTTCATGATGGGGTGACCCTTCTCGTCGCGGATCACGAGCTCCCCGGCCAGCTCCAATACCTATCACAACGGTGATCATCTCAGCCATCTTGCCCATGTTGGACCACTTACTCTTGGCCCCCTTGCATGTCGTGCACTTGGTGATCTTGACCGACGTCTTCATGAGCGGGGGGTCGGAGCAGCCATACTTGTCGATCCACACTGTGTTCTTGGGGGTGTCGATTATGTCATCTCCCGAGTTCTTATACGACTCGTAGTCACACCCTATTCACTTCTCCAACTTGTTCAAGTACGAGGCGCACAAAGAGATGTTGCACTGACACATGCTGTCGTAGTGGTAGTAGTAGTAGTTGTTGGATCGCCGGTAGCGAACGTTCATTCCTAGAGTGCAACGCATGTGGTCTCTTGCAATTGCAAAACTGTCAGTAATAATGGTATCTGATTTCTGTCTGCTCCCCAAGGTTCAGGGGAGTGAACTCCTTCTATACGATTAGAAGGAAACACGTGGACTAGCTATATAATAGTATTTACAAGGAAGTTGGGGCCCCCTGAGGGTATGCCACGCTAAGCGAGGACATGCCCATGTAAGCGAGGCACGCTCATGTAAGCGAGCCGGCCCCAACCAAGCTGGGTCGATATTGATGTACCGACAGTAGTCGATGTTGTTGTTATGCTATTCTTATAGCTATAGACTGGATCTTCTTAGTTAGTCGTTTGCGTCTATCAAGTTCCCGATCAACTCGTTAAGCGTTTTGGATTAAGTCGAGGAGCAGAGGCCGAGGGAGTAGGCTCCGGGGGATCGGGCGATACCGAACGTAAATCGATGATGATTTGATGTGCAAAAGCAGACCTGCAATGCACATTGCAGTAACCAGTCTTATAACCTTATATACCCGCACGACACACCCCCGAGAGCTGGCCGGTTCACGCTTACCGACTGCTCTGTAAACCACGTGGCGGTTATAAGCTTCTCTATCGAGAACTGGATGGAGGTGTTGTTCTCCTCGGTAGCAGCCAAGATGGCTTCTTGAAGGATGGAGCTCTCAACTGTCTGTCTGATCCAGTTCATGATCTGATTGCCTTTGCTGTTGATGATCTTCCAGTCGACTATAGCGTGCTCGTATTCTCTCATATTGATGTTGTACGCCTTCCGGACGTCTTCGAATGTCGCTTCGCGTGGTCGTTGAGGTCTGTTAGGATCGTCAGAAGCAGCTCCAAAGTGTTACTCATCCTATGCTTTGCAAGCGTTTTCGTAAGCTTAGAGGCTTTCATTGTTGAGTTCCGTGATCATCTGTTTAGCCGTCTTTGTCTTTGGTCTGACCTGCTCAATAAATAGAGCAGGTTCCTCGATTCCTACACGCGGAGATGCGTATTTTTCCATAATAAAGCGTTTGATAAGGTAGTTATAATGCATGATCATCTCAAGTAATCACGACGGCCTATCAAGGTCGCCTGACCTATTATAAGAACCTCCTCTAGTGTGTCATCCATGGTTGAAGCAGTTGGTTTGTGACTAGAGTTTTTGAATTATGGTTGGAGTTCTTGAGGGCGTTGGTTATAAGGAATGTATATGATTGAAAAAAAGACAGATTGCAAAAAGGAAAAAATTGTAGCGAAGTAGCGTTAAAGTGACTTGCAGAATCCGCTCCCGATGAATTCGGAGGTTGTCAGAGACTAACTGAATAGCTCGTAAGTGCGAATGTGGCTCTTAACTGATGTGCAAAAGCAGACCTGCATTGCACATTGCAGTAACCAGTCTTATAACCTTATATACCCGCACGACATGATTCTCATCTTGGGCGAATCTGCCGGGCCGCTGGCAATGGCTGCACATCTCTTCCGCGATGGACCTGGACAGGGAGTCTGTTGCGGTGACAAAGACTCCTCACGTGCGTAGCTCCCTTCGTCATCACGCTCGATCGAGGGTATGACAGCGGACATCCGCAAGGAATACTGTCTCTTTCGAAGGCTGTTCTTATAAGGACGCTTCGGGCGAAGTGTATCTTCACCGTCCTACAGCTCTTCTTCTGAGCATGGGGGCTAGAAGACCGAAGACGAACCAGGGCTTTGCGTCTGACTTAGACTGTTCAGCGGTGCCGGTGTAACTTCCACAACGGGTCTGCGAGGAACTCCGTTACTTCGGTCGCTGCTCTGAGCCTGTTTTGCTTGTGCATCACGCAGTATCTGTGCATCTTGCTCCGTTTAACCAGGAAAAGGCGTGCCGTTACGGAGGGCATCCATGATAGGCCGAGCAACTACGTCTTGGGCCGTCCGATCCTTATCGGTCCCAGGCCGGGGAGGAGGTTAGGCATCGCCTTTTCCGGTTTTGGCGCACGTCCTCTTGTCGCGGTTATAACGTTTAGTGAGTCATTGCAAAAATTGCTCGAGTATAGAGATCGCTATCGAGGTTGATCGCGAGCCGCCGGGGGCTTTATTGTTTTCTGTTTAAAAAAGAAAAACAGCAATACTATACAGTAATAGCTAATCGAAACTTTTTATGTAGGTCTAGTAAGAGCTACGATAGAGGGGGAAGGTGTGTTGGAAGAGGGAAGGTTGGTTTGGAAGAGGCAGAATCGTGAGAGTGTATCGAGCAGTAGGTGCAAAAATTTGGACTCGAGGGATGAGAACATAGAGAGTAGCGAACGGAGGAAGGAGCTTCCGAGCTATGTTGTCGTCGTCGATTTCGGGTCACCCACAACCGTGTCGACCAACAGCTCCACGAGCGTACTGGCTATTCGGAGAGGTCTTACAGCTCCGGGGAGCCTGCCAGGAGGTATCGGCCAGCAGCTCCGCGAGCCTGCTAACCGTTCAGGGTTTCATCGGGTCACCCAGAACCATATCGGAATAGGCCAGCAGCTCCGCGAGCGTACTGGCCGTTGTATTGAACGGTAATCGAGTTGGCATTTCCCGGCCGTTCCGAATCCCTCAAGAGAGAGGCTATCATGGCCTGAATCACCTCCAAATGTTTAGATTATCGGAATAGTTATCGTACTGTTAGACGGAAGCTCCGACTCGCATAATTGCCGCTTCTAGACCTCAAAGGCGGTCGTGGGGTGGTGTGGCTCGTAGCTGTTGTGCGAAAGTGTTAGTGCGGAGATTGTATTCATGGATACCACATGGAGCCCTCCGCATGTTTGTTGCACGGCACGTGCTCTCATCACGAGACAGAGTGGCAACCTAGAGTCTAATTCGTACTCCATACAACAATCAATAATCAAAATCGTACCTAGGCAGCGCATTGACTATTTATTGATAAAGATAATACAGCAGAAACAAAAACTTCGCTGACGTCGTCATCTTGAATGTCTTATCTAAGCTCCTTGAGCCCGATAAACACCCTGTCTACAGCTCTAGCCCGCCTCTCCTTAACCTGATCAGGACTTATGGCCCTAATAAGCACACCCAAATTCATTTTCGGTAGCCAACCTGGCGAACATTTTCTGGAAAAAGCCCTCAAAATTAGAGGCATCTCGAAAACCATCTCCCAAGGGCATAATGACCCAACCTTCGACCCCTCCAGAGCTCACTCCCCAGTTCTGCTTCTCAACCGTCGCATTAAGAGGTTGCCATATCCTTCCCTCGTGCACATATCAAAGCTTACCCTTCGCTCTAGACTTTTTGCGAATATCCAGGTCTTCAATTGACGACAGCATAACGCAAAACCTGAACGCGCTCATCACGCCCGCATCGATAGGCTTTGACCCATCATCCACCTCAGTCCGCAGCCCGCGAGCCTCGGACCCTCGCCGCATACCTGGTGAATCCTGCCAGAACTTCAAGAATCAGGTCTTATTCCCGTCCTGGCAGATGCGTTCTGATGTTCTGAACTACTGCGCCTCTGTGGCTACGAGCCCAGACCCCGAAGACCCGGAGTTGGTGCTGAGGAAGGTGGAGGGTGAGCAGGATCGTAAGAGGGTGGTGGATGAGCGGCTGGATCCGTATAGCTCAAGGTCCTTCCCTACAGAGGGAAGAACGGAGAGGCTGGCGGCGCTTATCAGACAGGAGAGGGGCGTGGAGAATATTGTAAGAGCGAGGAGTTGGGGCTTGGTGAGGGAGAGGTGTGGTGAGGATTGGAGGGACTGGAAGGAAGCTTTGAGCGAGTGGCGGAAGAGCAAAGAGGACAGATGACCAGGGAGAATGGAGGAGGGCGAGCGATGGGAGGTGGGAGTCAAATGACTGCCTTTGTGCTTTGTGGAATTGAAAACCTGGATTGGTGAAGTCAATGGTTTGAGGCATGTACTGATACTGTAAGATTGATAGAGAAAAATAGCATTTCAGTCCTCAGTGGATGGCGAGTTTGGAAATTTTTGACTCGGTATAGGACTGCCACCTGGACACATTCTGGGTCTAACATTTCCTTTCATAGCGGCCAGGGTCTACTGCAGAGCCTGTTGACTTCCACTGACTGAACCTGCCCGAGACTACTTCTCCTCTCAAGCTTGAGAAACGGCTATTGATAGATCACGTGATCCAGATATTGTGCTCTAAGATTTCCAGCCAGAACATTGCTACTCGATCATGGACTTTCAATTGAGACAGTAAAACTAGGCGATTGTTGAAAGTGCATCTTCAAAGTGGTTATTTAATACGACTTGTTCCGACTCTTTCGGCCACACGTCGGGGCCGCTAACGGTCCAGCCCACATTCAATCTTCAAAAAAGTTCATAACGACAACGAGCTTTTGAGACCCCGCAACCTGCCTGCATCCCAACCCACGACGAAATCTCATCCTGTTGTCCATAATGGCGGACGCTGGAGTCAAAGAAATCCCGCTGAACTCGGTGCAAGTCGAGGCGCTGGTATGGTCAAGCTACTACTCGTCTTTGTAGGGACTTGGGGACTGACAAGATGTATAGGTGGTTATGAAGATCGTCAAGGCATGCTCTGCGACCTTTCCAACGACGGCGACTGGATGTATCGTGGGTATGGACATTAACGGAACGCTGCAAATCACCAACTGCTTCCCGTTCCCGACCGCAGACATCGCAGCCTCCGACTCCCACCCAAACGATCATATGGCCGCCTCGAACATTGCTGCTGCCGCGCCTCGCTCCAAGGCGAACCTCGCATACCAAAATGAGATGATCAAGTGCTTGCGGGAGGTCAACGTAGACGCGAACAATGTTGGATGGTACACGAGCGCAAACATGGGCAACTTCATCAATACCAGCCTGATCGAGAACCAGTTCCATTACCAAAGTCAGCCAAATGAGCGGTCGGTCGCTTTGGTGCATGATGTCAGCAGGAGTTCCCAGGGTGCTCTGAGTCTGCGAGCGTTCAGATTATCCTCGACCTTCATGGCCGCGTTCAAGGAGAGCAAGTTCACGACTGAGCAGTAGGTCTTGCGCGGGTACTTTGAAGCGTTTACTGATTACACCGCAGCATGCAAAAGTCAAAGCTCACATATAAGGATATCCTGATTGAACTCCCAATTATTGTCCACAACTCTCACCTCTTGACATCCTTCCTGCATCAGATGCCCGGCGTACTCGCTAAAGAGGAGCTTGAATTCCCTGCCAGCCTTTCAGACCTTACCGCAAACCCTCCCCAAGTCCCCCTGTACCCAAACCTCGAGTCTCTTGACCTGTCCATAGATCCCTTCTTGGAGCGAACCTGCGATCAGCTTTTGGACAGTATCGAGACCCACTACACCGAACTCAACAACTTCCAATACTTCCAAAGACAATTGGCCCGTGAGCAAACCAAAATCACTGCGTGGAAGACGAAGCGAGCAGCGGAGAATGCGACAAGAGCAACACAGAAGCTGGCACCTCTTCCTGAGGACGAGTGGGAGAGGCTCTTCAAGCTGCCGACAGAGCCAAGCCGACTGGAGGGTATGTTGAACGCTCGACAGGTTGAGCAGTACTCGAGACAAGTGGATGGATTCACGGCTAGCATTACCAGCAAGATGTTTGCGGTCAAGAGCAATCTATTGCCTGAGTCCGAGTAGAGGTTCCCTGTTCAGTGAAGACCCACGGGAAGGCTTCTGAGAAGAAGGCTCTGCTGTCTTCTCATGGATGGGGCTTTGCATGGGTTGGCGTTCAGGGGGGGTCTGTTAATGGCGGGTCAAATGACTTGAAAAGGAGTGCAGGGCATAGGTCTTATCACTGGATTTTCCTTCTGCGATCTCTGCGCTGTTATTAAATCAACGATGTGAAATTCCAAGCCCCTGATTCATATGGGACTTGGTGGTACCTTGGTGAGATGAGAGGCTGAGAGAAGACACCCAGCAAGTAAACATCAACCCCACACTAAATCGACCAGAGAATATCAGAGGTTTGCTGATTGTATTGTCAATTGTCAATCTTATAAAATCGGACAAAATAAGTCCCACGATCGATTACGAAAATCTATAAAAGACGCGTAGCAAAAAATTGGTGGACACGAATTCAAAGCATTAATTGGCAGTGTGTATCGGCTCGTTGTCAAGCTATTGTCGACGCTTGAACGTAGGATTTGCAAAACTTCCATTTCTACCGTACGGCTATCACTTAGAATTCTACTTTTTTATCGTTGCTGAAAGTGGATTTTACAATGTTAAATTCTGTATATTTCTTTGCGGGAAGTTCTGGACATGGTGTAATACTTAATCAACTACTACATCCCAGGCGTAAGTATTACCCCTCGAGGGTGCCTCAAAAGTTTAGTTCCCACTATAAAACCCCTGGTTACCCTGCCCTCAAGGGGTAATACTTACGCCTGTACCATGGTACATAGCGGCACTAGGCTCTAGTGCGGGATACAAAATGCCCCTCCACAAAAATCTATTTGTCTACGAGGTTTTTTCATTGTCCTCGAATTCCCCCTCCTCGACCCTCCTCGACCCTCCTCCTTAGCAACACCAAATACAACCCGCATCTCCGAGTAAGTCTCTTTTCATCCAAAGAACAATGCCTCAAGATCATATCAGGAAGCTAATACATACATCCTTTGTCCCTAGCTTTCCACCTTAAAAAAGATTACCACCCCCCCCCACCTCACCGCGAAACCAATACTTAAATCCTCCAAAACATGTCTGCTCCAGCTACCAAGTTCAAGGTCGCAGACCTCAGTCTTGCGGCTTTCGGTCGCAAGGAGATTGAGCTCGCCGAGAATGAGATGCCCGGTTTGATGGCTACCCGCGAGAAGTACGCTGGCGACCAACCCCTCAAGGGTGCCCGTATCGCTGGATGTCTGCATATGACCATTCAAACCGCTGTCTTGATCGAGACTCTCACATTCCTCGGGGCTGAAGTTACTTGGTCTTCCTGCAACATCTTCTCCACCCAAGACCACGCTGCTGCTGCCATTGCCGCCGCTGGTGAGTATCAATCGCCCGATTTGATTTGGGCATTTTGGCTAATACGTCCTAGGTGTTCCAGTCTTCGCCTGGAAGGGAGAGACCGAGGAGGAGTACGAGTGGTGTCTCGAGCAACAACTCGTCGCCTTCAAGGATGGCAAGTCCCTCAACCTGATCCTCGATGACGGTGGAGATCTTACCGCTCTCGTCCACAAGAAGTACCCAGAGATGCTCAAGGGCTGCTTCGGAGTCTCTGAAGAGACCACCACCGGTGTTCACCACTTGTACAAGATGTTGAAGAACAAGGCTCTCCTTGTCCCAGCCGTCAACGTCAACGATTCCGTCACGAAGTCCAAGTTTGACAACTTGTACGGCTGCCGTGAGTCATTGATCGATGGTATTAAGCGTGCCACCGATGTCATGATTGCTGGTAAAATTGCGGTTGTTGCCGGATTCGGTGATGTCGGAAAGGGTTGCGCTATGGCGCTCCACGGAATGGGTGCTCGTGTCCTCGTCACGGAGGTCGACCCCATCAACGCTCTCCAGGCCGCTGTCTCTGGTTTCCAGGTCACCACCATGGAGAAGGCTGCCAGCCAAGGTCAAATCTTCGTTACCACCACCGGATGCAGAGATATCTTGACCGGAGAGCACTTCGAGGCTATGCCCAACGATGCCATCGTTTGCAGTAAGGCAATTATAATCTCGTCTTAAGAAAATTAAATCTAACATGCATAGACATTGGCCATTTCGACATTGAGATCGACGTTGCTTGGTTGAAGAAGAACGCCGCCAGTGTTCAAAACATCAAGCCCCAGGTCGATCGATACCTCATGAAGAGCGGCCGCCATATCATCCTTCTCGCCGAGGGACGTCTCGTCAACTTGGGATGTGCCACCGGCCACTCTTCCTTCGTCATGTCCTGCTCCTTCACCAACCAAGTGCTTGCCCAAATCATGTTGTACAAGTGCGAGGACGCTGCTTTTGGACAGAAGTACGTCGAGTTCGGCAAGACCCAAAAGCTCGAGGTTGGCGTCTACGTCCTCCCCAAGATCTTGGACGAGACCGTTGCCAAGCTCCACTTGGCGCACGTCAACGCCGAGCTCTCCAAGCTGAGCTCCGTCCAAGCCGAGTATCTTGGTCTGGAGGTTGAGGGTCCCTTCAAGACTGACACGTACCGATACTAGATTCGGCCTCTATATTCTGGTTTCTGGTTTCTGGGATTTTGATTTGTACAGGCGATCGCGGAGTGGAACTTTCAACATGATTAATGATGGCGTGATATCAGGGGAAAAACGCATCTGTCCTTCAACGGCATCTACACAATATTTTCTCGGGCAAAAAGTTTCAACAGACAAAGGGTTGGGTTGGTTTTCAAGCATGGCGTTACTTGGCTCTTCAACATCGGTCAAGTAGAGGTCGGTCTTTTGCTTAGACGTAGAGAACAGATTTGTTCTTTGAGAATGAATGCCGGTGTCGATCTTATCTGCATCGAAGAACCCATACTGCAGTTCCAATACGTCCAAGTGACATACTGCCTTGAAAATCTCAACTTCTCGGGAATCTGAATTCTGTTACCAATATGTCCTAGTGACATGAATCACGGGTGTTAAGGTGCGTTGGTTTTTTGGCTACTTTCCTCTCTCCGGAAGAAGGTGGTGTGTGGTCCTTCCGCTTGGGGTGACACACCCACGGCCAACTCAGTAAGGCAACACATGGCGCCCCTCAAACCCAAACACAGCCCTTCGCGATCATCGAAATTGGCAAACCTCTCTTCCCATTCCCGAGCCAAAAGACGATGATATACTTCACCAAGATGCTGGTTGCAGGCTGTAAGTAAGTACCACTATAAATACCCCCTTGCTTATGAAGGTTCCGCTTTGAAGACGAGACCGCTACAGGTTCTAGCATCTGGTCTGTTCTGACGCGGTCTTAAGTGACACCCCCTCGATCAAAAAGCTTCGGGGCTGGCGCGTGTTCGATATTAGCAGGCAGCCGACTACCCGGCGATGTAAATGATGATTGCTAAGAGGGTTTGATTTGTTTAATAAACCAAAAGCATTGAAGGAGTAAAAATGTCTATAATGTTATAAGAACCGGCTTACAAGATCTGGTCATACCTTTTGCCACGACCAGAGTCTGTTCGCAGCCTTAATCGCACTCTTCAAACTCCCCCTACGCGGCTGTCTCGCCAAATCCGATCGCACAACCTGGTCATCATCCTTCATCTCGCCTTCCCTTTCTCCTACCCTCTCACCCATCTTCTCCGTCTCTCTCTCCAGCTCGCCAATCTTCCAGGCCCTCAACCCCAACATGCACGCCACAGCCCCGAGATACATGCACCCGGCATATATCTGCGCATCCAGGAAGATGTCCCCGCTCTCCCGGCGCAGCTCTAGCCCGATCGGCATGGAGAACGTGCAGGGGAGCACCAGTGCCAGCCACATGATGGATAGTGCCGTCGGCAGGATCTTGATGCCGACGACTTCCGCCCCGACGGGCCCGACCGTCGCCCAGAAGGTGCCGGCGACGGTGCCGACGATCATGGCGAAGAAGATCAGCACGCCGTAGCTCGTGGCGAAGATCCAGATGACGAAGCAGAAGAGCGCGGTGAGGAAGGTGCCGGTGGCGGCCATGTTGATGCGGCCGAAGGAGTCGGAGAAGTAGCCTACGAGGGGGCGGCCGATGCCTGAGGTGGGTTTGCTCTGGTCAGTGCCTGGCATTCCCTCCCGGGTACATACATGTGACAAGTTCGTTTGGGGGATATTGACGACTGACCTTGACCCAGATTGAGCAGTGCCCCGACGACGGAGCCCTGGCTAGCAGACAACCCAATGCTCCGCGCGTAACTGGGGAGCGAGAACAAGAGCACGATGTACCCCAGCATGGAGAAGAAACCCCAGCCCAGCAGCAGCAGAAAATCGAGGCGTTTAAAGAGCTGCCGGTCAAACGCCATCTGCACCGATCCGACGGCTTTGTTGCGGTCCCGGATGAGCACCGTGCAAACGATGTTCACGGCACAGGATACAATGGCGAGCACTCTGAATGCCCAGCCGAGCCCAACGGACTGGATCATAGCATTGGTAGCGAGCGAGTAGACCAGTCCTCCAATTCCCCCCCCAGCGACCGCGAGGCTGTTCGCGAAAGAGCGGCGCGTGGTGAACCACTGCGAGATCAGGCCTACGCTGGCGACGAATAGGAAGCCCATACCGAAGCCGAAAGCTACGCCTTGGGTGAGGAAGAGGTGCCAGATGCGAGAGGCCCACTGGTGACGGACGGGCAGACAGTTAGCAGTGTTCCTGTTCCTGTTGAAAGTAGCTGGATCACGAGACGTGGAAGGGTTTGTATGGTACGTACTGATGCTCCCAGCAGTCCTCCGGTCTGCAGCACGATTCCAATGGCGAGGGTTGGATGGGTGCCGAAACGACCCACGAAGACTGTGGCCACAGGGGCGACGATAAGGGCGAGGGAGATGGAGAGACCGCCGACGAAGGCGTAGGCGAGGGGTGTTGCGCCGGGGAAGGTGTTGTGGGAGAGGTAGTGGGCTAGGAAGACTCCATAGGACTGAGGGTGTTTGTTGGCTGTTGGTTAGCTTAAGAACCGGATCAGAGAATAGACAGATACGTCGACGCTCCCTGATATACCTGTAGATATATATATACACAAGACCAAGACCGACTTACACTGTTGATCCCCCACGTATGCGCATTAATGAGGCAAATACTGAGGACAACGACCCAACCATACCCACCACTTCTTCCATGTTAACACAAACGCGCGTCTAGGATTAGTCAAGGATTTCAGAACTCGGTCAGAATTCATGGCGTCCCTCTCGCTTGTCCAGAGGACCAAAGAGAATATACCGGCCGGTGGAAAGAAAGCAGTGTAACGTGACGAGGGTACGTACTTTGGAGGCACATCCACAGCTGGTTCCGGCTCTGGCTCATGCTGGACCAATGTCGATGCAGCCTTCTCTGAGCCCACGGAAGCATTCCCATTCCCATTTCCATTCCTATTCGTATTCCTACTCCCTATGCCCTCCTCCGTCTTTTCCGTCGATTCAATATCGAGACGCATAACGTGAGGGAATTGGGAACGTCAACTAAAGGATCTGGTTAGATATAAGAATGTCACGCCCGACTTGGGCAAGAAGGAGAAGACATGTACCTATTCATGTGCTGGAAGTATAGTATAGTATAGATAGTTCCTAGATACTGTAAGATAGGGATATGATGCCGGTTCATAAATCTGACGATGGATGACCAACAAACAACGTGGTAAATCTTGGAATAGCATTTCAACTCCAATTCGCGATACCGGAGACATTTATACCCTCCGTCCCGTGGTGCGCTACCGGGAATGACCACATCCGGTGCCGTAGGGGATGAGAAAGATTAATGCCGTGGGGTTCCTTGGGATTGGGATTGGGCTAGGGTTGATCGGGCTTATTTTACATAATAGTTAGGGTGATAGATAAAGTTAGGATGATAGATACCGGTAGTAGGTAGTAGATAATAGTACGTACTTGGATGTGGTCCGTGATAAGCGAGCGAGTCAAGAATAACCTTATCTATTATACGATTATATTAAAGCTTATCTACAGTTCGCTCAAATTTCAAACAAATCGCAAGTCTTTTTACTAAGTACTACGTACGTACATGACTTATTGCATGCATACGCGCTTTAATTACGTAGTACTTCTAATTCCGCGCTCGAACGATTCTACCTTTTAAATAAGCATATACTATTATTGATTATATTGCATGGAGTTCTCGTTGATTATCGACCTTCGCTCCTCGTTAACTACTACGTCGCAGGCGCAATTTTTACTTACTTACTTAAGCCTTTTACTTATCCAAGCTCTTACTTACCTATCAAACTTCGCCTAATACAATCTTATAATGTTTAGTTAATCTTTCTTTTATTCCGACGTCTTTGCCGCGACTGCCGCTTTTAGCGAAGGATATTATTGCGATATGTTTATATAATGCATATACCACTACGTTGCACGAACTTATTATATATAAACCTTATTATAAATCTGAATAGTAGGATTGAATTCATGACGACCTTAAGCGATTACTTGAGGTGCTTACGAAAGAGCGAAGGATCATATAGAGCTCAGAAAGATCTCAAGATAATACCTTAGAATCAATAACTACCAAGAGCAGAATTTGAAGGGAGCTGTGAGCTGTATACAAGAAGGTTGGTTATAATAAACCTTGGTAGATGCCGAACCTAAGGAAGCGCTAAGAAGAAAAGAAGAGGTGAAGGAAGTTGAGAAGGAAAAGAAGGCGCTAGCCAAGCCAATTGGCGCTGGTAGGAATATCGCCAGGAAGACCTGGCGTGAGGTAAGGAATGGACGCATGTCCAACCATACCTTATTCTTAACGGTGAAGTTGACCGGGCGCTTTACTCTCCCCCTTCCCCCCCCATGAATATATGTTGAAAATATAATCTCGCAAGGGATCTTACCAGATCTTAATCCGATCAACTTAGTAGTGTAAGGATTCATTCAGCCTCGAAAGCATCTTTGAGCTAGTATTTAGTCTGTGCAGTGGAGTTGACAGGGCTTTAAGCCATTCAGAAATCACCGCTCTACGACTTATGGAGCTAAATTGGGTCCGACATTTATTCATACGGTAGAAGGGGATAGTAACTTATTAGCTTGCCGCGCTATGCGGTCTTGGGCTCGCTATACTAGATGCTCTTTGGCGAGGTTTTAAGCTTCAAGGTGGCGATCAGCGTAAGGGCGAGCTTCGTCATGGTTAAGCTTGCGAAAAAGTGTTTCATTATCGGATCGTATTAAGCTTTAATCTTAAGTGGTTCGGAAGGGGTAACGGTAGATTGTTACGGCTTGAGTAGCATGGTACCGGAGCGTGGTCCGCGTAGGCGAGGCGCCAATAAGAAAGATGTGTGACGACACGCCAGGTCCCCTGGGCGTATCCCCATATGCGCCAAGCTACCTCCTTCCTTTTTCCTTCTCACCTTGCATCTCCTTCGTATTCTTCGTATTATCTCATTCTCCTCTTTTAACCCATGAACCATGGTTCACGAGTCCTTGGCGCTTCTACCTTCGTGTATATAGACCTCAGCTACCTTCGCCCTCTACACTCGGTAGATGTTGATTCTAAGTCACTACTTTAAGATCCCCCTGAGCTCCCATGTGAACCCCGCGCTCCCGTGAGTTCCTTCAGGTAATCGCTTAAGGTCGTCACAAGATGTTTACTACTATATACTCGAAGTCGGAGGGGTCGCTCGTTTCTCCGAAGGGGAGATTGATCAAAGTCAAATTCGCTAGCAAGGCTACGCAAGTACTTTCCCATATGGCTAATCGCTTTTGGAGGTCGCGGACGAAGCCAGAGTCACGTTTAAGAGGCTTAGCTGGTAGGACGGTAACGCGAGTAGATTAAAAGATGCAAATCCCGAGAGTAGCGTCCTTCGCTTTAGTGATTCATCTTTTTAAGAAGCAAATTCGGGTGCCGAAGTAAGGGATAATTAGCATATCCGCGGGCTAGTAGAGCTGATGCTTATTGCTGAATCGTTAATTGATATCGTAATAAGCGAAAAACTTGCGATTAATTAATACGTTGAAAGACCCGGTTAGGAAAAGAAAATTGACGCGTCTTGGATCAATAGTGAAGGTGAAAAAGATAGCGTACTTAATATGATCACCTTTAATATTCTTATATTCCGTTAAGACGATCGGAATAAATAATGTCGGTATAATATCGATCCGATGTAGTTGGAAGGGAAATAGAAGGTTCGGCTATCTCGTGCACGGTGCTTCGCTTAGCGCGTTATAGTCCGACTTTTATTTTGTTATTGTTATTGTTATTATTATATTTATTAACGTCGGGCGGGTATTCAAAACGCAATGCTTAGACCTTAAGGACCTCTTATAAAGTACGGCGACGTGCTAAATAAAGGAATTATATATAAAGTACTATTTAATCGAGAGTAAAAACTACGTTAAAGAAAACCTTTCGTTAAATAGCTAAACACTTGTAAACCTTTTAAAAGCAATTTATACTGCTATGCGTCGAGTTTTCTTTCGATAATTGTCGAATACGTGTAGCTTTACGAGCGGCCTCGATCCGTATAATACAAACATCGTTTTCTTTCGTCGTAAAGCTAAAAAGGCTCGCGTTCGTAACACTTAAATAAAGCCGGTATATTTGCAAAACGCTTTTTCGAAAGCGCAGTACCGTGTTTTCGATCAATCGAACTAAGCCTTTCTTATCTTATCTTTTATACACGTTCTTTTTCTATCGCAAATCTTCTTAGTCTTTTCAATCGGTACGCCCGTCAAGTTTAAATCGTAATCGGCGTAGTATTCGAGAAGAAAAAGGCAAGAAGTTCGGAATCGCCGGTAAAAGAAAATCTTTTTAAAAAGACGTCGCATATCGATGATTTAATTTCGGCTTTCTAAACTCTTTATCTTTCTTTCTACTGCAAGAGAAAGAAAAAAAAGAGCTGAAGGTTCGTAAAGGGCACCTCGTACAGGTAAAGAATCGTAGCCCCCCAGTCCGACTTTTATAAACGACGATTGAATCGATTAAAACGGTCTTATTTTATAAATAATCTTTTAACGAAAAGACGAGCTCTTACAAAAAACGGTTTGATCGATTAAAACAGTTCCATTGTAGCTACGATTGAAATAATTTAAATCGTTTGTTTTCAGATTTTTATTTAATCTTAAGTATCGGCCTAGAGTGATCAACTAACTATGCCAACCTTTTAGGTCGTCTTTCAAAGAGACCGTTATCGGATTATCAGCTGACGGTTTAAATAACCCCCTGCCTATAAGGTAATGAAATACGGGCGATTAAAAAGCTTCGCACGCTCAGAAATCCTGTCAGATCGGTATAGAATAGTCCCACGTGACTGGATGACTTATTACTATTATAACCTTTGGAACTTATTTTGGGTCGGTCACCTTTAGTAATAATAATCGATAAGAATTCTAGATGCCGATAAAAAGAATTGTGGTAGCTGATGATGAAGGACGGCTCAAAATATTAAAACTCGGAAGTAGTATGCTTATCATAAACGTAAAGGGGTGTTTTTAATAAAAGTGGATTTACGCGAACTATAGGTGAGCTCTAGTGAATAATTAATAAGCTACCCCTTCCGAGCAAGCGTAGTGCCGTTATGGTTATGGTATTCTCGCTCAAGGCTTACCAGTATTCCAACCCGCAGTAGGTATACCGGTAGGTACGTAATGATTATATAGGTAGGTACGGTAGAGTAGTGAGTGGTAGGTATTTGGAGGGATTTCATCTCTTACCTACCTTTCCTTCGCTACCACTGATCATATACACAGCTAAAGAATGACGACAGCGACGACGTTATTGAGCATCGCGTTCTTGACAACGCCTTGTTCTCTTGCAGAAGAAAGTGCCTGCTCTACCGGCAATTAGAAAAAGGCGACGGGGATAAAATTGATTCAACAGCGACCAAGATCACTGAAACATGCAAGCTCAAGACATGGCAAGAGAGAATAGTTGTAGATACCGGTACTACGTCCCAGGCGTAAGTATTACCCCCTGAGGGTAGGGTAACCAGGGGATTTGAGGTGGAAACTAAACTTTGAGGCACCCTCAAGGGTTAACAATTACGCCTGTACCGTGGTAGATTCCAATATGCGACGAGGTCATGCAAAACAAAGTAAAACATGCAGCGTGCACTGACTACTACGCTGGAATATGCCGCGTCGATTCACGATAGGTATATCCGTAGACAGAAGAGACGATAGAATCATAATCATAAAGTAAATATCTGAAACGAGACGAGGCGAAATTGACTGGGCAACGAACGACAACAACAAGAACAACAAAAACAAATAAGAATACGGATGATGACTTGTACTCACTCCCACGTGGCAGCCTGACCTGAAAACACATGATACCGATCGACCCACTCGCGGAATGCTTTCGGATCTAATCACCACCCAATATATGTATATATATGTACAATTCATATGTCTTGAGCTGTGAGTGATGATTATAATTTCGTGTAATAATTGTAACTTTTTTATATTCCGGACTTTCAAAAGTCAACTGTTTGAGTCTCGTCTCCTCTCGTCTCGTCTCGCCATCAAATTAAACAAACAACCCATGTCACTGTCACGGTTGCCCCAACGACTCTAGCGTGTTGACTTACTCCCAACTTCCATTTATGACAGGTGACCTGGCGATTTCGTACGAAACCCGCATTAGCAGCCGCTGCCCCAAGGAACTCATCAAATTGACTCATCTCACGTCGTACAGTCAGTCAGTACGCAACAACACTCCTTACCTAACCTATATCAAACTTCCTAATACACATCCCGGCCCTCGCCCGATGCTTCCACACCCGCTCCCGAGAGATATCAAAACAAATACACACAACCCACCGAGCTTTGTACCCGCATCTCACCAGAAACACTGACAAGAAAAACCGACACACCGCTTCTACTATTCTACATAAGCACTGCTTCGACTCAAAGACGGCTCGAAAACGCAACATACCGGCCAGCTGGGCTTTCATCTGATATCATGCTGTCCAAGAGCCTGTCCAAGGACCGCAATCGCAAAGTAACTCCACCAGGACCAGTATACATGAACAATGACCAGTTTGGTATGTATTATGTGTTTGGTAGATGCACCAGAACACACATATACCATATAATATCATATACATGATTCTCACATACCCAGCACGTCCTTCAAGCCTCAACACTGACGTCCTATAGCTTCCTACCTCTCCGACCTGCGTAACAACCGCGTAGCTCGACCAAGCGGTGCCAGACCTCCCCCTCCAAGCAACAGGCGCGAGTTCCAGAGAGGTACTGCCTCACCAGCTCCCACAGAGCCAGCACCCGAGTCGCCGGAACCCGAGACCGCCCCTCGATCTTCAAGCGCCTTCTCGCATAGACGGGCACAATCGTCCCTTTCCAGCTACTCTTCCATAAATTCTCGAAGCGGCCGACAACAAGTACAATTCCCAGCAGCCTCCCCCACAACTGCAAAACCTCTGAAAGCGAGCGATGTCGTACCAACGTCTACATACATGGAGCGAGGACTGCGCTGGATGGAGAAGGAAGAGGCTGTATCACTGAGAGAAGCTATGGAGGACTTGGATCTGAAGAAGCAAGAAGAGGAGGAGGCCCGACTTCATGCAGCGGCGCAAGACGAGGCTTCGGAACTGGTCTTTCAACATCAAAATCCAGAGGCCGCGGTCAATCCTGATGCCCCATTCCGATACAAGGACCACCTACGAAAGAACAGCTACCAGCAAGCACGCGCTCAGAGTCTTGGCCGAGCTGGTGGGTTAAGCATTGTAACTGGTCTGGCGAGAGACATGGCTCGGACCGTGCCAGGGGAACCAAGCAGCAGTGGAGGGATGCGATCTCCACCAGGGCGCATCTCCTGTGACAGTACCGACCGCTTCCAGAGAAACAGGAATGCCAGCCCTGATACTGCAGTTCGTGGATCCCTCGATTCTTCCGCAGGAGGATCTCGCAAACCATTTGGCAGTTTATCGAGCATGTCCAGACCTCAAGGATCACGGAGGAAACCTAGTGGCAAACGAAATATCAGCGGCGAGCTCTCTGTCTTCTTTACCGGGGATCAAATATGGGAGGAGCCAGAACAAGAGGGCAGCGATCGGGGTCGGTCTTCGGAGGTGCGTGACATGCCAGCCCCTTTGCGTATCAAGCCTCGAAACCCGCTCAATCGAGTCCAATTCGATATGGGTCCACGGTCCAGCAGCACTCCTCCTGAACCGACCAAGAGACTCTCCATCTCCGAAATCCACCGGAATCCACCTTCTCAGTCAAGAAACCCCAACTACACCGCAAACCCTGTTCCCACGGGCCAGACTCCCAGTTCGAAGCCTGTAGATGAAGGAAGAGCGCCGGCCGTACCTATGAAGGACGGGCTCGAGATCAGAGGCGAGGATATTCGACAAGCTACCAGTATGCGTCTCAAAGACCGCAGTCCCAAATTGCCAACACCAACTGCAGTAAGCAATAAGCCGGGTCGCCCGATTGTAAGCTTTGACTCAAATTGGAAGCCGAAGGAGGCTGATATAAAGTCAGAAGTGCGAAGAAGATCGCCATTTGATCGAGGAACCTCCAGTAGTCAAAGGGAGAGCTTACCTGCTCGCGCAGATCAGAAGGATACCACACCCCCGATCCCGACCATTCAGATTCCTGACGATCCCCCAGTCCAAGTAAAGAGAGCGAATACGGTTCCTGTTCCTGTCATCAACCTCCCAGATTCTACTCCTTCTGTCCCTACAATAAATCTGCCAGACGCGAAGCCGAGCATCCCGACGATAAACTTCCCTGATTCTACGCCGTCTGTCCCTACGATTAGCCTCCCCGATGCATCTGCAATATCTGTCTCAGCCCCTGATATCCCGCAAATTAACGTTGGTTCTGCTCCTTCCACTACTCAGTCAAAGAGACCCCTTCCTACACCAAAGCCTTCTGCTGGCCGTCCAGCACCTCACCATGCCGCCTCAGCCCCTCCAGCGATCCCACGAGGTCACTGGTCCCCCGCTGCTGGGTTCACTGGGAGACGAGCAACAGCGACATGTCATCAATGCCAACTTCCTATAGAAGGCAAAGTTGTCAAGCTTGGCGGCTCTGCGGAGCACTTCCACCCTGAATGTTTCATCTGCTTCACCTGCGGCACCGGCCTCGAATCCCTCGAAATCCACCCCGAACCAAAAGCCAAATGTGCCGAGCGCCTCGACCGGATCAGACGTCGCGCTCGCGGCGAAGAAGTCCCCGAGGTCGAAGGTCAAACCATGGCTGAAGACGGTGACGAACGTTTACGCTTTTACTGCCATCTAGACTTCCACGAGAACTTTGCGCCTCGCTGCAAACACTGCACTACCACCATCATCGGGGAGCATCTCGTTGCGCTGGGACATAGCTGGCATTACGGCCACTTCTTTTGCGCGGAATGCGGTGATCCTTTTGAAAAGGGCATGACGCACATCGAGAAGGACGGTTACGCATGGTGTCTGAGCTGCCAGACGAAGCGCACGGAACGTCAAGCTCCCAAGTGCAAGAAGTGCAACCTCGCCGTTATCGGTGAGTACGTGCAAGCTCTGGGTGGCGAGTGGCACGAGAAGTGCTTCCGGTGCGCGACATGCCAGAGCGGCTTCGACGACGGGGCCTTCTACCCGCTGAAGGTTGGCGAGGGCACCGCGGTGCTGTGCTTGAGGTGTATCGAGCGGGAGTTGAAGGCTTGATTGGTGGTAGAAGTCTGCTGCATGCCCCCTCCCGGAAACCCCTTTTTCTTTGCAGTCGCTCGCTCGCCCTGGTTGTGAGACCCGTGGGAGCGTTTGCGTGTGTGCGTATGGTACTGCCAGTCGGCATCTCTGTGGCGGTTTTTTTTTTTTTTTTTTTCCTTCTTTTTTTTCTTTCCCTTTCTGTGTTTTCTGGGAGCGGGAGTAGGTGCACCTCAACGGGGGGAAGGTTGGGAGTAGGAGCATGGGCGTGTGCATGGCCCGGTGCGATAGAAGCACTACCTGCAGTCGATTAATTGAATAAATACAAATATCAAAATGAGCATCATGGATCATCCCAAGTTATGTTTGTCTGAACCGGTTATCCGGTATTCTCAGCCGGACATATAAAAGCTAAGCAGATGACTAAATGGTTGTAGGACAGACCTATCAACCTTTTTTCTTCTGGGCCGGATGCTGGATGTGAGTGATTTCTTGTAGGGGGATATGTACGTAAGTAAGTAAGCGCTGTTGTCCTTGTCAGAGGTACCGTGCCTACCTATTGCGCGAGAAGTACGTTTTGGACTTTGCTATACTTACTTATCCTTTCTCAAGCAGGGTAGCAGTGTAGCAATGCATATAGTTCGGGAAGAATAGTTTCAAAACTCGGACAACGGGCATAGACAGCTAGATATCTAAGTATATCCAGCATAAGGTAATCCATTATCAGTGTACATGGTTTTTTCTTTTCTTCTTAATTTTTTTTTGTTTTTTTTTTTTTTTTTTGATTTCCCCTTCTATGACACCGCAGGTATGAGAATTAAGTACGAAGTACGAGGTGAAGAGAAAAGTAAAAGGTCTTTCCAAACGAAGTTGATGGATCACTATGCCACGCTACTAAACGAAATAGGTCAAACCAAAATACGGAATTTTAATTATCCTTTCTTTTTTTAAAAAAAACCTATGGGGCGGGATTTGTACACGGTTGCATGGTCTGAGCCGGTCGTCGACAGCATTCGATGTGTTGGAATAGACGATCGTTTTATATTGTGTTGTATAATTTTATGTATCTGGTGTTTATGTTTTGTTGCATTGCATTGTATGGGGTTATGCTGTGTTATATTGTGTTCTGCTATATTATGTTGTATTGTACTTCATTGTATTATATATAATCGTCGGCTTCACCTAAGCGAGCCGACGATTAGTGTTGTGTTGTGTTGTTGTGTTATGCTGTGTTACGCGAGGGTGCAAGAGGCCATGTCTGGCTAGTGCCGGGGTTTCTGGGGATACTTTCCCCCGGATTCAGGTTCAGTACAAGTACCATGGTACAGGCCTAAGTATTACCCCTCGAGGATGCCTCAGAAGTTTAGTTTCCACTTTAGACCCCCTGGTTACCTTACCCTCGAGGGTTAATACTTACGCCTGGGACGTAGTAAGGTAATAGGGTGTGTATGGCTCGCAGTTGCACGTCCGTGCAACTAGGCAGTTGAGTTGATCCTAAATAGGATCAACTCAACTTGACAGTGGAAGTAGCACGTTCCAATGCTTGTATGGCTCGCAATTAGCAAATTGAATAGCAATTTGCTAAAATGTTTTGACGAAGCTGTTTTTGTAGTATTGAACAGCGGCGCATGCACCCATCGCAGCGATAATAACACTTATATTGCGATTGCGCAGACTACGCCTTTTCAAAATATCTTGAGAAGAAGCCATTGCAAAAAGGTAGCGTTGTAAAAGGATGAAAAGGTGATCAAAATAAGCGGAAAGGAAGGGGGGTGGGTGAATAGCTTCTAACTTGAGCTTGCAACTTGGGAGTTATAGCTTTTTGCTGCAACTTCGATTTGTATGGTGCAATTGCAAGTTGCAAGGTCAGATGCACACTTTACAAGATTTACGTGCACGAGCTATACAGATTGCTTAATTCTTGCATCTTGACGTGCAACTTGGAGATGCAAGAATATTTTGGTGGTGCAACTTGGCTTGCATCTGCGAGCCCATACAGGTTCTAAGCTACCTATTGCTGCCCCGAACCGAACAACACCATCAGCATCGTCCGATCCTCTTCGCATAAGGGATACATACCAATTTCTAAACTGGACTTGGAACAGAAAACAGATATCGCCATGAAGAGCAAAGCAAGATTCACCATGTAGAGAAAATCGAGACGCCCCATGGAGAGCAAGTCCAGTCGCTCCATGGATAGCAAACCCAGACGCCTCGTGAAGAGCAAACCGAGACGCTCTATGGAAAGAGAACCGATATCCACCATGAAGATAAGGGAGACATCAAGACGACTGCGGAACGGTGATACTATAACACTAGAGCAGCTTTTGTCAAACGAAGTCTTGCCCCGCACGAATTCTTTATGACCCAACGTGGCAATGTGCATAATCCATTCCACAACAAGGAGAGGCTCCAAAACTAAGCGGATTGCCTACGGTTCATTCGGCAGAACGCCAGCATCCCGGTGCCCGAAGTTCTCTGCTTCTACGAGAGCGAGGGGGCATGGTACCTATGTACGAGTCTTGCTAGCGGCACCGAGCTATCGAACCTTTCAAGGAAAGATTGGGATATCGTGAGGCTAAACTTGAGAAAGCATCGCGCTACACTGCGGTCCTTCAAAATTCGCGTTCCGGGTGGGCCCAAGGGTATCTTGTCGCCGACGTCTTGACTTACAGATGGATACGATGGGAGCGCCAGATGTGACGAGAGCGCCTCATGGCAGGCATCTTCCCCCTCGGCCAGCAATGACATCTTCCGCTTCTGCCACTGCGGTCTTTCGGCCACGAACATCTTCGTCAATCCTGTCTCTCCAGAGATCACTGCCATCATAGATTGGGAGCACAGCGGGTTCTTCCCTGAGGCTCAAGAGATCCCATATTATCGAAGAGGTGGTGGATCGGGCTACCAAGATAAATACTTCACGGAAGAGATGAAGCAGATAAAGCAGTTCTGGGATGCACGGAGAGAACGATAGAAGCAAAGTGTAAGTGTTCGAAATCCTTGCCCTTCCAGAACTCAGCTCATGCAGTTTTACGAGTCTCCGTTTTCTTAAATCCTCAAGTTAAGTGAAAATCACCCCTCCCACCCCCCCCCCCCCCCAGCTCTCTCCTCCACTACCATCTCTTCCACCATGTTTCTCACAATCTTCTTCACACCTCTTGACCATCAGATCAGGCTCAAAATCGCGGTGCTTTACTGAAGGTCGTATTCTGCGCCCACTTCATCCTTGTTAATTTTCAGGTGCTAGGGTTTATTTTACAGGAGTCAATTACCTCACAAGTTATAGTAGGCGGGTCTTGAGTTATTTCCGCGGACGGTTCTGGACTTGGTTCCGAGCCATATATCTTTGGTGTTGGGTTTGCAGTTGGGTTTGCAATCGAGCAGCCGGGGCATTTCAGTTGGGTCGAAGAGCACTGCGTCTTACACTTCCGACATGGTAGTATCTCTGATGGCATTATTGAAGCTTCCGGTTTCAAATCAATGATAAGGTGGCTCTGAAATGGAGATCGAGATATGGCGTAATGAAATAATATGCGAAAGAGTTTGTTTCGAATAAGAAGTTCAGCGAGTACACCATACTATATACACACACACACACACACATATAAATATATATGTATATATCCGTGTAGAGAGCTCAATCCTGGGAACGATCAAAATGCAAGAAAGTGGCGCCACCACTTTGTCTGGCATTCATGGATGCCTAGCAGCCTAGACCAGTGTTCAGTCACAAAGATAGCTAGCTACGTGGACTGCATGCAAATAAGGCGCAATGCATGCCTCATGATCGCATTACCACCCAGTTAAAACAATAGGAACATAGTGGGGGAAAGATCAGCCGCAAGCCCCCAAAGCCTTCTCACACCACTAGTTCGAATTACTCGAGCAAAGCGAGAAGAGGCCATGTGGTCTTGAGAGTCGTGGCGAGCCACGAGACGACTGACGAACTCAGTTCATTTCTCGCCGGTGGTGTTGACCATAAACCCCGGAGCACACAGCAACACAGCATCTGTTGTACAAGCGGACACAGAGAGAGTATTTACCAATCGGTGGTGGTGGTTAGAGTGAGGGAGTGAGGTTGAGCAAGCTCTGTTTGCTCATATGCCTGCCCTTTTTTTTTTTTTTTTTTTTTTTGTCATGAGATAACATCTGCCGTAGAGCAGAAACAGAGCAGCATGGTAATCATGCACGAATGACTGGCGGTGAAGCCTTTTTCTTCTCCTTTTCGTTGGAGACCTGGAGTTGGTGCGATCGTAACAGTAGCACTCGGCTGCTGTTGACCACCTCTCTCCTGATCGATGCTGAAACGCATATCGGGAGGACTAGGCTCAGAACAGGGCGCAGCGTAATACGAACTGGAGCACTGCATTTGGCTATACCGCCGCTGTCACTGTCATACATGGTGGTATGGTTTTAGGATGCAAGTGAGAGTCGATGACAAGGTAGTGTTGAGATTTTCTCGACAGCAACGTCGAAATCTGTACTGTGAAACCCTATTGTTTATATGTAAGCGAGGATACGAGCAAACAATGCTCTCTCTCTAGTGCCAGTCGTTCCATTTACGTGGAACTAGTACGTGTATTCAGCGGAATTAAGATATAAAGACTTGGGTCTAGCGGGTCTCGGATATTGCTGTCTGGTAATTGGAATACGGGAATTCAAGCAAGAACTTGTGCATCTTACGTTTGTCAAGTTCGATGTCAGCAAGGCCGCGTTCGATGGTGATTGAAGGAAGTGAAGCAGAGGCGAGCGAGGCTCGCTTACCCATGCGCCCCGGCAAATGGAGCTCAGCATATCCCCCCCTTTCTTCACTTACATAAAAAAATTTTAATAATAAAAAAACCGAGCTAACCACGAATACAAATAATAAATCAAACGCCGGATCCAAGGAACTTACTGATCACGCATCTTGTTAGTTTGAAAGAATCTGTAGCATCCTCTCTCTAAAAAGCCGGTGGGGATGATTCTTCAAGAGTACTTATCAAGCTATCCATGGTCCGTCTCAGATACAGAACCATCCACGTATTTCTTCTTCAGAACCCGATTGCTAGTTTACCTAGAAATTTTATATCTAAAATATGTGTTTATATCGACTCACCCCTGAAAAAATGCTTCTACATTTACGCCTCCTTTGGATTTTGCTCCTTTTCTCCTTCTGCCGGGTTTGAGTAACGATCTTAGAACTGCAGAGAAGTAGAAAAATTCCCCTCCACAATCCATCATCCGGTGCTGCTGTTCATAACAAAAGTCGATTAAATTTCCATGCGGCCATGCGGCAGACCATATACTTCAGCCCCGGAATACAAATGAATCAAATAATATGCAACGAGCTTTGGTCTTTTCGCGAGACATTAAACAAATAACTTCACGACTGAAATTAGGAGCACAGGAGATGGATTACGTAATTCGGTAGTAGACCTATTCTGTTCCATAATCGTTGGGCTATCACCCCCTCTCCCGGCCCCACTCCTGGCCCCACTCCCGACACTCCTCCGTTTACAAAATGAATGAAAAGCAGGAGAGATAAAAAGTAAAACTTATCTCCAATAAGTGATTTTTGATGGACGGTGTGGGGATTGAACCCACGACCTCTCGCATGCAAAGCGAGCGATACTACCACTGATCTAACCGCCCTGCATGTGAACATGTATTGTTGATTACTGTGCTCAGCGACGATCGTGTGTCTAATTAAAAATTTACACATGCTATAAATTTCGGTAGACTCTCGGGTATCCACCAGTACGGACATGCCCCGCTCTCGCTTAATTCTCACCATGCCACGTGCCCTTCTGACTATGACATCAAACTGTGCTGTTGGTTCTTAATTACGGAAGTAATTAGTAAAAATAAGTATGTAGCTTTACCCGCCGTGAGATTGGGTGGATACTCAAGAAGTTGTTTTATGCCTACCGGTATCGGAGAGACTAGAGCTTTGGAATATCACTGGGTGAAGAGGAAGGGAGGAATACAAGAGCTGAATCCCGTGATCTGCTGTAAGCTAACTTCAGGTCCGGATAGCAGGACCGGCCGATCAGCAAAGACTGTGACGGTACTACGATGTCAAAATTAGTTAACAGAATCGGAAAAAAGGGGGATCTATTCATTAGAGAAAGCAAAACATAAGCGTATCGGTACGATCTTGGCCTTAATACTTGGACTGTAAGTCTAACGTTCGTTCGATAGATATATCAAACCAAGTTCTCGGAAGAAGGGTTATGAAAGATTAGCAAGATGTACCGGGAGGCGTGCAATCGAGCTAGCACAATCGCGCTCTCGGTTGATATTGAAGGAGAAACCGAGCAGGAGTGGGAGGAGGTGCAAACTACATAAGGGGGATCAACAATTTCCCATTTCCATACGTCCCTGTCGTGGGGCGAGGGGGAAACACGGGGCCACATACTCAAGCTGGTCAATACAGGACGGAGTGTAGGAGATTCATCAGATTGCAGCCATGTCCCCTGAACTCCGTCCTTATGTCACGTCCTTGCCTCCTATATCACATACATCACATATTCTCCTTGCGACCGAGAGGAAGAATCACAGTAGTAATACTCGTCAACCAAAAAGCCATGCCTTCCTCAGGTCTTTGACCGCGACTCACAACGAAAGTTGAGAAGCGAATTGATTGTGATTGTTGATTGTTTTCATGACCCTACCTTAGCGAACGTCACCCGCAAGCGAGACGCATGCGGCCGCGTTGGCCGACGGATCTCGGCAACGTCTCTGCAGTTCTCCTATCTGTGCATACCGTGGACTCCCAACTCCGAACTCCCAACTCCCAATTCCCATCGTCCCAACTTCCCTCTCCAGCCACAACATCATGATTTTACGGCATTGCTCCTACCGGCTGCCACTGTGCCTCTTCTTTCTGATTTCTCTCATTGCTACACACGCCTCTGCTTCCATTGGTGACCACCTGGAAACCTTCAAGACCTGCGTAGAGGTGAGATTCCTGCCAACACAATGACATATCCCCAAATCTCTGACCCTCTAACATTCATTTGCTAGATCTGCAAGAAGGAGAATTGCGAAAGCAGCAATCCGACGCCAATTCGTAGGCACATCTCTGCAACAACTCAATTGTTTAGCTAACTCTCCGCAGCTCTACTCCGCAAACTCCTGCTCTGGGACTGCCCAGCGGAATGCGACTACACCTGCCAGCAAATAATCACCGAGCAACGCGTCGCCGCGTCCGAAGATATCGTCCAATTCCACGGGAAATGGCCCTTCTACCGCTTCATGGGGATGCAGGAGCCGTTCTCCGTCTTCTTCTCCCTCCTTAACTTCCTCGCCCACCGGAATGGCCTATCGAAAATCACCTCCAGTATCCCGGCCTCCTACCCCCTGCGGAAGTACTACGAGGTCTTCGCATACTTTGGCATGGCGAGCTGGGTGTTCAGTATGATCTTCCATACAAGGGACTTTGCGGTTACGGAGCAGCTGGACTACTTCGCGGCTGGGGGAAGCGTTCTGTATGGTTTCTACTATGCCCCCATCCGGATCTTCCGAATGGACCAGGGGGGGAAGAAGGGGAAGTCGGTTTTGCGCGCCTGGACGCTGCTATGTATCAGCATGTACGTAGCGCACGTCACATACTTGAAGTCGTACAAGTGGGACTATGCATACAATATCGCGGCCAACGTTGTGGTTGGAGTGATCCATAACTTGCTGTGGAGTTGGTTCAGTTTTGTCAAGTATAAGAGGTCGGGACGGGTCTGGGCGATGTGGCCGGGATTTGTGGTTGCGTGGGTCATGGTGGCTATGAGTTTGGAGGTCCTGGACTTTCCACCCCTCCTTGGATGCTTGGATGCCCATAGTCTGTGGCATCTTGGAACGGTTGTTCCGACGATTGTTTGGTATAAGTAGGTGTTACCCCAGTCGTATCTGTGCTTTGGTGCTAATACCACTGCAGTTTCTTGATTAAGGACGCCCAGGATGATATGGCAGGACAGAGGCTAAAGTCATGATGTGGCTAGAAATGAGGAGACGACAGTAGCAATGAAGTCCCCATTCATCGATCCGGTATTCCGTGGTCACCCACCGTTTCGAGTCAACTCTCTTCGCCTCTATCTCATCTACGCCAGCATTATTCTGATTGGGTCGTCCAGCTGTCGAACCCGTGGTAGGCTATCAGCACGAAAATCAAGTGAATACCTGCTATGTTTCGAGGAACTTGTTCTCTGAACCGCCACTACAGTCCTTGTCAGCTCTTCCGTCTGCTCATAGGCAGGCAACTTGCGAGTGCGGTGCCAGGGAGATGAATTGCCACTTTCGTTACGTGAAATCAAATTGAGGTCAAGCAGGTATTCTGTAGCCTTTAACAAGCTAGGCCATGCCGCCTTGTCTCGGGGGGAAGAAACGAGTCAGTTATATTTTTGTGTCTATCTAAGTTGAACATCTGTCTTGATGGCTTACACCCAAGATTTTAATTTTGTTCCACATCGACCGCAAACGACTGCCTCACTCAGCGACGGCATAGGTAGGATTTCTCTTCCCATGAAGCCAATCAGAACACGTTCATCCACCCTTCTGCTCTCTTTGTAGGGGAAAATATACTCAAGCGAAATTAATGTTTTCTTTCCTTTGATGAAACGAGATTTTGAAATTCAAATTGAGATACAGGTACCAAGTCGCAGGAACACTGGCATCATGGATGGAACTGAGACTGAGATACCGGTACCGGTACTGGTCTCAAGAAATGTCCAGATGTAGTCTAGTGCGGGGTATGCTGAGCTAATCGTTTGGTGGGGTACATTCGATCGTGAAAGCTCCGAGTTATCAACAGCATCACTTCCTCGACACAGCGACTCACAATGTTTACAGGAATCGTAGAAATCATCGGAGGTTGGTCTCTAATTCTCTCTTACAGATCCATCTAACAACCCGCAGTTGTGTCCGAACTCAACCCTCAATCCGAGGATGGCGGCACCACGCTCACAATCTCCAACGCCTCCGAGATCCTATCCGACTGCCACCTCGGCGACAGCATCAGCGTCAACGGCACCTGTCTCACCGTCACCGCCTTTGACAATTCCACGTTCAAGGTTGGCGTCGCCCCCGAGACCCTGCGCCGTACAAATCTCGGCTCCCTCAAACAGAATAGCAATGTCAACCTCGAGCGGGCCGTATCAGCCAGCACGCGCATGGGCGGACATTTCGTGCAGGGACACGTGGATACCGTCGGCACGATACTGAAGGTTGAGCCGGATGGAAATGCCCTGACGTTCAGGTTCCAGCCGAGGGATAAGAGCGTGCTGAGGTACGTGGTGGAGAAGGGCTACGTGACGCTGGATGGGGCGAGCTTGACGGTCACGAAGGTCGATGATGAGGAGGGCTGGTGGGAGGTGATGTTGATTGCTTATACCCAGGAGAAGGTTGTTACGGCGAGCAAGAAGGTGGGCGAGGAGGTTAACGTGGAGGTCGATCAGATTGGGAAGTACGTAGAGAAGGCTGTGGAGGGCTATTTCTCCAACGGGAGCAGTGGGGAGCCGGCCATTCTCCAGAAGATGGTTGAGAGGATTGTTGATGCGAGGTTAAATTCAGCGAGGTAATGAGATCATTTTCGACAGCCTCTTGGTTTCTCACGATGTTCGCGAACGGTTTCGGTGACTGGTCAAGTTTTGGCATTGGTATACCGGTGACAACTCGTTCTGCCGGAGGGAATGTTTGGCAGTACCTGTCTGGATGATCTCGAGCATTCATCGAACAATCTCTCGCTTATTTCAGGCACTTCTCATACTTCGCCGGATCGAAGCACTGAACTTCGATCTTGGAGTTGCAGCTTTCAGCTTCGATGAGACACGCAAGTGCGGGCTTGAAGAATGTAGGCGGGGTGTTGGCGATACAATCCATGGCGGCCTCCTCGTTGGCATCCCTCCCAGCCTTGAATTCTGCATGAAAAATCTGCGAGTTTCGCGGCTAGCAGCTTCTTCGTCCTTCTTCTTTTCCGAGAGGTAGGCTTCATTACTGACTGGTTTAACGAGTCAAAGTCTTAAGAGCCGGCAAGGTATTGCTGTCGACTGAACAGAGGAGCTCACTGTAACAAAGACGGATTGGTAGGTTAGAAACCTGGGTATAAGGCTGCTACTGAGCAGCTTTCCACACTTGAGTTGGGACGAATGAGATGGCAGAGATGAAAGGAATAGTCGATGCGTGCGTAATAGGCATGTAGGTAGGTAGGTACAAAGGATCGTCTTATTTACACTTTCGTACTTGTCCCAAGATACCCGGGACAGGTGATTTTGTTCCACTCACATTATCTACTTTGTGACTGCCCTTCGTCAGACAAAGCTTCGGTGCACAATGCCGCTTTCAGCCCTGGTCAGTGGTGAGACTTCCAAAGCTGTTGGTGCCAGGGCCAGTTCCGGTTCCATTTCTGGTCTTCTTCCAAACCCATGTTAGCGAGCCAAACTGCACAGCTAATTTCCGCCTCTTTCAATCCTATTTTTATGCAATATGTCCCCGATCCCTTCTGCCGATAGATATCACCATTAGCCGAATCTGCAGGACTCGGGAGACGGAGAAGGCTCAGTCTTGACCGGTGCCATGGCAGCTAACGTTGCACTGTTTCTTTGGCCGGCCGCCACTGACATACCAGATTCTTCCCCGCTGATACGGCGCCCTTCAGAGTATCTGTAGGAATCCTTCTCCTCAGACTTTCCCGTCTGGCTTTCTGGCAACACTGGATTCTGTTTTGCCCACTCCGGGCTTCTATCCTGATGCATCTCTGCCTTGCTTGCACTGTCGAAATTCAATCCGCTACCGTGAATCTGATTGGAACCAACAGGAGCAAGATGGTAGAAGTTTGTAGGTAAGATCATCCTGAATTTACTTGGTACATCTTCCACAGACTCGAGGAGGCAATCGCAGCATCTCGCGTGCATGCAATCTGGAGTATTGCAACGTGGATTTGATTCACCGCCAGTGATCCATATCTGAGAAATTGTTAGAGGAATATTGTGATCTTTTTTTTTTCTGAAAAGTTTTCCTTACGCGAGGATGCCGACACCATTCCGGAGTGTTTGGGGTACTCCTGCAACAGAGCCACCGTCTAGGTCCGCTGGGTGGTGGTATCTGCTCGTACGCACTCAGGGCTTGCATAGGGGTGTCCACCGGCTTCGATGCCGGCTGAGTCGAGGAAGGGACATTTCTTCCACTGGATGAGGCCCAAGGTGACACGTAGGGGGGCGGCTTGTAGTTGAGAAATTGCTGGTAGCGGCGTGAGGTTTTATCGAATTGCGCCAGGGGCCCCGCGGGGGGATGAGCATTCTCGAGATGCCCACTCGAATTCATCAGAGCGGCCAAAGACTCTTGATATCTCACGTACGTAGAAAATGGAGGGCATCGGGTCTCGACGTTTGCGTGATTGTTTTGGATGGTGCCCGTTTCCTTGGCCACTTGTTGTGAAGAAATTTACGCGAGGTCATTCCCCGAGACCCGAGTGCGACGTGTTGCTAGATCATCTGGCCTGCAAATGGCAGTAGGTTTCTGTCATTAAATATTTGGAGTTGGCTGACCTGAGTGGGGCTGTCGTGGTCCTGGGTCACACTTTTTGGGTCGAAAAGTTGAAAAAAAGACGTTCGGGTAGTGTCAGTGCTGCGCTAAGCGAGGTGGGGCATTGTTTACAAATTAAAGTCTGAAGCGACGACTAGGAGATGACTTGTACCACAGCTACGATACCATTTGCTTGTCAAGTTTCCCCAATATCACCAAATTCTCTGTGATAATAAGATTACCGCGCATCACTTGGCCCCGAAATTGCACGGCTTGACCCCTAAAAAATTATCATTCACTCAAAGTTTTTGCGTACCTTAAGGGCTCTGAAATCTGCCATCTCATCCACAAGCAGATGTTCATTTGCCGATTTTTTTTTTGAAAAAAAAAAAGAGAAAAAAAACCTGAAGTCCTCCCCCTTCCATTCATCTGAAGTAAATGATTTACCAGGCTCGTCAGCGCCCAAATAATCTATATCGACTCAATCAAATATTCTTATCTAAACGCGGATACCATGGCCTCCGCAACAGCCAAATCACACGACAGTCGAGTATCTGGTACTGGCAACAAGAAGATTTATCTGGGCACGACCGATTCCAGCTTTAATATGACATGGATCTTTGCTCCGTTTCGCTTGCTCACGTTGTCATTGCGAACCGGACGACCCGGACCAGCTACTTTGCAACAAAGCACCAGCCCATAGGTCTCGAAGCGCCCGATCTTCCACCTTGGCACGTTCTCTGGTGAAAAATCTTTGTACAGAGCATAGACTGCTGCCGTACGTGGCTCCTCTGCCATGAATAAGCCAGCCCCAAAGCATAAATCAGTTGCGGGCTTGAACCCTTGGCGCATGATGGAGCGGTATGCTCCGAGACTTGTGCCATGAGAGAGAAATTTGGAATCCAATGGCCGCTTCTCATGCCTAGGAGGGCGGATGACGAACCGACGAACATTCCCAGCGAAGTCTGGAAACTCCCTCGAGTACCTGTCTTCGACGATATCCTGTCCCACGGTCTGGCAGATCCACCGCAGAAGCTCTTGGGAAGGTGTGTTGGGTGGCGTGATGAAATCTTGAACTCCTATCGAATTTTCAAATGATGGTATTCGGTCCAGGAGAGCGGAGATTTCATGCCGCTCCATTCTCTCGAGCCCGGGGAGGAGGTCGGCGGGGTCGCTGTTTGGATTGGCCTCAAAGTCGAGCGAGATCAACGTCAGGTGTAGATGTACGAGATCTGGGTCGAGTATCTTAGCAGGGCTGAACTCATGACGAATATCCGCAGCGCCGGCTGGTGTCCGACTCAGGAAGGCTTCCATCAGGAAGAGCCTGCAATACAACCATGATATTGTTACGAGGGTAACGAATATCATGTTGATAGTCTCAAGAGTGTTTTATTGTCGCTGAAAGTAATAGGAGTGCCGGTGGACAGGTACCCGAATATGGATAGCGTGGCTGTGTTGATAATTGCCGTCAAATATTGCGCAGCGGTGGATGTGGAGGCTCGGCTAGACAGACGAATGTGCTTGTACAAACTCATGACGCTAGCGCAGATATGCTCGTATAGTAAGTAGATTGGTATGGTCTTCGAGAGGAATTCTCGATGGTCATTTGAGCCCTCTAGCTCAATCTAGAGATTCGTCTTGCTGATTCTGTCACAAATTGAAGACAGAGGGTTTCCAAATAAGACAGTGTATGGTGATATTTCTCTTGCTGATTCTGCCGCCGACGAAAGAGGGTTTCCAAATAAGACATTGTACAGTGAAACTTTTGTATACAAAGCGGAAGCTGATAGATCATGTTTCGGAATATACGAAGAAACATTGAGGCTATGAGACAACAAAGGGAAGCCCTCGTCATACTGGAGTACGCAAATAGGGATGAGATATGAAAACACAGAGCCACCTCTCCTACGAAAATGTGAGCCACGAGCGAAGGAAAGTAGAGATTGTAAATAATGCTAGATGTTCATATTAAGTGCCACGCTATTCGTCAGGCTAGCTCCATAGGTCCGATGCTGTTTTTCACCTCTCTCCCTCTTCGGTCTCCCTCTCCGGCCTCCCTCTTCTCTACGCAGCTACGGACTTGACATTTTTCTTGACGCCGCTCGCTACTGCCTCTGCTGCTTTCCTCGGCGCCATGATGTAATCTGGCAGTTGGAAGATCGAGGAAAGTGTTGTGGATGTGTAAATGCCCAGGGAATTGTGATGGAGACGGATGAAAGTGTATGCTTTCAGTCTCATCTCGAGGAAGGATAGCTTGGGTCAAAGAGAAGAGACATGCTGCCTCGCTTAAGTGAGACGCCTCAGGGGCTGGGAAATTTCGACATATTTTGCTGCTCGACACCCCTCGAGTCTTCTATCTGAGAGCAGCATGGAAAAATTGAGGTCTCACTAGATCTCACATGAAACGTAAAGATCTGATATGCAAGAACAGAGATTAGCCGGTAGGGAAACGCTCGGAAAAAAGAAAAAGAAAATGAATGAGAAAGCGACCAGAGCGGAGTTTGTTGAGGAGAAGGTCCATATATAAATATATGGGAAAGACAGGACGCTACAGTCCTGATCAGCTAAGTATCAAGCACCGCACGTATATTGTCCACACCTCAGCTGATTCTTGCGAATAGCGCGCAGTCCTACAGGCCCATGCTTTACTTCATCGAAACACCGAACTCCTTGATCCCAAGACTCACTAACACCTATTCCTCCACGCTACCCCAAACCCTAGAAATCTTGACACTAAGCGTCTTCGCAATCTTCTTCCTCCCAAACAGATTACTCATCTCATCAGACACCATCTTCATCTGCTCCTTTTGGCCCTCCTTACCCCCACCCCCCTTCTCATCCATCCTCTTAAACGCCTCGATGAATGCCAGCGGCGTCTTCCACCGCTTCTGGACCTCAAAAGCTTTTTCCGGCGTCACGCCGTTGGTACACAAGAGCATCTTGAGGTAGACGTCTTTCAAAGTTAAACTATTGGATTTTGAGCTCAGGGAGGCGAAAGCTTCGTATGTGATGTAGTGATACGTTGAAGGTTGCGTCTTTGCTAGGTGAGCTTGGAGCGGGAGGTAATTTTGCGAAGTGATTATTTTAGTAGGGATCAGATGGAGGGGTCTAGACTCATATTTCGCTTTGAGAAGTCTGGTGATGCTAAGCAAGTAGTTGATGGTATCTTCCATAGTCTGCGTCTTCTTTACAAAGAAGCCGTTGACGACCTGTGTAGAGGCAATGGCCGAGGCAACGTGCTGCTCGAAGCCCCCAACTTCGATTTTTGCTTCCTCAATTATGTAGATTACGTTTTTGATGCCAGATTTGCGAAGGCGGAATTTCTGCTCGAGAAACCGCTTGTCTTTGATGGACATGATGAGATCGTCGAGGCGTTTCCTTTCGATTATGTAGTCTAGTACTATCTCGCTCCCTTCGGCCCCTTGGCGCTCGAGGAGGTTTGGGTCATGCATTTTCGCTACCCACAGGAAGTCTCCGAGTGCAAGAGATCGACTCATGCAATCGATGCCCTTCTTTTTCAGCTGCACCTGTATGTGGTCTCTGTTCTTCTGTGATTTAATCTCCCGATTGTCAACGATCAATTCCACGGTGAATGATCCTGGCTCAAGGATGATTGGGTCGACGTGAGGCAAGTCGGTGTCTTTGGATATGGGCTTTCCATCAGGTACGAGTTCTTTCCTATCTGGCTTTTTTGGAGAATCCAGAATCTCAGCTGCTGCAGAAACTCGAGCTGTGCCGTTCACCCGGGTAGGCTCTCCATCTTCAGCATCGGAGCCCACAGCCGCATCTTTTTGACCATACACAAATTTATCGACTCGCCCTTGCGTTGGATCGGCAGTCTTCAGCATTCTATTAGCGACCTCCCATCCGTCCTCTGTCAACATGTAGTATCTGGTTGGCCTTCCCTTCGCATAAACCAGGTCCTTCTCCTCCAGTGTCTTCATTGAGTTCCAAGCTGTGTAAAACTGACCAGGCCCTTTGGTTTCCGTGAACGACGATTCACAGTGGGGTTGTGCCCTTTCGATGAGATCGGCCTTGGAGAGCCCGTCCCTCGAATTCCTGTCGAGGGTAGCAAGGCCGATAATAAGAGCATAGGGCCCACTTTGATATTTTGGAAAATAGGGCTTGGAAGTAGTCTTCCTCGTCTTTTTCGGCGGCGATGGGGCATCGTCCTCGTCGTCGCTGATCCCGGCAAGAAGGGTGGCAGCGGCAGCACTCCCGGCGCTCTTCTTCTTCCTCTTATTCGGCCTCTCGGGCATTGGCTGGTCGTTTGCCGAGCACCAGTCTTCCAGTTCCTTGGTCAACTTCTGGACCAATTTGTCGCCCCAAAATTTCAGGGCCTGCGTCTCGGAGGGATGCTGCATTGGCAGAGGGCATTCTTTGAGCGATGTTCGCGCTTTCTTATATGTTTGGATTCCTTTGGTATTACGCTCTATAGCTGTTGCCACCCACTCCTCGACAAACGTGAGCCAGAGCGGGTTGGCACATGAGGGCATGGTGGAAGCAGGCAAAAGCAATGCCAACGGTGGTGTTTGTGATTGTAGAAGGGAGCATTTGGTGGCGATAGGATGCAAGACAGCAGCCAGTAGTTACGGCAGTGTGTTGTAGTGTGGTATAGTGTGGTATAGTGTATTATACAATGTGTGCGAGAGCGAAGTTGGCCGAGAGCAGTTGTTGTTGTGTTACGGTAAAGTCGAAGTCGAAACATTTCATCCAACTCAACGAAAAGTCGACGCGACGATGTCAACACGCTTCCCGTGACTTACAAGGATCAGTCAGCATGGTTGCCCCTCATCTCTCAGCACAGTGGCTCGAGCTTGAGACATGCCCTTGGACAACGGCTGAGGGTCTTCACAGAGTAAGAAATCTCACTCATCCTCGTCTTTACATTTGCATTTACAACCCTCCTCCTCCCCCTCCTCCTCCTTCTCCTCCTCCTCCTCCTCTCATCAACACCATCCACGACGTCAATCATGGCCGACCAAATCCTCGCTGCTTCCAAAAAGCACCCCAAACCCGCAGAGCGTGTCTTCCAGTATGGCACTGCGGGGTTCCGAATGAAAGCCACCCTCCTCGACAGCGTTGTCTTTCGCGTTGGCCTCGTCGCCGCCCTGCGATCACGCAAACTCGGCGGTCAAACAATTGGGGTTATGATCACAGCTTCCCATAACCCTCCCGAGGACAATGGCGTCAAGCTTGTGGATCCAATGGGAGAAATGCTGGAGAACTCGTGGGAGGCATATTCGACTGAGTTGGCTAATGCGAAGAACGAGGACGTGGCCAAGGTGTACAAGAACTTGGAGGAAAAGCTCAAGATCAACCCCGGGACTCCTGCGAGAGTTATCTATGCGCGGGATACGAGACCAAGTGGTCCTGCACTGGTAACTGCATTGGTTGATGCGCTGAAGGCTGCGGGGGCCGAGTATACGGACTACAAGCTTCTCACGACACCTCAATTGCATTACCTTACGAGATGCACGAACACGGAGGGTACTCCGCAAAGTTATGGAGAGGTTAGCGAGAAGGGATACTACGAGAAACTGGCTGCAGCGTTTGTCCGGGCCATGAAGGGGAAGAAGGCTGTTGGCCCGGTCACTGTTGACTGTGCCAATGGAGTCGGTGGACCTAAGTTGGCGGAGCTAATGAAGTTCCTACCGAAAGCTTCAGAGGGAGGCGTAGAAATAAAAATAATTAATGACGACGTCTTGAAGGCTGAGGTGTTGAACCACGATGTAAGTCAAAATGCCGTGTTCAACCTTCCATGTTAACACTTCCAGTGCGGTGCAGACTATGTCAAGACCAAGCAACGAGCACCTCCATCTTCCAAAGTCGGCCCCAACGAGCGCTGCTGTTCGCTGGACGGTGATGCCGATCGCGTCATCTACTACTTTAACGACCCCGAGCATGGCTTCCGCCTCCTTGACGGCGACAAGATCGCAACGCTCGCCGCATCCTTCATCGGAGACCTCGCTAAGGAAGCAAAGCTATCAGATGAGCTCAAGATCGGCGTCGTGCAAACCGCCTACGCCAACGGCGCATCCACAAAATACGTGGAAAAGTCCCTCGGTCTCCCCGTCGTCTGCACGCCGACTGGAGTAAAGTGGTTGCACCACGCAGCGACCAAGTTCGACGTCGGCGTGTACTTTGAAGCCAACGGCCACGGTACTGTCGTGTTCTCTCAACAGGCGCTCAAGGCCTTCAAAACCAAGACGCCTGAATCTCCCGCGCAAGCGCAAGCTCTGGAAACCCTCCGCGCACTTACAGACCTCATCAACCAGACCGTGGGCGATGCCCTGTCCGATATGCTTCTTGTCGAGACGATCCTCGCGCACAAATCATGGACACCGCGCGAATGGGACCTCACCTATGTCGACCTTCCCAATAGACTTGTCCGGGTCGAAGTCGGCGACAGAAACCGGTTCAAGACGACCGACGCGGAGAGAAAATTAGTCGCGCCGGAAGGCCTTCAGGAGGAAATTGACGTCCTGGTCAAGAAGTTCAAGGATGGACGAAGCTTCGCTAGGGCTTCGGGCACAGAAGATGCCGTCAGAGTATATGCCGAAGCAGCAACGAGAAGCGAGGCAGATGATCTCGCGAGCAAGGTGGCGGGACTCTGTAGTCTGAACGGTGGTGCTGCTAATTAGATGGGCGGGTTCTGAATGGTAATGAATGACTGATGGATTAAGATGATAGATGGATGGTAGTATCTTTGGGAAAAGTTTGTAAGTTGAAAGCTTTGGGACCAGGTCGCCTTGGGCAGTTCTTGCTTTGCTTTGCTTTGCTTTTTTTGCTTTGCTTTGATTTGATTTGATTTGATTTGAATCATATTACATAGCTTTAGTGAGACCAATATCCCAGAGGCTTTGATCACAATGGTATTGAAGTATTTACGGATACATTCCTCTGCTTTGTTTATTGATCCCAGCCAGGCTTTACGGAAAGGAAAGCCAAGTCATATGGTTTCGGCTCGGTCCGCTGCCATTGCGTGGGCGGTGACCATGACCGTGGCCGTGGCTGGACCAGGACAGGGTCGAGAATGATGATGTCAAGAGTCAAGACATCCGCGCCTCTCATGGTCATGCCCCCTCACCACTGTAATGTCGTGAGCTGCGTCATCCAAGGACCAACGTAGGGCAGCTTTACCTTTGCAGTATGTCAACATGCCAATCCCCAGGATTTCCTCACAACTCAACTCAAATCAACTCTCATCTCATCCCATCTGATTGTCCCATACACACGCAAGACACTCGAGTCCCTACTACATGCGTCCCTCCCACACCATCATCAAGGCACCACTCCGGCTTTGTCCCTACGCTCTCCCATCCGCCAGAGGATTCCACAACAACAACAACAACAAAAACAATAACAACAGATCCCCCAGCAAGATCATCACCATGTCTTCCGCAGCTGGCGTCCCATCCACTCCCGCCGCGCCGGCACAACAAACACAAGCCTACAGCACCACCGCTGCGGGCCATCCAGACGCCGCGAGTCTCGGTATCGAGAGCACCGACATCCGCACTGCGGAGGGGGTGCAGCTGAGTGGGTGGCAGAAGGTTGTCATTGGGAGTGTTCTGGACGTATGTTTCTATCCTACCCGACGAAGAAGATTCGAAGAAGATTCGAAGGGGAATGAGAAAACGGGGGAGGAGAGAAAGAGAATGGGAGGCTGACATGAGGCTGACGTGCGTGAGATGTAGCTGTTCAAAGGGAAGCCCACGCTTGCTAAGACGAAACTTTGGGCTGTATGTTCTCCATCCCCTCTCTTCTGTTTTACATGGAAGGAATGGTGAATGGTGGTAAATAGAGGACAGAGACAGAGAGAGAGGGAGAGAGAGAGAGAGAACCAGAAGAAGTCCAAACTCGGAAAGGCTGACCCAAATTGCTTAGGACGACGCCACCTTCGCCGACCCCATTACCAAAGCCGAAGGACGCAAGCAATACGAGGCCCAGTGGTGGGGGTTGAAAGCCGCCTTTTCCGAAATCGTACGTTCTGCATCCTCGCCTTCTCCCCCCTTCCCTCTCTCTCTCTCCCCTCTCACACATCATCTAACACCCACGCCCACTCAAACAGGAGCAAAAGCAACACAGCGTCACCTCCTCCGGAAACCCGCTCACCCTCTCCGCCACGACGCGCTACAAGGTCAAAGGCCTGGGCGCCGAGAAGGTCATCGAGAGCGAGATCCGCATTCACATGGACGCCGCAGGCGAGAAGATCGTCAAGGTTGAGGATCGCTGGAACGGGAACATCCCCGAGGGGCCGATCGCCACCGCGTTCCGGAACCTGAACAGCGTCGTCGTGCCGGCCTTTGTGAGCGTGCCGAAGGAAGAATGAGGGGAAGGGACGTAAGAAGCCAGGCTTGTCTTTTTGCTACCGCAACCTCTAGGGGTCCTTCTCTTCAAATTTTGTAGAAGCGATCACATTCGGTACGCTGCCTGAAATGAAGAGTCTGCGGGACTGTTCTGTTAACCTTGCTCCTTTCAATAAGTGAACTTTTTTTTTTTAAAAAAAAATGCCTATTCAACTTTGTTGTAAAGTAAAGTGAAGTGAAGGAAAGTAAAGTAGATTACGTAGTATCAAATATATCATGAAATATATACTTTTCCTTCTCCCCTTGACAAGAAAGTAAAAGTAAACAAAAAAAGAGGAATATTTTTTTTGGCTTTTCTTTTCTTTGCTTTCCTTTCCTTTCCGGAGATAGATGGAAATACTTACGTAGGTACGTAGGTAGGTAGGTATGGCTTTTACTTACATACATACTTACCTTCCTTCCTTACTTACCTTCCTTCCTCACCTTCCTCCTTCCTTCCTCACCTTCCTCCTCCCTGACCCAATCAATCCTACCCAAAGAAGAACAGCCAATTAGGTATACCCCAAAGTAGCGGCCATAAAACCAGGAAGAGGAAGGAGGGCATGGAGAGGGAGAGCATGGAGAGGGCACGGAGAGGATGAAAAGGGCCTAGCGGGACCGCGGGAAGAGGGACAAGGAGGTGCGGAGGTAGGGAAGTGGA